ACCCTGGCTACTTACCACCAGGTGCGACGACGAGTTCGATGGTGTGTTTAAAAAGCACAGTAGAAGCTAGAAGCCATCGCAATCCGAAACTAACACCGTCAAAGTTGACAATCTGACAAAGCTCATATGCCCATGATCTGGCCAATCGTGGAAAGCTTACCGCAGCGACGCTTTTGGTCGCGCACATCGCTAATAGAGGTACCATCGCGAACATGCTGCATGTGTCTGAGGCTTATCGCTGTTGTTTGTTTCTGTTTCTAGCTCTAGTGGGACTCGGGCCCATCATAATCTTTGAGTTGAACACGAGCCGTTACCCGAATGTTTGGCGATGCTGGTTGTCATGAACCAGAGCATTCAACTCGGGATCATGACAATAGGGTACATCATGGTGTCACGTTACTCTCAGTGCGAAGTTGTGATGTCATGTGACGTCACGGTATCAACAACGTTAATAGATCTAGCGACGTCCTCAATTTGAATCGACTTAGCGCGGTGAGTCACGTGACGTCACGGGGTCACGTGATGCGACATTACTTGACAGCATGCCTTGACATCATGACGTCACGTGACGATGTGACACATGGCTAATCATAGTGCCAATAAGAAAGCGCCGCAGAAAACCAGGATTTATTATACATTGCAATACTGTATACGACTATTTGATCAACACGTAGAGGAATACATGTGCCAATTTTTTATTCCCAAATAATAAATTTGTAATACTAACAAAAAAAAAAATACCGTGAACCGTTTTGAACCGGTTACCGTTATATTTTTTTCCGGTTCAGTTCCGGTTCAGTTCCAAGATGGCGGCGAAGATTTCGGTTCGGTTCAGTTCCGGTTCGGCTAAAAATAACGGTTCTGTTCCGGTTTTCGGTTCGGTTCGGTTCCGGTTCGACACCCTGGTGGCGAGTAGTGACAGAACACTTGGTTCTGGTTCGCGGTGGATCGTTTTCATGATGTAAAGGTTTTAGGGAGATAAGATGGTATTTTTGGTGCCACCTCAAGATAAAAAAAAACAAAAAAAAAAACATGTTATTAACAGGTAACTTTATGTCCAGATAATGGAAGAAAGTTGCATCGCCGATGCCTATAGCAAAATGTAGCAATTTGAGCTGAGATTTGAGGACCGCGTTGCTGGGGTTGTTGCATCAGGACACTGGGAAAAACTGATCCTGATGCAACCCACATTTTTGCAACTCTATTTCAGTGCACTCTATTCACTCTATTCCACTCTGTTTCAGTGCATCATTGGTAGTGGCAGTGCTCATAAGCGTGGCGGCTCTTTTTCAGGCGACCGCAGGACTGGCGACAGCAGTCCAACGTCAAGTCTCCCGGGTCCTGCTGCTTTTCTAAAGACTTCGGCAATCGCAACTTTTCGCCGATGGGAACCTGCCTCACCGGAACGTGCTCCTCAGCCCGTGCACGAAGCAAGGCATCTCTCACTCACACCGCCTTTGCTTATTGACGTTGTACGTAATTGCCCAATAAAGGACGATGCGAGGATATGGCTGGTCCTGTGCTTTTTCAGCCGTTGTATAGTGGCTGAAATTGTCATTTATTTAAGTGCACTTTTATTGCTGCCTGTTATCTGTGGGGAAGGGGGGCATAGCTACCTGTTGAAATGACAAACAAGCGTATTAGGCTATTTTTAATGAGCCTCGTAACTGGCACTCCGATACAGCATGTCTCAATTGAAAGAGCCGATGACAGACTCACCTCGAGCGAGCACATCATTGACTCTCTTCCACTTTCCTACCTTCACATTTGCTAAGAAGAAATAGCTATTGTAATTATATTATAATTACAATAATTATATACATAATTGTAATTATAAACATAATTGTAATTATATACATAACGCTCTGGAGAAAAATATTTTTCGCTGAACTTTGCATTAATGGGCTAAGCTTGAGCCTGCTCTGGAAGCTGGCTTCTCCTAAAAACCACCGTGGGAAAATATTTTTCGCTGAACTTTTCGATCGAGCCTGCTCTGGAAGCTGGCTTCTCCTAAAAACCACCGTGGGAAAATTTTTTTTCGCTGAACTTTGCCTTAATAGGGCTAAGCTCGATTGAGCCTGCTCTGGAAGCTGGCTTCTCCTAAAAACCACCGTGGGAAAATTTTTTTCGCTGAACTTTGCCTTAATATAGCTAAGCTCGATCGAGCCTGCTCTGGAAGCTGGCTTCTCCTAAAAACCACCGTGGGAAAATTTTTTTCGCTGAACTTTGCCTTAATAGGGCTAAGCTCGATTGAGCCTGCTCTGGAAGCTGGCTTCTCCTAAAAACCACCGTGGGAAAATTTTTTTCGCTGAACTTTGCCTTAATATAGCTAAGCTCGATCGAGCCTGCTCTGGAAGCTGGCTTCTCCTAAAAAGCACCGTGGGAAAAATTTTTTTTTGCTGAACTTTGCATTAATAGGGCTAAGCTCCAGCCTGCTCTGGAAGCTGGCTTCTCCTAAAAACCACCGTGGGAAAATATTGTTCGCCGCTCCAGCCCATTAATCTACACAAGGTAAAGAGCGGACACTTCCATAGGCCCCAGCGGCCCGTTTAGCTGGCAGGGAGCGCACTCGGCGGCCGTTGTAATCCCAAATTGAATAAATAAAATCACAATCAAAAAAAAACAAAAAAAAAACTTACCGGATGGATAAATATCTAGTTTGGCGTAGTGCGTTGGGCGGTAGCCTGCGCCATCTGGTTTGCCGCGACTTATGATTTTCTCATTATTCCCGCATGCCGAATTTCAGCTATTATTACTTCACACGTATGTGTGAATCCTAATGCGGACAACTAATGGACAATACTATATACGGTTAAGACTGACTTTAAAGCCAGGAAACCCATATAGGTTTGTGCTGTCCAGAAGAACACCACCAGGGAGTAATCAACAGAGTTTATTTTCGCAAAAAAAGAAATATGATGGGCAGTTTGTGCCTTGTATATAATACAAAAACTACAGAACACAAGCACCGTGTATCAAGGATTCACAAACGGTACATCCTACAAAAAACGACAAGCATTTTATGGCATGCATAAAAGTCTTATCAAACAACTGAAATTACAACTGCAATTGGATTGAAAGTCGGTTTTGTATTCTCAAGCAAGTTCCATGGAAGGCGCACACACACATATAACATATGCAGCATCAGCAACAAACACACAAAAAAAAAATGGCCATGCAGTATCAGAGCTCGTTGATCCAATGCATTTTGTATGCTAATAAAAAGTTCAGCAGAAGAATTCTGAGATGCACGATGACCACAATGAGAAAAGAAAAACAAAAACAGACAAGTAAATGCCTAAATGAGATTGCCACTAGTATAGACCTATTTAGTCTGTGACATAGTCATTAAAGAATCCCGGAGAAAAGCTCACCGGAGAAAAGCTCACCGGAGATAAGCTCACCGGAGAAAAGCTCACCGTAAAACCTGCGGATGCGGAGAAAAGCTCACCGATTTTTTTTTTCTTCTTGTTATATAGAGGCTGTTGGATCATGCGTGACATATATCAATTTACTATCATTAAAGTTCGTCAGCTTTGTCAAAAAGAAAATGTCCTTTTTGTATTATTTGCCAAGCTTATTAAGTATATTGCTCCCAAATTAATAATGGCGGGCCAGTTTTTCCTGCGGCTTACTCTCTAGGCAGATAAAGCCTAACTGAAAATTTTATGAACTTGAATAACATGAAAAAAGTTCGAAAACAATTATGTCTCCCTAAAACCCAAAAATCAAAACTGTAAACACCGAAAATCCGAAAGTACATGCGCAACAACGCGGTGCCTGAAATTCTCTTTGAAGCTTTTATTAACATTTGAAAACAGGATAAAACAGTCAGTAGGATATTATTGAGGCTTCTTTCTTCCACGGACATGCACGTTTTCTAGCCGTTCGTGCTGGTGTTTCCGCACGTTGCCTTTGTGTGATAGTGCCCTTCTAAGGTCAGCCACTCATGACTTCAGAGCTACACACTGGCACCGTTGCTACTCGTGACCTATATAAGAAATAGTCTTCTGTAAGGTAGCGAATAAGGCGAGTTGGTAAACGTTATACATGATGAAAACCTCTCAAACGACGACGAAGGAGTGAAGACAACAAACACGACAGGACAAAGCTGTTTTCGCAACTAAAGTTTTCTTAGTGAAATTAACAGAAAGAAAACAGCGTAGCCGACACTGATTGCATCAACAAATACCTACTTAACTATTAGGCACTACAGAATATTTGGAGCTGAAGCGGTTCACACACCGCTATATTTATATTAGCTCACAAAGAACAAACCTCTTTATTTGACAAAGCTACCGACGGCGTTGTCTTTTTTTACCGGTGTACAATGTTTTGATAACATTTTTGCGGCTTCATTATTATACAGAATGGGTGATTACTAATTTCTGAGGAATTAGTAAATATGCCCAATGACCCTCAAAAATATAACAAGAAAGAGGACATATATATTTTTTTTTAAATGAAGTGGCGAATGCGAATTGTGTTAAATTGCCTCTTAATGCAAAATCCGCTAAGTTAAAAAAAAAAAAAAATCGGTGAGCTTTTCTCCGCATCAGCCGGTTTTGCGGTGAGCTTTTCTCCGGTGAGCTTATCTCCGGTGAGCTTTTCTCCGGTGAGCTTTTCTCCGGTGAGCTTTTCTCCGCCGCCCGTCATTAAATAACCCTAACACAGCGTGCAATGCGCAATTAAACATACCTTGCTCCTGCTGATCTAAGTAACAATAATGATCAAAATAACAAGAACTGAAAGTCAACCGACGGACTAATACAAGTTTTATGTTCATGTCACGTTTAACATCTCACATTTAACATGTAAGGTTTAACATAACCACTGCCATAAAAAGCACACATGAAATGGCTGACAAAAGACTGCTACAAGCAGACTGGTGACCGGTGTACCTGCGACCCACTCATCACAAATGATTCGAGCAAAGGCTTGGCATGCAATCTGCACTGCCTAATTAAGTACATCCTACAGGGTGTCTACTAGATGCCTTTTTCCAAAGTCCATGATCTTTCAAGGTTTTCCTTGACTATTTTGATAAAATTCCTTGGCTGCTTCTTCCTTCCAAGGATAACATTTTGGGCAATGTTATTCAGCACAGCTGTGGCGACACTTGATCGCCGGGCTTCGTTCCGCATTACCGTGCCACTTTCACCGGTCACTTTCCTTGATTTAGTCAACCTTTTGACAGTTTCCCTGATAATTCCTTGACTTTCCAGGTGATCTAAAATTCCCTGAGAATTTCAGGCTTGCCCAGGTCGGTAGACACTCTGATCTCAATCTCCTTCTTGCTTCACATATGTGTAAAGCAGAAACAATGTCCACAAGAAAAGGAAGTTGCATACAAGATGAAAGACCTCAGAGAGTATTAAAAAAGATCAAAATGGGAACTTACACATTCCACATGGCCATAATAGAAAAACACAGACACGACCATCTAAAAAAGCAGTCACTACAGTAGACCAGTAGAGTGCAACCTACTTGCTGCAAATAATCCCAACAAATGCCTAGTGCGCAGTCTGCACGGCCCAATAAAATCCCAATAATATTAATTTTACTCTTGCAGGTATCTTATGAAACGCAACATAAGGGCTGAAACACATCTCCAGAATGAAGTCCTACCCACTGAATTTTTCAAGCTGTACACCAGAGACGCGAGAATGAAAGCAAACTTTATCCAAGTTTCTATTTACGAAACGGACATGTCAGCACAATTGAATCCTGCAAAACATTTTTCATCATAATCGAATCCTGCAAAACACCTCAAATTCCGCGGTCCACGGAATTTGAGATGAAGAGCAAACTTTTTCAACCATAACGGGAATCGTTTTCCCTTGCCCTTGGATCTTAATTTAACATGGCTTGACAGTAGGTGAAATAACTCGTCTTGTCACGTGAGGGCGAATGATGTCAAGAGCTTCCGAAGCTGATCGAGGCATATTCTTCTCTTGCTTGCGCAGCCTTGCGATGGTCTTCCGGTACTTTGAAACCTTGGCTTGGAGACGCCTTATGATGTCCTTCGTTCTCGACGCAAAACTGCGCAGAGGAGGCGTAGAAGTACCTGAAACGGATAAAAAAAATGAAATCAAAGCAGGTAAGCAGTTCTGCTTATAACCATCACAGCCAACATTACCTTACAGTGACATAATGTGCAAGTAGATAATATGCCCTTAAACTACAGACAATCAGAAATCAAAGGAAACTGGGCGTTTGAAGCTATGTTGGCTAAATTTACAAATTGCCACCCTATGCCTTGACACCACAGTACATAAGGTGTATTACAGGTTTTGCATGAAAAGCCCATCACCGGAGAAGTAGACAAACTAAAATCCACCTTGACACACACAAATTTTATTTATATGAGTAGTACCATATGGGCACACAGGTGAACAAAAGAAATGGGACACTTACAAGCTTCAACTGGTTCACAAGAGGATGTGGACGGTGTCACCGGTCGGAGCTCCAGCGGCGAACTGCACGATGGCCTCGATGGGGTCTGCGCTGCACGGTGAGTCAGCCGCTTCCATGGAGTCTGGAAGAGTTTGTCTATTAGACGCAGGCTGTTGTTTCCAACACAAGTCCTTCCTCACCATGAGCAGCGGTTGAGGGGCCTTTGGGCCGGAAGCTGCACTGCACGAGGGGGCTGTAGCCTCCATGGGGTCTGCGCCGCACGGCGGGGCTGTCACTTCCATGGGGTCTGGAAGAGTTTGTCTATTAGACGCAGGCTGTTGTTTCCAACACAAGTCCTTCCTCACCATGAGCAGCGGTTGAGGGTTCTTTGGGCCGGAAGCTGGAGGCTGCACTGCACGATGGGGCTGTAGCCTCCATGGGGTCTGTGCCGCACGGCGGGGCTGTCGCTCCCATGGAGTCTGGAAGAGTTTGTCTATTTGACGCAGGCTGTTGTTTCCAACCCAAGTCCTTCCTCACCATGGGCGGCGGTTGAGGGTTCTTTGGGCCGGAAGCTGGAGGCTGCACTGCACGATGGGGCTGTAGCCTCCATGGGGTCTGTGCTGCACGGCGGGGCTGTCACTTCCATGGGGTCTGGAAGAGTTTGTCTATTAGACGCAGGCTGTTGTTTCCAACACAAGTCCTTCCTCACCATGGGCAGGGTTTTTTGGGCTGAAAGCTGGAGGCTGCACTGCACGATGGGGCTATAGCCTCTACGAGGTCTGCGCCGCACGGTGAGGCTGCCGCTTCCATGGAGTCTGGAAGAGCTTGTCTATTAGATGCAGGCTGTTGTTTCTAACACAAGTCCTTCCTCACAATGAGCAGCAGTTGAGGGTTCTTTGGACCGGAAGCTGGAGGCTGCACTGCACGATGGGGCTGTAGCCTCCATGGGGTCTGTGCCGCACGGTGAGGCTGCCGCTTCCATGAAGTCTGGAAGAGCTTGTCTATTAGACGCAGGCTTTTGTTTCCAACACAATCCTTTCCTCACCATGGGCAGCGGTCGAGGGTTCCTTGGGCCGGAAGCTGCACTGCACGATGGGGCTGTAGCCTCCATGGGGTCTGCGCCGCATGGTGGGGCTGTTGGTTCCATGGAGTCAGGAAGAGTTTCGTCTATTAGAAGTTAGGTTGTGAAGCTATAGAAGCAGCATTGTTTAAATAAAGTTTACATAAGTAATATACCTCTATATGGATAGTTAAAAAAATCTTTAGCTCTAGCTGTTTTAGGATCTGAATATGTCGATGGGCAAACTGAAGGCACAGCGGTTTTCATTAGCTTTGTCCGCCCAGGGTTCATGAAGTCACGCGCTATGAAGTGACTGCTGCAGACGAAATACTTCGCCTGTAGCTCACTGTACGGTATTTGGAGAAGGTCGTCTTTTTTGGCATACTTCAGTCACGCCTTTGACCTGCAAGATGTCGTGAAGTTCATTATTTTTCATTCTGTTTCTTTGTTCAAAATAAAATATTTGACCACAATGGTTTGCATATTGTGGTTTTACATGGAGGTAATAAGCAAACTAATAGCGCTTCAGAAGGTTGTAGGTGTTTCTTGACTGCACACATATACACTTTTTAACAGACTGGTTAAAATGTGCGCAATGCTATAAAAAGAAAAACTGATGCACGTATCGCTTATGGACACGCATCTTTCACATCATCATTAACTTTGTTCGTGTGATGAACACGTGTTGTTAGCGCCACCATTGCGAAAACATGTGCTTTGAGATCTGGGACTGGGGGAGGGAATTCCCGGGAAGGTGAATGACCGGAAGGCATCCTCCAATCTCAGAGGAGTGGTCATATTGCACTGGGAATCGGGAGACGGGCCGACTCCGTGTGCATCACATGCTCTATCTCAAATCTGGTCTACTAACCTCGGCGCGCTCTAAAACGACCAGTGAAATTCGCCATTAGCAAGAAAATTATTGATTTATCTTGATCCCCTTGATAAAGCCAGCACACTCATAATGTGTTTTTGTGGCATTCTTCAGGGTTTGTGGCGGATGTTGCGGCTTGTTTTTAGTTTTCTTTGGCAATAGCACATTATTTTATTCCAAACTCGAACCTTTTTATCTTATGCGATGGTGGGCACGTCTGGGATTTTTTTCTTTGTGTAAACCGTTCAGATGCCAACGCTGAATGCCGGTCCAGCGTTTTCGTCCCAACGTTTCTGAGGGACAAAGTCGGCCGGTTTTGTGTCTACCCACCGACTAGCAAAGTGGTAGAACGTAGAACTCACAGTCCAGGGGTCGCGGGATTGATTCCCGTTGCCATAGCAAGTCTGGCATTTACAATGCCATGCTTGCTAATTTACCGCTCTTTTGTACTGATTGTCCTCTGATGTACAGCCTCCAGATTTTAAAGCAACATAGCTTTAAAGAGCTCGTGTCGCAGAAAAGCCGGCGTCGGCGGGACTGGAAAATCCTGAATTGGCCGATAGGGTCATGATGTCACAGCCACATGACCTTGCGCAGGAATTTCAAACAACCCACAACGCTCACGTCAAGCGTGATGTCAAACGTGGAATGAAAGTGATTAAAACATGACATGTAATGCGAATTAAAGGTTGCCGCATATGTCTCGAATGATTTCGTTTTATAAAGTAATTCATTTGCCTTATAGAAATGTTTTTAAGAATTAGGCAGATGCAGGATTCAAACCCACGACCCTTTGGTTGCGAGCCAGACACGCTATTGACTAGGCCACGCAGACACGCTGCGCGGCTTGGGAATGAGCGGGGCTTTATATGTTTAGCTATCGCATTCCAATCTTATAGGCAAAGCTTAAGTGTCCTCCTGTAATTTTTTAACAATAACGCGCAAACGCCGAATGACCGGTAGATCAGCGCCTTATCACAATATGAAACAGCAGGTAAGCGAGACTACGCGCATGTGGCAGAAGGCACACACCTAGCCTCGCTGGCTTGCTGTTTTACGCCACGGTAAGGCTCTGATCCAACAGCCGGTCGGCATTCGTGCAATACTGTTTAAAAATCTGGAGGCTGTATGTGTTGCACATTTTGTAACTGTTTCATTAGCATTCCCGCACGTGCTCGGAGATCCCAGCCCTTTGAGACATTCTGTCTTGAAAAGTTATTTCGACTTGCAATTTGAGTTATTAGTTCAGACGCGTGTATTAATGTGTCTGACCAATTTCAAGGTAACTCAGTGCCTATTGAAATTCTGCTCAGTTCCCCTTCGACGAGGGGCGTGTCGCTCCTCCTCCCCACCTGGAAGGGGGCGTGGCCGTCCAGGGACTCTTTGTTCTCCGAGTCGCCCACGTAGTCCGACTCGTCCTTGAGTCCGGGCAGCAGGTCCATCTGGCTGTTGCGGCTGTTGGGAGTCCCCGCTGCACAGGCTGCACCTCGTTGCCCGCCACCTCGCTGATGTTGGCCAGGGGCTTCTGTTCCGTCGTCAGGTCCGAGTAGTCCCAGCTGTAGCCTGGGGCGGGGAAGGCAGCATTGGCAAAGGACGGCTCGCTCTCTACGTTCTGAGCACGTGCGGGGGAGCAAGGGCTGAGAGTAAGTCTGTGAATGTCTGAGTGAGAGAGCAAATCTGTGAAAGATTGAATGACAGAGAGTGAGTGAATCTGTGAATGAATGAATGACAGAGTGAGTGAATTTGTGAATTTGCGCACGAGAGAGAAAATTTGTGAATGAATGAATACCAAATACTCAGTGAATCTCCGAGAGAGTAAATCTGGATGACTTAATGTGTGTGTGAGGGCAAAAAAAGAAATCTGTGATTGAAGGATTGTGTGAGTGAGTGGGTGAAAGAGTAAGCCTGTAAATTAATGAATGTGTGAGAGGTGAATCTGTGGTTGTGTGCATGAGAGCAAACCAACAAATGAATTGATGCCAGAAAGTGACTGAATCTGTGAATGAATGAATGAGTGTGGGAGTAAATCTGTGAATGAATGAATGAATGTGGGAGTAAATCTGTGAATGAATGAATGACAGAGAGTGAATCTCTGAATTATGCGTGAATGGGCAAATCTGCAAATGAATGAATGTTAAATAGTGAGTGAATCAGTGAGGGTGTAAATCTGAATGAGTTAACGTGCACGTGAGGGAATAAATCTTTCACACACCTTTCCACTCTCCACTTTGACACAATCATAAAACTGTTCTTTGCGCAATCGAGGCACGAAACTAGGGTCAATGTCGAAACTGTGCCTAAACAATGTGCATAGCGCTGAATTCTACACGACATGGCACACTTAGAAAACAACTTTAGGAACAGGCTTACCTCCCAAAAGAAAAGCATGAAAAAAAGGGCGCGCGACAGGCTACCACTAGTCGCTCATCGAAAAGGTATCTGGTGGCGCTGCTTGCAACCAAGGCTAGGAGAGGATCAACTTAAACTGGCAGCTGCAATGCAAGCGGTGTCCATGCCTATGTATACCTTACACCGAGCACCCCACTCAAAAAGGGCCACTGGTTCTACCGTATCCACCCATCCATGCATTGCTTAGAGCTGCGTGTTTTTGCGCTTCAATCAGTTTAGCTCAAACCGTACTCTGCTCTCTTTGTTCTCCAGTTGGCATCCGAGTCCAGGCTCTCCGAGTCACATTGCGGGTGGCACGCCATAGTTTCTCTATTTTTAAAGTTATAGGAGCACGAGCTAGCTCGCGGAAATCTCCTTCGATTCTGCATCAGCTCAAAGGTTCCAGGAATCAAGTACGGCAACATCAATGGCGAATTGCTTGTGGCGGGAAGAGTAGGAAACATGAATACAGCCCAGGTACGGAGGCGCTCCATGTCATGCACCTTGCCTACCCTACTGCTGCATCCGAGCACAAGTCCCAATGATTATTAATTACTACCCAAGACAACAAGCAGAAGGCGAATACAGCTATGCCTTTATGGCTAATGAAAAAGCGGCAGTTGTGAGCATTTCAGGGGTCTACCCGGCATCGAATATGGCCTTCTTTATTTTAATTTCGTTGGATCCAACTTTAATTCCAACCAATTTAGCACCTACATGAAATTAGAATGAATTAACTTTCTGCCCCATCTTTCTTCAACATCAGAATGCTGGATCAAACACTTGTAGCTGCTCACGACCGAAGAAGCATAAAATCATTTTTAAGCCTCTTGTGACTCCCTTCGCTGCTACGGAGGCGGCCGTAAGCAGTGCACAAGGGGTAAAACCAGTTTTAAGTCCTTTCGGTCATAAGCAGTGGCAAGTGTGTGGGAATTAGCCTTAAGGCTTAACAGAGAAACTGAAAACAAAACAACAAACTCATCTTGGCAAGAACGATGAGGGGACCAACGAAAGAGGGAGTCCCCACCTGGCAGGTCTTCAGAAGCGAGGCTGGTTGCAGAGCCGACTCCAACGTTGGGAGGACTCTTAGCGGGCAGGGCAGAGAGGTTCCTGTTCTGGGACATGGGTGGAAGCATCACTTTGGCAGCCTTCAGATCTGGGGGAAGAGAAACACCTCACTTCATCCATGCCACAGCAGTTGTTGACCTTTCAAATCACGCATATTCATTAATAACAAAACCAGCAGAATCCACAAAACACCCCGAATGCAGCCCCCAGGAGTAAAACTAAAAATCGGTCGTTTTGTGCCAAGCAACGAAGGGCATCTGGCACGTTTCAGCGGAGGACAGAGGATCAATTTCGACCACCTTGGGATCTTTTAGTGTGTGACCAAAGTATCGGCTACAATCTCAATCTTCTCCACAATAAGCCTCCGTGATATTGTGGGCACCAAGGAGGGTAGTGTCGCGAGGAACGACTTCCCAGAGTGCCCGTTTACTCTGACATCACGATGCCCTCCGCTGGTGCACTGGTCGCTGTGTGACCTTGCTGGTTTTAATATGCAATGCCTCTTAGGGCTGCACTGCATCATTACATCGATGCAGAAACCACATGGGGTTCTTGAGCTATTTATCGAGAGAGATCAGCGTTTCTTGAGGAGGAAAAGGGAGCTGCAGGTGACTACGGCGGTAGCCGCACGTGAAGGGACTAGCTGGTGCAGAGCCAGAGGAAGAGAAGGACGACGGGGCTATGTGGGGCTTGGCAAGTGCTGCTGTTCCGGCGAGCTATAAACCATATTTTGTTATCCTAACAACTGGCGACAAGATTAAGAATACGAACCATGTTATTATAACAAGTATGTGAAATCTACCGCGAACATCATGCCAAAGTTAGAGCCGTTCACGGGGGAAGGTGGTCAGGAATGGGAAGAGTATGTCGAGATTGTGGATCAGTTCTTTATCGCGAACAACATCGTCACAGACAAGCAACGAGCCGTGTTTCTGAGCAGCTGTGGCAGGCCAACGTACCCACTCCTGCGCAGGCTGCTGGCACCCATCAGACCTTCGGAGGCCCCTCTCGCCAGATGTCTTGAGTTGCTTACAGAGCATTACTCCCCGCGACCGTCGGTGATTGTACAACGGTATCATTTCTACTGCCGCACACAAGACATCGGGGAAACCGTGAAGGAGTTTGTCGCCGGCCTGCGCCAATTGGCCGATCGGTGCGAATTCGGGGCGGAGTTGGCGAACAACCTTCGGGACTGCATCGTGCACGGCATCAGGAATGACGTGATGCGGAGGAGGCTACTGGAAGAGCCTAACTTGACGTTGGATCGGGCGGTGGAGTTAATCACGAGCATGGAAGCCGCCGCGAGAGGTGCTGAACAGATCACCGGCCGAGCGAGCGGGACAGCCGAGACAGCGGTGAACCGCGTGACAGCACCGTCGACATCGGCGCAGTCAGCGGAAGAGCGACGCAGCTGTTTCCGTTGCAGCGGCAAGCACTGGGAATCAACGTGCAAGTTTGTAAATAGTGTTTGTTTCAAATGCCGGCAACGAGGTCATATATCAAGACTGTGCCAGAAAAAGACAAGCCACGAGAGCAGAGTCGGCAGCAACGACAAACATTGCGAAGGGAAAACGAAGCAGACGCTGAACTCAACTCAGACACCAGCAAACCGTTCGGTGCACGTCATGCAAGCTCAAGACAGTGAAGAGTCAGATTCGAGCGTTGTGGGGGACCTTTGGCCGTTAAACCCGAGCGAAAAAATAGCGCTACCAGAACACGGCCGAAAAGAGGCACCAGAGTTCAAGGACCCGCCAATTTTTGCAGAAGTGACGATACAAGGAAAAACTGTACAAATGGAGCTGGACACCGGAGCTGTGTTTTCGGTTATGGATGAGACTGAGTTCGAAAGACGGTTTCCAGATACCGTCATCGAACCATCAACCGTTAAACTGCGGCGCTACTTCGGTCAGCTGGCTGCCGTAGTCGGCAAGGCGACGGTCATGGCGGAGTTTGGCGGGAAAGCTGAGCTACTACCTTTGTTTGTTGTACGAGGTGGTTCCCGGGCTCTTCTGGGACGGAACTGGGCAAGGGCTTTCACCATGCCTCTAGATCAGCTCGTCAATGTGCATCAGGTGAGCAGCACTGAAGAGTTGGCAGGCAGATTTCACTCCGTGTTTTCTGAAGGATTAGGGACGCTGAAAGGAATGAAAGCAACTATCAGCGTACCGGAGAGAGCCAGACCCAGGTTTTTCCGACCGCGAACTGTACCTTTTGCGTTGCAAGACCTGGTAGCGCAAGAGTTGCAACGCTTACAGCGCGACGGGATTTTGACCCCCGTACGAACGTCAGAGTGGGCGGCGCCTATCGTACCTGCACTAAAGAAGGATGGTAGGATACGAATTTGTGGCGACTTTATAAACTCACAGTCAACCAAGCGGCTATTACAGAAGTGTATCCGGTACCGAGACTGGGAGATGTGGGCGAAGCTTGCTGGGGGAACAACGTTCTCTAAGCTGGATCTCCGCGATGCGTACCAGCAGATTGAACTGGAGCCGGCAGTTAAGAAGTTTGTCACAATTAACACGCAGAAAGGACTGTTTCAATACAACAGGCTGCCTTTCGGAGTAGCGTCGGCTCCCGCCATATTTCAAAGAGAGATGGAAAATCTTTTACGAGATTGTAACGGCACCATTGTCTATTTTGACGACATCTTGGTCACAGGGGCAACAGAAAATGACCACTGCCAGAATCTGGAGGCAGTCTTAAAAAAGTTAAGTGAGGCCGGGTTGAAACTCAAACTGGCAAAGTGTTCACTTTTCCAAAGAAGTGTGGAATATTTGGGACACAATATTGACGCTGAAGGAATTCACCCCGCACCCAAAAAAATCGAAGCGGTAATCGAGGCACCAGAACCCTCGAATGTCAAAGAACTACAGACCTACCTTGGATTACTAAACTTTTACCGAAAGTTTATGCCAAACGTGTCATCGGTGTTGCATCCCCTCCATAAACTGCTGAAAAAAGGGGAGGCCTGGAGTTGGGGTGCTGAGGAACTAGCGGCGTTCAATACAAGCAAAGCGATGTTGACGTCTGCATCAGTGCTAGTGTATTATGACCCGAGCCAGCCGGTGGTACTATGCTGCGATGCATCACCATATGGTGTTGGTGCGGTATTGGCGCACAGAACAAGTTCCGGGGAAGAAAGGCCTATCGCTTTTGCATCCAGGCGTCTAACCACAGCTGAAAAAAAACTACAGCCAACTAGATAAAGAGGCCCTGGCCGTAAAATACGGAGTGACTAAATTCAACCAATTCCTGTGGGGTCGACAATTCGACATTTGCACAGACCACAAGCCATTGCTGGGTCTTCTAGGACATGATCGGGGAATCCTACAACAGTGCTCTCCTCGAGTGCTTCGATGGGCGTTAACGTTGAGCGCTTATTGCTATCGACTGGTATATCGACCAGGGGTCAATCTAGGAAATGCGGATGGGCTGAGTCGGCTGCCACTGCCTGAATCCTCGTTCAAGGACCACGCGGCTGGGGAAGTGTTTATGCTGGAAAAGGCGTTTCCGTCGTTGTTGTCGGCAGCAGCGGTAGCACAGGCTACAAATAAGGATCCCATAGTGTCGACAGTATGAGAGGCTTTGTGGTCTGGGAAGAGTCTGCCGGAATCTGCTGATTGGAGGACGTTCTCATGTCGACTAGAGAAATTTTCAGTGCAGGACGGCTGTGTATTGTGGGGTTGCCGAATAGTAGAACCAACATCACTAAGGCCAGCGGTGCTGAGCGTGCTACACGAGACACATCCGGGTATTGAGAAAAAGAAAATGGTCGCTCGGAGCCATGTCTGGTGGCCAGGCATAAACGAGGCTATTGAAAACAAAGTAAATGGTTGTACCATATGCCAAGTTCACCGGCGGGCACCGAGGTCGGTACAACAAACACCATGGCCATTCCCGGAAAATGCATGGTCACGTCTACATGTTGACTTTGGAGGGCCGTTTCAGGGCATCTATTTCTTGGTGCTAGTTGATGCGTTCTCCAAGTGGGTAGACGTGCACCGGGTGCCCTCACCATCGGCTAAAGCCACAGTGGAGTGCTTGAGATCAATCTTTGCCACACACGGCCTACCTGATGTGGTCGTTAGTGATAACGGCCCGGCGTTCGTCAGTGCGGAATTCAAAGAATTCCTGGCAAGAAATGGAGTTCGTGCTATCACTATTCCACCGTATCACCCTGCCTCAAACGGCGCTGCAAAGAGGGTGGTACAAACGATAGAAGAAAAGCTAAAGAAAGCTAAACCAGGATGTTTCGAAGTCAAGATTCCCAGAATTCTTTTTAATTACAGAACGACGCCACATCACCTGACTGGACGAACACCAGCAGGGTTGTTGATGGGGCAGCGCCTAAAGACTCCCCTGGACCTGCTGCACCCAGATCTCCGAGTCAGAGTAGGGTTCAAGCAGCTACAGCAGAAGGAGCGAGCGGACAAATCTGCAAGAAGAGACGGATTACCACTGCCTGGTGATCGTGTCTGGGCTCGAAATTTCAGACCAGGAGATCGTTGGGTCCCTGCAATAGCTGAGCATCCCACCAGTGCATCGTCGGCACGAGTGATGCTGGAAGAGGGCGGCACCTGGAGTCGTCACGGGGATCACCTGAGGCAACGAGCACCAGTCCCAACACAAAACACCTTGGATGTGCAGCAGCCATTGGAGAGTGCACAAGACAACATGGATGTGCAGCCACCATTGGAGAGTGTAGTGAACATGCCTCTTGGACAACAAACTTTCATGCGGCCCGAAGACAGCGTAGCTAGGCAGACACCATTAGGCAGTGTGGTAAACCTACCTAGTGAGCGTGTGCGTGACATGGGTGGTTCTTGTGTGTCTAGAGCCGATATACAGACTCCGAGTGCGGTGCGGGAACGCTCAGGACAGGATGTGCAGGCCGAACCTGTGAGAAATTACACTTTGAGACGTACAACTAGACAGCGCAGACCTCCGATACGGTACTCTCCTTGATTGACACTGTGAGTTGAGGGGGAGGAGTGTGACAGTTGTAACAAGGGAGCTGCAGGTGACTACGGTGGTAGCCGCACGTGAAGGGACTAGCTGGTGCAGAGCCAGAAGAGAAGGACGACGGGGCTACGTGGGGCTTGGCAAGTGCTGCTGTTCCGGCGAGCTATAAACCATATTTTGTTATCCTAGCAGAGAACACTTTGTCTAGTGTTTCACGAGAAGAACAAAATTCACACTTTGTGCTGTTGGTATTCCTTTAGGCTACGAACAAAGTTGGTATTACACAGAATCTGGCGGTTTCGCTTGCTTCCCCACTCTCCTGCAGATCTTAGGAATCTTTCCCGTTACATTAAAATCACGTAACATGGTAGTACAATGATAATAGTGTAGTCATGCAGAGCCCTCAGTGTAGTAAAGTAACTATCACTTCACGAGTCTTCCCCTTGGCTTGGCGGTAGAGGGTGTCAGATTCTAAATCCTGGGGCCCCAAATTCAGTTTTCGCTGACAAACGTTTGGAATTTCATTTATTCTTCTCGGTTGTGTGTCCTCCTGTACAACTTTTCCCTCGAGATCCGTGTCACACAATTCGGGGCAGTTTTTGGTGGTGTTTAGACAAAGCCCTTAAATAAATTAAGAGTTGAAATAGCTGACCATGACAGCCGCGACTCCCCCTCCTGAACGTGAAAAGGGTGGCAAGTGCACTGTGATAGTTCTACATGCCTTAATCTCGTGCTTAGCGTAGGTAAGACATTGAAAACACCACTTTCACATTCTTTGTAAGTAGCAGGCACCATATTCTCTTTCTCTTCTACTTTGCCACGTGTCCGCTGCATCTTGTGAAAACATGCTTAATTTCTTAACAGACATCGAGACCTTCAAATATACCCCAGAGTTGCTGCGCTGTACATACAATGTATTGTACACTAACGATTACGTAGCCTAGCCATTATTTACTTGTTTCCTTTTCCTACCACGCCATTGGCGCTCTCCGTCCAAACTTGGCCCTTGAGCCATTAAAACTCAATCAATCAATTCAACACAGATCCACAAATATACCACTAAGTTGCTGAGTTGTACAGACCTCATATTGAATGCTAATCATCGAGTAGAGAAGACATTAGTATTTACTCGTTTCTCCCTTCCTACCACATCACTGGTGCTCTCCGACTAAACCGCGTGCCACTGCAGCCCGCTCGACCGAGGAACCGTGCCCACCATTAGGGATCTTGTCGAGGTAGATGCGCTCCTTGTCCGCATCCCAGGCCGCCTTGTGCGGGGAGGCGGTATCTCAATTCTCAAAAGTTCTTTCGCCCACTGACGTCGCTGCTGGTTGGCAAAGGTGCGTCGCAGCTCGGCCTGGAACTCTTCCCATGTTGAAATCGACGCTTCGTGGTTCTCAAACCAGGTGCATGCCATGCCTTCCAGAGCGAAGTAGACGTTTTGAAGGCACAGGCTCTGGTGTCCACTGGTTATGGCGGGCCATTCGTTCGTAATGCTGTAGCCAATCCTTCACATCCTCATGGGCCTCACCATGGAACGGCGTCGGGTTGCGTGGGGCGACAGGCATGAAGACGACGGATGGAGCGGTCGAGGTCTGCGGCGACTGGTTGTTCATCGTCGTCCTGTTTGACTGCTCTGTCCTGGGTGGCAAAGGTCCAAATTCCGGGTGTAGGCCTTGAATGCGGCGACTTAATCGAGTCTTGGTAGTGTCTTCGTCGGGTCATTGGGGGCTTGCTCTCGGACTTGCACTGCGGGCCCTCGGAGGGGTACGCTGCAGGGACATGCATTACCCAAGACCTCCACCAGAATGTCACTAATAAACACGCAAGGAAACAAAGAATAACTGGGGAAACTGAAACATTTAATGGAGGCGAACTTGTGCCCAAACTAAACAAAACAAAAAGGGAATAGAAGAAAACAGCAGAGTGTCGCAGGCGTCGAAGTCGGCGTAACAGCAGGTTCGAGCGCTGGGGCGAGACTGACTGCAAATCGCCACGCGGAGCCCCTTATGTACACGTGTGGGCTTCTGGAATAATCGGCGTAGAAGGTTCGGCGTGTAGAACATTCTGACCTCGAACAAGCCGACATGGTTCTCGAATTTACCAGAACATTACTTTCTAGAGTCAACAAAAATGCGCCTCCGCGGCCAGGAATCGAACCCTGGTTTTCTGCGTGGAAAGCATGCGCGATAACCGTTAGACCACGAGCGCGCTGCCTTCTTGGTCGGTTGCGCTCGCAGCAATATAGATTAGTATTTCAGTATACTTGCCTTACTGAGGAGTAGCCTGCACTTTGAAGCTGCTAACATCTCCTAAACCAATATCACTTGTACCACTACTACTCTTAAATTTGCAGATAGCAATATATTTATCTTACGGGTGTCCTAACAGTAAAACAGAACGACAAGGAAGTGGAGGTAATACCAAAAGCAAACATTGAAAGGACAGCAATGACGTGGATGCGCCACGCCAAAGAACGACTGGAGAAATGCCGCAAGGGGTAAGTATGCAAGATTGGTCTGCGCGTGAGTGCTGCAGTGTTGTATATCAGAACCATGGGAATTTCTAACAGTAATTAGAAAAAAAGGAACAGCCAGAATTAAGACAAACAAGTTTGATCGAAGAGGGAGTATCCGTGGTAAACGGAAACTTTTCAGCACACCTGGGAGTGTAGATATCAAGCCATGTACGTCTGTCCACTTCAAACTTATCTCTGATTGCTGAGTTTCTGAAGCCATTGGGGTTCTCACGTAGAAGAGCTAGTGTAACTGAGAAAAACATAACCGCTTATAGGTATTCCACTTACGTTCTAGGGAAGCTGCGGGGATGGTACCGGAGGAAGGCGAGGAGAATTAAAGACTATTTTTTAGAGCCTTTAGGGGCCATTTCCCGGAATTAAAGACTATTTTTTAGAGCTCTTAGGGGCCCGTTCCCGGCTTGAGCGGCGTCGGCGTAACCAAGGTCATCCCAAGGTCACGTGACCCCTCCCAAGGTCATCTCAAGGTCACGTGACCCTTTGAAAGTCACGTGGTCTCCTCCCCAAGCTCACGTGACCCCAAGGTCCCCACGTGACCCCTCCAGGTCACGTGACCCCCTGAGGTCACGTGGGGGTCACCTTGGGGGTCACGTGACCTTGAGGTGACCCCCCCCATGTGACACCCAAGGTCACGTGACCCCCAGGCCACGCCTCCCCGAGGTCACGTGACCCCCCTCCCCGAAGTCACGTGACACCCCCCCCCCCCCCCCCCCGGGGCATATTAAAGAATGAGGGGAGGAGGAGAAGGAGGAGGGGTCTACCCTCCCCTCAGTACCCTTCACTCCTCCTCTTCAAGAGCTGTGCTCCAATTCGGCGTTACAGGGGTTTGTAAACGGCTTTCACTTTTTTGTTATTGAAGACATTCCTTTAATTTTAATTAACAGTTGATCCAGGCTTTGTTAAACTACTGACAGCTAGTCATTTATTATTTTTCCAATAAGTGTAAAGTCTTTATCATATCCACTAAACCTATATATTAAAAAAGTTTAATAATAAGACATAAAATGAATGTTTAATGCGGCGAACTTGTACCTTGAAACAAAGTAACAAAGACCAAACATACTCTGACGGCGACGGCAGGATTCAAGCAGCCATACGAAGCTCGTTTTGAAAGCACGTGCGTATCTAGGAGTTTCCGCTCTCGAACGAACATGATTCTCTAATCATCTGGAATGTTCCAGATGACTAGAGACCGTGACATCAACGACGACCTCAACTATGGCCTTGAAAACGACCCGGACTATGCACTCGATAAGGGCCCTGGCTACGACCTCGACGATAACATGATGACGACTTGGACGACGACGCCGACAACGAAACGAACAATGACTTCAACGACAATTGCGACTAAAACCTTAACGACTACCTTGATGACGAACCCGATGACGATACCGACGACGAGTGGGATGTCGACCACGAACAGGACGACGACGCTCGGTTCGTCGCTCAACGAGCGGAGCAAGTCCGCCAGCGCGGCCGCATTTTGATTCAAGCCACATCACCTACCAAAATCTCGGATAAGCCTACGCGAGCTGCTTTGCTAGCGGACGCTTACAAAACGATCTACGAAAACTCCCTAATAGGGAGTTTTCGTAGATCGTTTTCGCCGTCCCGCAAGGCCCTCCGCAGCACGCTACGATACCGGGAACTCCACAGTCAAGGCTATCTGCGCGCAGGCGCAGTAGCAACTTCTTCGTTGCGGAACGCTTAGCGGAAAGGGCAGCGCGGTCTACGAACGATGTCAACGCGCGACGGCTGCGCCGAGCGCCCGTCCGGGACGGAGCAAAAAAAGAGAACGATGTCAACATCGTTCTCTTTGCTACTTTTTAACGGAAATTACTGAATAGGGAGTTTTAGAATAGCGCACGCTAAAGCTTTGCGTACGCAAAAAATAGCGTAGTCGCCACTGAGCACAGTTTAAAAAAAAAATGGCGGTTTCCAGGACTATGTCGGCGGCTGCTTTGGCGGCGTCGTGAGTGCGACGTCGGCGGCATCCTCGCGACTGCAATTTTCAATACGGGACGACATTGTACTCGGTTTGGCAGCGATCACCGGCAACTTGATGCTTGCGACGCGCGAACATTTCACGGCGAAGGAACGATGTGCGAAGGTCAGTACACGAGACCTCTTTTGCCGAGGCGACGCAAGCGGACACGACCAGTTCACCGCTCGCGTCGTGCTCTCATGTTTAAACAAATTAAAGTGCTACTCTAGACCAAAAAACTCGTTTTCTTTTAAAGTTACATCACTTCGTGTGTGAAATAAAAATTTGACTGTATCTTGGTGGCGTCGCAAGCGCGAGATGCTTGGGCTTTTGCGTCGCGGCGGAGAAACGCTATTCTAAAACTCCCCTGCGTCGCGTGCGCTAATACAAGCGCTAAATTCAGCGCTAGCGTGCGCTAAAATTGCGTACCTTATTCTAAATTACCTTGTATTTCCATGGCGTGTAGTGTCCTTATACTTCGTTTCAGCTTCGTTCCGAGCGCGGACGGTGTTATGAGCCGAAGGGCCAATCAAAGAGCGCAAAAAGCACAGCGTCATGGCGTGCTCTCTGCACTTGATACGACTAGCCGGCGGAGGAGCGCACACAAAGGGACGGCGAATACCGGCTGGCCCTATCAACTGCAGGAAGGACGCCATGACGTTGTGCCTCTTTCGCTGTTTGATTGGCCCTTCGGCTCATAACATTGGCCGCGCTCGGACCGAAGCTGAAACGAAGTATAGTAAAACGCAACCAACCATCCTCGGAGCAAAAACGGCGCGAACCCCGCCGACCCCGCGAACCAATGGATTGCTTTGGATTGGCTTGTATTTTTCTGACCTTGCTTGGATTCTGGTAGTGGCTACACCATCTTGGCTGTGAAATCAGCAAGGAGGATCCTTGGAACGCTTGGAGCATAGGCCTTGGAAACCAGAATAATTATAATTATTTCTTTTTTTTGTGTGTGTGTGTGTGTGTCATTGGGACCACGTCGGTAGTTTTATTTACTCAAGCAGAACCTACAGAACTGGGAAGAAAATAAAAATCAGCCTTTCCTCCCACAATCGTCACCTTGGGGAAGGTTTCAGGAGTGTCCAAAATAAATATCACAGGGATGTCCGAGGGACAACTACAATAGGGTATGGGACGCGAGGGTCCCAGGGGGACCTTTTTGGGACGTCCCTGGGACACCGGGTGTTGTATGGGGTCGGCATTGCATGTCTCAAGGACACAGATTGAAAGAAAACTCATCACTATTTTTGTTTTCGCTGTGCTGTAGTAAATGATTGCCATAGACAAAAGTTTGGTCACACTGACGTCAGCGGATTCATTGATGATGATGCTGAACCTTCTCTCTCCAATGTCTGCAGCAAGGTCACTCTTGAAATGCAGATAGAGTACATTCTTTATCAACGATGCAAACTTAGTGCGTTTCATGCGGTAGTCTCTTGCTGTACGGCCGTCCGAGAACTTCTTGATCACACCAGACACATGATTGGCATTAACAATGCAAATTGACCGGGAAATCGTATGAACCAGGAACACAAGGTTCTACTAATCGGCTCCAGATCATGTGGCCACTTCTTCTGGCTGCGAGTTGAGGGGGAGCAAGCTGCTATTTTTCTTTTTTTCCGCAACTTCTATTACATGTGGTGAAAATCGAACGTGCTTCATAAGTCATTAACGTCGGGGATTCCTTCTAAGCGGTGTTTGCTCAAAGTAGAAAAGTTGTTGCATCACCCCTTTATAATTTGTTCGGTCTCTAATAGTAATTAATGTCAGTACTGCAAATGCGACATAATACGATTTAAGGAATATTTAAATCGTCAACTGCTTTTGTAATTACCCAACATTTTGCGACGATTATTCCTCCATCAAATGTTTACCTGACCGTACAGCTCACCTGCACGAAGGCAGCTCAAACGACCTTTCTACGTTTTTTTTTTGGAAGGTGGAAGGGAGGGGAGTGATCGTGGTATTGTTTTGTTTGTTTGTTTTTAGTTTCATGCGGATCTCATGTTCAAGTTGCCCGGTTTTCGCCGTCTCCTGATGACTGACTGCCTCCATTGATCCGCCGAAAAAGAAAACGAGGATAGGATGAGGAGGCTTACACCCACACCAAAGGGACACAATGTGTTTGAAAATTGTTTTACAGTAGGGGAACTCTTCTTTACACAGCAGCCAAGGCTCATCCGCACAATGCTCGCAGAATAAAGTGCTTAGTACAAAACAGTACAATTTTTTCGCCTTTTACGTTTAAGTTGGCTTTGTCGCCACACACACATCAACAGGTTACGCTTGACATGTAATCTGTCGATATGAAAGTGTTGAAAAATATAATATTGAAAGATACTTTACAATTTCATGTCTCATAATTTTCCTTAGCTGATGCGATTGAGGTTTTATGGTATGAGGAAATAATACCACTTTAAGCTTTCTCTTTTTATTTTAAAACACTATACAGTATCTGTCAAACTCATTGCTTACCTTTTTTTTTTTAAATTCATTCTATCTGACAGACCACTCGCATAAATTATAGTAAACGTTAAAACGTCCTAAATAAAAAAGATACAAAAGTTTAATCTCCGAGACTGTGCAGTCAACTAAAAGCTCAACAATAAACTAACAACTAATAATGAATGTACTAATTTTACAAAAATGAAGTTAAATGACAGCTCTTTGATTCAACATTAATTTACCGTCAAAAGAAACGAAGCAAAACAATATAAACGGCGGGACTGCACCTGCAGCAGGCTATGGCCATCCCGCACCTACCTGTGTTGCATCCACCGCAGAAGCCACCTTGCAGGCTCCGAATAAGGGAGAAGCGACCAAGTCAACACAGTGCCTAAACTTGTATTCAAATATGATACATGACCAGAGGGGGGGGGAACACATCTTGAAGCGGCGCTCAGAAGGTGTGCGCGTTTCGACAGACTCCACAGCCCAGTGCAAACTCCTCCCCCGTAGGCGGATGCTTGATGTGAAGAGGGCACTCCTCGCCTTCTAGTTGCTTGGCCTTGGGACCTGCAAGTGACGATGAAGGTAACTAAGTGGCGGAGTCTCGCCTTGCTTTTCTTTTTGCCACCAACTCCTCATTGGCAAAGACGGGGTCACGTGCGCCAAATTCGACTACGATGCTTGCGGGGAAAGTGACCTTGCGAAGCATACACGGGTGCTTTTATTTATTCTTTTACACAGTTTTGTAAAAAAATCAAGAAAAGTAAAACCTACAGCATTGCAGTTTGTGCCGATAAGTTATACGTCCAGGCAGACACAATGTTAAAGAGATAATGCATCTAAAAGATACACAATTAACTCGAATTTACTAATTAACATTTTAATTAGAGGATTTAGGGCACATGTTTCTGTTACGATATTGGAAGCAGTCAATGTCCAAGGCTAGCCCAGTTCTTAGAAATCCTGGATTGGGCAGGGGCTTCGAGCCATCCATTGCCAAATCTTACTCTAGAAACTAACGCTCGAAGCATGCCGGAAAGACGACCCACCGTTTCGTACCAGAGGCCCACAGGGGTATGCCAACATTTGCGTCACTTCTTTGCGTAACAGCGCTACAAAGCTGATTGAGGCAGGCGCTTGCTCTTTTTATACTGTGTAAACATTCATAATCGTGTTTGAAAATCTAAATGTACTACTGTATAATTTTTTTTTAATTTATCAAATTTAAAATGTATACTACATATACAAAAATTCAAAATGTTCGCAAACAGGGTGTTCCCAAGTACCATAATCAAGCACAAAAAAAAGTTCACATAAAAAAAAAAAAAAAACGAAGGGAGTGCAATTACACTTCTGACAAAGGTGTCTTCAAAGGGACACTGACACCCTCCAAAATTTTGTTTTATTTTTTGCCAGGCGATTTATAATGGTGTCAGAAAACTACTCAATCAATATTTTGCTACAGTGCAACGCAAGTGCTCGAAACCGAAATGACTGGGGAGGAAGAAGAAATATAGAGGAGGAGACAGTTACCAAAAATCATGCAACTGTGCAACTTTTTTTTTTTTTTTTTTCAATCAACATATTCAATTAGATGCTGATTGCCCCATGCTTGAGGCAATCAGCCACAAAAAATGGGTATAATATTTTCTGTCTATTTTTGGCATGAGTGTGTGCCTAAAATGACCCATGACTTTGGTTTAGACACAACCATCAAAAATAATCATAAAAAACGGCACGTGACCACAGAGAAAAGAGTGAGCGCAACTCAAACCGACCAGTTCTCAATCAGCGGTTTTCAGGCGGAAAGAAAACGAATTTCGAGCAGGAAATTGTGTTATGGGTAGTTGGGCTTTCATATGTCATGTACAAATAAAAACCTTGGCGAGCATAAATACCCTGTCAGTGTCCCTTTAAATGGTGCACTTACACTCAAATTTCTTGAGGCTTTGCTTCAGTGAACTTTCACTGAAGCAAAATGTTTCTTTGGGTCCCTCGAACTCTGTTCAGGGGGATCTCGACACGTGCACCTATAATCAAATGCAGCCTAAGGAATGCCAGACGTGGCTTATTGGGGTCGCTCATCTCTCTTTGCGATTCGTTCTTCAGCGTTTCTGTCGACTAACGCTGAAATCTCATTGGCTACATAGTGATAACGGAATGCGTGGTCGACCCACCGGCGGGGCAGCGAGGGAGCTGCTGCTTGGGCAGGTTGGCAACCCGCTGGAAGTCGTCGTGGCAGGCGTTGCAGAAGTGCGTCGTTCCGAAGCAGAAGAAGACTGCCACGGAGCAGCAGTAGCGGCACTTGTACTCCAGGAAGTCCGTCCCATGCTTGGGGCACATCTGCACCGAAGGAGTCAATGAGCGTTCGCACGGTCGGCATATTTCTCGGGGGCAAATCCAGGATGCCTTGAAACACGTCCTTCGTGAACCAATACAAAAAACAAAAAAATGTATACTGTTGAGACCGATTTTAACGAAGCCAGTTATAACAATGGTGATGCAGGCGAGTTGGTTCACAATATGGCTGGAAATGGTGCACAAATAGCAAAGACACGAAAGGTGCAGACAACACAAGTGCTGGATGGCATAAACTGTTGTCATTTTTGTGCGCGTGGTTCTACAAATTGTGGCGTCGCCCGCCATCCCATTCATGTTGAGAAGTAGGCCTAGACATCTCCTCTCCATTGCAGCCTTCTGTAGCTTCAATTTCTCGCGCACTTTTCTCAAGAAAAGTTATTTTCCACGTTACGAAAAAGTGTTGCCACGCATCTGTAAGGTAACACTCAAACACATTTTTTAGGGGTGAAGCTCCTTAGGGTTTAGCCTTGCCTGGCGTCCGTTCTAACATCGATTGCACTGCCTCCGGGATTGGCCCAGTTTTAAAAAAAACAAAAAAACATACGCCCGCACGGGGGTTCGAACTCAGGACCACTTGCTTACGAGGCAGACGTCTTAACCACTACGCTTCACTCCAACGTTGCATGTAGCCGCTCATTGTCTATACAGGAGAGGGCGCTGCGGTCAAATGCGTATATAATCGCGTTCAACTTTGCATGCATTGGCTCAACGTTTATAGACGAGAGGGTGCTGTGGTCAAATGCTTAACTGCGTATATAACCACGATCCATACAACAGATTCTCTTTCTGACATGGACCGTTGACTTAAGTGATGGAGATGCGTTACCACGGCTTCTAGCGGATCCAAGCCGCTAAAAGAACCACTGGCTCTGCATTTCACCGACCATAAAGCAGTAATAATGAAGTCAAAACGCAACCCGGAACTCAGCAGTACCTATGAGCAATAAAAAAAAAGTCAGCAGCATCAGCACTACCTATGAACAATAAAATCAGTATCACCAGCACCACCAGAGCTTCGCCCCAATCAACATCATTCATCACGTGGAGATGCGACCACTTTTCTTTTTATGTAATTTTGAGGCATTGTCACAGCTTGCACACAAGAATTTTTGTTCTTAATATTGTCCTATCACAACCACATTTGACATACATATAATTTAGGATATGTTGAATGCAACTATCAAAGTTTGGATGGAATGACCACCATTTTTTATATTTATGAAAAATTAAAAAATCTAAAAAACTTTTGTTAACCTCTCAAAAAAAGCATTTTTGCGATTTTCAATTATTTTAAAATAATAGGTCTCTAGCACACATTATTTTGTTGTTAATTGCATTCAGCAATTTAAAAGGAGTAAATTACAGTTTATTTTTCTGGGCTCTTTTAAGTGTGTGCAAGAACATGACTTTTTTCTACATGTCCATAGCATCCAGTACATAAAAAAAAACAAGCTATAAGAAATCTAATGCTAGATTTGCAAGAAAGGAGATCAGGCGCTATAAACTGTAAACATTTCATTCAATTATCGTAAATACAAAAAAAAAAAAGTTTTCCCCTGGCACATGTGCAAACTGAAGGATACATAAAAACAAAGTCAAGAATGATTAACGAATGACAAGAAAAAAAAATACCTGAGCCCTTGAGATGTCTGAGCAGGCACCACAAACCAGCTCCGCGGGGTCGTAGTCGTCGACGGGACCGGCCTCCACGTCGCACCTCACCTCACCACCGTAGTACGCCTGGAGACAAGAGATACAAACCTTTACACTGTGCCAGAACAATGACACATATTGCACATTGTTGATGAACATACATGCAAATAAACAGCTTGTATGTACACATGAAAAGACTTCCACACCGCTGCACGCCCACTTCTTTAGTGGCGCATGCATTGACTTCTTGTTTGTTAAATGTGGCCCCACTGGCAGTGATATAACCCCTCTCTATTAAATTTAACATAGAATATGTTTCTGAACTGGCTTGCCCCCCCCCCCCCCCCCCCCCCCTTTCCCCCCTTCCCTCTCCGTAAAAGTGTGATAAAAAAAAACATTACTCATAAAAACCTTTTTATGAAAGAGGCGACTTTGTCCTGCTATCCCGAGAACTGGATTAGTTTTTCCCTGTATTCCAATCGCATAGTTCAAACTTGAATATAAATTCTACCTGGAATTTACTTAAAAAAAAATTGTTGTCTTTGACACAGACATACGTTTATCGTGCATCATATCAGGAAAGAGAAGGAATGATAAGCCGTGAATGAACAGGGAAATTCAAACTTTGATAAACCAAAAGGATCGTTCGGTCAGTAGGTATGGTCGTTCACAAGAACCTAGATTATATTCCAAAATGAAGGAGTTAGGCAAAATCATAACGAACGTAATGTGCAGGACACAAAATAAATATCTAGACACTTTACCCGACAAACTGAAAAGGAATCCTAAAGAGGTCTGGAAATATGTCGAAAACAAGAAAACTCCTAGCCTCGCTATCCCCGATTTCATAGATGGTGTCAGTTATGAAACAGACCTAAAGAGCAAGGCCAAAACCTTTAATCTGTACTTCCAGTTTTTACTCAGCCGGTCAACCCGGTAAATAGATTACCGACCTCAAACATAGTTAAGCAAATGAATAACATAGACTTCTCTGAGAGTGGCATTACGTCATTATTACAAAAAATCAAAGTAAGCAGTGCCCCAGGCCCAGATTGTATTTCCAACTTTATTCTGAAATACTGGGTTGTTTCTATTTCCCCTTTCCTAACCGTGTTTAAAGAGTCTTTTGAACAGAGCAAACTCCCTCTTGACTGGAAAAGTGCCAACATGGTCCTAGTACATGAAAGTGGAGATAAAACCAACATGAAACTATATGCCTATCTCTTTAACGAGTGTTCCTTGTAAAATGCTAGAGTAGATCATTTGCTCGAATTGAATCAATCATCTACAGAATAATGCATTCTTTTCCCCTATGCGGTATGATTTCAGAGTGGGTTTCTCTTGCGATACACGATCAGTAGAATTCACCCATGATCTCTCTTTTTCAATTAACAATGATTTCCAAGTTGAATGTGTCTTCTTTGGACTTTCGGAAGGCTTTTGACTCAGTATCTCATACTTTGTTATTACAAAAGATGGCAGCTGTTAAGATTTCGGATTAACTTTTACCCCGACTTGAGGCTTATCTTGTTGAAAGCAATGCGTGGTTTTAGACGGTGTGAGCGCCACAAATGTTAGTGTTTTATCAGGTGTTCCGCAAGGGTCGGTGTTGGGCCCCCTTCTTTTTTGTAGTGTACATATAAGATCTTGCTGGTAATCCTTTTAGCCACGTCTGACTGTATGCTAATGATTGTTGTATATACGGTGATGGCATGTGTGAGGCGGATTCTCAAACACTGCAAGATGATCTCCATTCTGTGATGTCATAGTGTCTATGACCTTGAATTAAAACAAATGTGACATACTAGTCAGATTTTCTAACAAAAGAGAACCTCTGGCTACAGAATATTTCCTAGGTGGCACGAGTTTGACTGTTGTACCTGCATATAAGCATTTAGGAGTTTTATTTTCTAGTAACTTGCCATGGAATGCTTATGTTTATTATTTGTCAACTAAGGCCAGCTGCACATTAAACTTTCTCAAACGCAACTTTGGTCAGGCACCTACTAATCTTAAAGAAACGTTGTACATATCGAATGTACGTCCCATTTTGCAATATGCATGTGCCGCATAAGGTTTGCATATATCCCACACCATTAAACAGCTCAAACATACTCCGAAACGGGCAGCTTGGCTTGTCTCCGGCAATTATGATTTCTTCAAAAGATCATCTGAAGTACGCTGCAACCTGGGATGGCCACTGTTCGAGGACAGACCAAGGTACTTTAGGCCCACTTTATTTTTCACCATACTAAACCATAAAACAGGCATCGAGAAATTACGTTATTTTGAAGAACCTAGTCATGTGTCGCCGCATACAGATCATTAGTTAAGTATGTGAATACAGATGCAGAATTAACATATTTAAGCACTCTTTTTTTTTCCACAAACAATACACGAATGGAACAACTTACCAACTGATGTCATCTCCGCAGCACTTTTCTTCTTTCCCACTGCCCTAAAAAACTTACTGTTGGAATAATTTTTCACTTTGCTTTCCTAATAGTGCCCATCACTATACTTTGTTTCTATTTACTGCACAAAGTGTCATATTTTTATCCTAAAATGCGATGTCTCTTAGAAAAGGGCTCGTAAAACACATTCCACGTTAACACTTAAGGCCCGTTCACACTCTTGCGACCTCTTAAACCTAGGTTCCTTAAAACTTCTTAAACCAGAGAACACACTGGCGCCATCTATTGGGAAGCAGTGTAAACTCGGCGGTCCGGCATATTTTTTTTATTTCTCGCGCATTATCCTTTCTTTCTTGGCTCGAAAAACTTTTGTCAATGTTATAAACGAGCCTTTCTATGGTTATTACGCACATTTGACCTCGGAAATCCCGCAAAACCTTCGCTCTTGTGAAATGCAGTTCCAGGGTCACCGCATAGATGGCGCCACAATACCAGTGTGTTCCCTCATTCTAAAAACAATTAAGAAGTTTTAAGAGATCCTCATCTCTCTCAGTCGTACTCGGTCGCAAGAGTGTGAACGGGCCTTTACGCTCGTCCGCGATTGCTCGCCAAATCTGGACCCTTTTCCTCACTCCCATTGGCTGGTGGAAGCAATCGCACGACCATACCAACAACCAATGGCGTTCCCGTCAGAAGTTGCGATACACGAACGACCGCACCAATATTTGCGAGAGACCAAGAACGCGTTCTACGTAGCGCGGGATTCGTCGGCGCGACCGGATCGCACGTTCGGCCGTTCGTTGGAACCTGGGCAAAAGAAATCGCCATACCTTCTTGCACTTGAAGCAGACGTAGTAGGCGTACCGCTCCATGGCGAAGCCGGCGGGGTCGCCGTGGAAGCGTGCGCCTGGAGCGGTGATGGCCTCCGCCCGGTGCAGCCCTTCGTACTCTAGCCTCATGAGCGCCTTGCGCTGGACGTCCTCGAACAGGGCACGGATCGGCTCCAGGAGATCTCTCAGGATGCCGTGTTCCATCGGGGCCTGGAGTTGCGGACGTAAACGGTGTGAGGCAGTGCGGGTCATTTCTTAGTGCTGTCGTTAGTCTGCTACCACAGTAAAACCTCGTTATAACAAAATGGGATATAACAAACTATAATGGATATAACAAAGCAATCCTAATTCCCCTTGCTTGCTAATAGGGAAGAAATGGACATTGGCTATAACAAACTAATGGTTATAACAAAATAATTACGATCGCTCCTTCAACTTTGTTATAATGAGGTTTTACTGCAGTACCAACCTGGAGACAAATAATGCGCAACGTCGTCGTAGGCGGATCCCCGACCCGCCCCGGGTCGGAAATACCCGAGCTCGACGAGAGTTGCCGCAAAGCGACAGACAGATCCCTAGGGCTTTTGGTTTTCGGTGTTTACCGAGAAGTTGGGGCGAATTGACGTCGAGCCGGATTTTGGCAAGCGAGTGTCCAGCCTAACAAATGCGAAACAACCGGGTCCATCATATGTTACAATCCTTGACCTAGTGGAAGGGGTATGAATAACACAAACACTGTCCCAATACCTCTCCTTAATCTCATTCCACCATAACATTTTTCCTTTTTAACACGCTCAAAGTCTAGCACTGGTTTCACAGTGCCAGACTGTGTGCCGCGAACGAGATGAGAGGAAAAGTCCGCTCACCTTGCAGATGGGGCAAAGAGAGAAGCTGAAGGTGATTCGGGGTCCTGACCAACTCCGAGAGAGCACGGTCTTGCAGCAGTGGTAGTGGAACACGTGGCCGCAAGACAGCTGCGAGAGTTCGGAACAGAACAGCACAAACTGCGTTACTACTACAAAGCAAAGGGTTACATGACCCTAGCACAGTTGGTATACAAGTGCCCGTCAAGAAGGCAGATAGTTTTCGTCTTACGTTGTTACGCCTCAGCATACACTACTTAGAGACTGACCAACTTCCTAGGGGAGGGGCTCTATTTCATTGTAACGTGCATCATCCTTTTCAAATTCACAGCTGGAACAGTGTGGGGTGCAATAACGCTGCAAAGAAATGCAGCAGAGAGACGTCTGATTGGTTTCCTACCTAGAAGTCCCTGCGACGGAAGTGGGTCCGCGCGGTCCGACGCAAACGCTGGCTCCTAGCATTTGCGTCAAGCTAGAAAACAGTTCACACCTCGCTAGCAGCTAAAGCCTTCCATGCCATTCTGCTTCAAAGCGGCATCTGTCTGTAAATATTGGCGGATCGCGAATGCAGCCCCCACGGGAGGTCCCCTCGAAGGCAATGCCTACAAATCGAACGCGGACAGCGAGTCGTCTAAAATCTTGTGTTAAAAATCCTAAAAAAAAAAAAAAAATTTTGCTGGTCATTGCTTGACTAAGACGAGCTAAAACGAGCTTTATGAGCTTTCCACAGACAACCGCGACGACCTTCCGACTGCTTCTGACGCTTGGTGAAGCAGGCTCAAGCTGCCCATGTGCTCATGTTTGTACAACATCTGAGGTCGCAACAAGATGGCGGACCAGTCAAGTTGCAGGTTAATTCCGTTTTCAGTTCTATCGTATTTCTATGATTAAAAACTATCTAAATGATTTTTGAAAAATTTACTCGCTGCTTTGCGCTCAGTCTCATGCTCATTAAAAAAATATGTTTAGTTGAGAACGTTCAAATTGACGCCAAAAACTAACTTAAAAAAAGCTTCTTAACTTTTAATTACCTATTTCCACTGCAAGCTTTTAGTGTAGCCCCTTACCACGATTGATAACTCGATCATTGACCTCCAAACTGTACAAATCCCACCCACCTGAATGGCCGGGGCGCAGGAGAGCGCCTCCGAGAAGCAGATCATGCACATGTCGTCCGCGTCCTGCCGTAGACCCCTGGCCGTGCTGCAGCCGTGGAGGCAGGGCAGGCAGGACGCCTCGCCCCGAATGCCGTTGCACAGGTGGCCGCACAGGTGCGTCTTGGAGCAGGCGTTTGCCGCATGATCCTGTCGAAAGAACAAAATTCCCCGTTCCTCCTCGCGTCTGTGGACAAACTGCGGCGACTGCCACAGCTGTGCGCAGTCACACCGACGCACTTCAAAGGTGTTCACACAGCGCCACAACATCACATAGTGCCACATGATGCGTCGCCCGACGCTAGATTCCAGTAAAGTTTGGCGGAGAAATTTCCCCCACTAAATGTGGTGCAGAAATTTCTACGCCAGGTTTAGCAAGAAAATCCTGATGTCGATGTAAAGTGACAAAACGTTCCCACCATATTTAGCAAGCCATGACATACATACACGAGACGCACGGGGGATCCGTTGCGAAACCTAGAACGGCCGTTGTCGTGAAAGAAAGAACCCTACAAGGCCCCTTTCTTTCCATCCTTAACCAATTACTATGGCGAAGAACCTTCCGAAGTCGGTGTAGCTATCTAATTGGGACCGTGCTTAGCTGGTTGTTCCGACAATCGTGGAGCAAAGAATGAAACTAGACATTTGAAGAGCAGCCTCTTCAGTTAATTAACGACAGCATGTGAGGCTAAGTGCCGTCTATTAAACTGCGCAGTAGTAGTGAAGAAGTCAAGTCGAGACAGGCTGGGACCACGTTCACAACCCAAAAAGAGCCGATGCTAATCATTTCAATCGCGGAACGAAAAAAAAAACAACAACTTCAAAAACAGCCACAAACACAATTTCTTTTTATGGCTCCTATTTTGCATCATTCCACTCAAATTGTACTTTGGGAAACATGTAAACTACTGGCGTTCAACGAAGACCTCCAACCGCCATCTCGAAACCACTAAAAGAATGTGGTGAACTTGATTACTACGGTGTCGGACTGCTGTATCAGGAGCAACTGAACCGTAGCCCAATGATGTGGTCTCTAGCCCAGATGTTGTTGTCCGCAAACTCACCCGACAGTCCGAGCAGACGTTCCCAGAAGAAAGGAGGCCGGTGGCCCCCGGAGCGCCGCAGAACCGACAGACGCCACCCGTCGACGCCGATGCCGACTTGCCTGCAAAACAGTGGGCCCCGCTCGTTTAAAGGGCCGCTCACTTTACTCGGCTTGTAGCGACAAACGCATTCTTTGAGCAAGTAGAGCTGAATCTAGTATGCTTGATTCTGGGTAATCGAATACTTACATTGGGTTTCAAAGCATAAACTTTGTAAAATGGTAACAGAACAGGGAATTGTTGTGAACAAGCCAATAAGGTTGCAAACCGTTGTGCACACAATACGTTCCCAGGAAACAGGAAACCTCACCTTTCAGAACCTAGACACAACCCATCCATTTCATAATTTATTTTGAGACAAGCCGGCTAACACTGATTGCAGTCTATACAAAGGGCAAGTTTAACTTAAAACGGACATGACAGACATTGAACCCCACAGCTGACAATGGCAAATTTAAGGATCTAGATGTGAGAACTATAAGATCTCGTATCACCCGTTCTTGTCAGTCCGCAAAAAAATTGCTTTCTCGTGAGCTGTCATGCTTGTTATTCTCCAATAGGCCCTTCAGGAGAAATGTGGCACCCTCACCGTCTGCTTGACGCATTGTGACGTTTTGATGTACGAGATTATTCAGAGATCGAAGAAGTTGACGTGGGTTTAACACTTTGCGATTTCATAACACAGAAAAGGCAGAAGGAAAGCAAAACAAAGTATGTGATGACCCCCTTTTCTGTTTGCTTTATTGTATGCGTGTTCTGAGTTCCTAATGATAAGAGAGAATCAATCGTGCCACTTCGAGAACATGTGAAGCGCCCGAGTCGGCACAGCCCTACGGTTCGCCTCGCCGTGAGGTTTCCTGGAATTTTCCAGAAAGGTCTATTGGTCGTGCTTCAAGACACCAGGAGCAGAAAGGCACCAACCCCTGGTGGCCTCTCGGAACTCCACCATGGCCTTGAGGGTCTTGGAGTCGGCCAGGGCCATCACCCAGAAGAGTTTGGTGCGGCCACAGCCCTCGTGCAGGTCCACCTTGATGGCCTCTTCCTCCTCCTTGAAGACCTGGGGACAACGTTTTAAAGCGACGACTTCATTTGGGAACCCTCAATGCACCCTGCTTGCTCGCGTTGCTGTTCGTCGCACCGCATGACATATGACGTCATAATATCGCGTGACGTCAGTGTTATGTGATGTAAGAATGTCACATGTCACAATGTCATGTGAATTCATGATGTCATGTGATGTCACAATGTCATCTGACTTCATGATGTCATAATGTCATGTGATGTCACAATTTCATGTGACTAAATGATGTCATGTCATGTCATGTGACATGACCTCACAGTGCCATGTGACGTCATGATTCCACACAACCTCACAGTGTCACGTGACACGACGTCGCTACTTGCCCGTCATATTTAGCAGGAAAATATATCACCGCAAATTTACAACAGAAAGTGGTCCTTGTTAAAAACCTGCCAAGAGCACCTTAGTTGTGTTTGACAGTACGTTTAAGATTTTCATCCATCACGATGCGCTCTCAATCCTCCGAGAACTCGTCTCAGAGGCGGATGCCCAACGAACCTGTCTTTGGTGTGTCTTGGTGCGTCGGTGCAAGTGGAGGAACCGATCGCAGTCAGCGCAGACGTTGCCACACACGTTGCAGAGGATGATGGCCGGCGTCTCCCCGTCGTCGTGGTTGTCGCATGTCGGCTGGAAGCGAGACAAGAGTGTCGCAATGTTACAAAGATGTTCGGGAACTTATCACAATGTACCATGTTCTCCAGTTCACGAGTGGAGATTTTTTTCCCCCATTTCCAACAATTCGTCCCATACAACAGTGCAACTTAGAAGCATTTTTTTTTTATAAGTACGAACATTGACTGAATATTGTACGCCATACAGGCATTTATGACAAGGAAGGAACGGCAGGGCACCTGCCGATGGCCGGCTCTGCTGGAGATCTGAAGCTGGTTCGAAACATAGGGGCATAGGTCTGTGGCTGCTACGACACTGCGTGCCATCCTTCGCGGCGCTTCACGACTATATGGGACAGTTACACAAAGGTGCGACATATATATACAAATTTTTCTGTGAAAACGACCATTCATAGAGGGGCGGGATTCATATACTTACAGTAACTTGCACCCGTTATGTTATACACTTATAGACAAAAAAATATGGTATACCGATATTTAGAGTCGGACAAACCCACTCACCCGCGGAGGCACTTGGAGCCCATCGCCGCGGCCTTTGACCCACTGGCCGGAGGAGAGCCGGTCCACGTGCTCTTGGTCAAGCACGCACAGCGAAGCCAGCGCTAGCCAAAGCTGCACACGCAAATACACAGACGTGCTCAACAAAGACAACGAGAACCAAAAACACAGTGAAAAGGACATTCAACATTCAGAACCAAAAAGAAACAAGTTCCAATTAACGGGGCTAACCAAATTCCCACTCCTACAAATGCCCCAACGCGCACTCTGCGATCCGCAAACATTCATCCTACCCGAATGATGTGGCCGCAGACCTTACAGTTGGAGGACGTCCGTGACAAAGTGAAACGAAGAAAGGAAAGACACTCCTCTTTCTTTACGCATTTCCTCCGCGAGCAACCCCGAAGTCGTAGTGCCTCCGTGTGAAAGGAAAACGATAGACATAACAAGGTCAAAGTCTGTTTCCACTGATGTAAAGTCACCGCGAACCCACTCATTCTCCCAACACATCGTGACAGCGGTTGTGCAATGTTCAAGACAAAGCCAACGGGTAAATAAAAATTTGCGGGAACGCCGCACACAGACGTTTGTAGAGCATTATATTTCGAGCGCCGTGTTCGTCCACGCCACGCATCAACGTCGCCTTAACCCACGCTAATAAAACATTGTGCACGGACGCACACATGTATGCACTAAACAAGAAATTTGAGCAAGAACTCGCGATTGACAAGGCGCCCGACTTGGCCCGATGCCAAAGTATTTGCCAACGTGATTGCTGGCTTTCCTGCTCCCCCAGCATCGCTCTTCGTTGCTTCTTTCATCTGCCCGCTCACTCGCTGCGCCTGGTTGGTTTTTCTGTTTTCTTGTGGACTTAATTTTTTTTTTTTTTTTTTTCACTAACGAGGAGAACATAATGGTGTTAGAAACATGCTTTTTCGCGCTGTATGCTGATCGGAGGTGTTCATAGCGCGTATGTAAGCAATGGACTTCACAATAGTAATACATTCTTTCATGAGCATTTTTTGCATAAAACAATGAAACTAATTCGAGTTTTGAGTTTAATGTATCTCTTGTGCAGCCATGCTAGATACGCACACACAGAAAAAGGGGCGTTTTTTTCAACTTTTTGTGCTCACCCACCGAGACATGGCGCACCCGACTTTTTTTATGAATTTCAGGCAGCAGGGGAGTGGGCGATGACTCGGGATATTACGGTAGTCCAACTCTCATCAGTGACGATGTCATCGATGTTCCAGTGAGCGGTGACGTCGACTGCAAACTTCAAACTTACGACTGTGAGTCGACCAATTTGGCTGTTCCACATGTCACCCACTCAACACTAAGTATCATTGTTTTCAATAACGAACCCCGCAACGAAATCACACGAGCCGAAGGCATACACGTGAACTGTTTAAGAAAACAAACCAGATGGATGATGCGATTAAGGCAGCCTTTCCGACGTCATCCGAGGTGTCCTTTAGTCACGGACCCTTACATATTTTATACTCCCTTCTACATTATGATGGACTGCTGCAGGAGCTATGCACCGTCCCCGTCAATCCAGCGTTGTGAATGTTTTTTGCATGACTGCGTGCCCCATGCGTCACTGCACCTATCCAGAAGGTCATGTGACACTTGCGTGGCACTGAATTGGCTTTGATGGCTCGATGTGTCTGCTGCGGTTCATTGTAAGGTAAAATGGTGTATAGATGGGCACGCTGAACATGTTGCAGACACAAGCGCTGCAACAGCGTTTGACATGAATCCGGATCTCATCACACGCTTCGCGCTGAAAGTTATTTCCAATGCACGGCGACCTTCAATGTTTCTTGACTAGCTTTTACAAAGTGTTTATAGGCTGTAATAAGAGAGCTTAAGGGTTCAGATCGCTCACCGTAGGTGTCTTGAGGCACTCAGTGGGAGTCCTGTACTTCTCGTCGATCTTGGTGAAGTTGAGAATGTTCTCCGCGATGGCACCTTTGGTCACCCTGGCCCATGGTTCTGTCAGCTTTCCCTGCAGAACAATCCACACAGAAAAACGAATTCAGAACGTATTGAAAAGCCTCAATGTTACTGGCTAAAAAAAGGACACAAAGCTGAAAGAGGAACATTTTGGATTACATATTGTTAAGAGGCATATTTTAGCTGCTTGGAATGGAGAGCATGCTGGTAAGAATAATATAAATATTCGGAAGAACATAAGACACAAGGACAGACAAGACGTCCTCGTGTTTTATGTTTTCCCTATTATTTATACTAGCTCCTTTAAGAAAGTTAAACTTAAGGCCCGTTCACACTCTTGCGGCTGCTTGCGACCTCTTAAACCTGGGTTCCTTAAAACTTCTTAAACCAGAGAACACACTGGCGCCATCTATTGGGAAGCAGTGTAAACTCGGCGGTCCGGCATATTTTTTTTTATTTCTCGCGCAATATCCTTTCTTTTTTGGCTCGAAAAGCTTTTGTCAATGTTATAAACAAGCCTTTTATGGGTATTACGCACATTTGACCTCGGAAATCCCGCAAAACCTTCGCTTTTGTGAAATGCAGTTCTAGGGTCACCGCATAGATGGCGCCACAATGTCAGTGTGTTCCCTCATTCTAGAAACATTTAAGAAGTTGTAAGAGATCTCGTCTCTCTCAGTCGTACTCGGTCGCAAGAGTGTGAACGGGCCTTTAGCTTCTTAGCCAAAGGTCAGCTTTCCTCCCAATCTCCCCAATAAACACATATCATTCTTAACAGTGCACAATGAACTAAAAGATACAGCCTTCAAGCCATGCAATCATTTCAGTTGGCGACAGTGTCTTACATTTTATCTTCATCTCTCTAGAACAGGAGTCCTCCTCAAGCTTCTTGATATCGAGGAACACCTGCCCTTTTCAGCATTGCAAAATTCATGCAGTGCATAAGCCTATAGACTTTGTTAACAATCATGCACACACTAGGGTGCATTAGGCCCTGAGCCGACTAGAAAATACCACGAGTAACCGTAGCTAAAAAGCAAACGAGACTGCAAGGCTGGTCCGCAGCTTCAGTGAAGTGCTAACCAGGTTTCGTTAAAGCAATATATTTAATTCCTCTAGCTGTTTTTTTCTTTTTCTTTTAATAATCTCAAGACAATGTGATATCAAAGAGTAGTTTGTTTATGATGCTCATGAAGGACACACAAATCCCGATGGCAACCCCAAAAGGCAACAAACATGGCAGTCGTCGCTTACGGCAGCCATGTCCCTGAGAAGCGCCACAATCCCCTGCGCCAGCTTCCGGGACACCGAGCCCCTGAGCCACCAGCGGGCGCCAAGGGGGTCCCTAGGGTGGATTGAAGTGGCCAAGGTGGTCGCGGCACCCCGGCCACCCTTGGCCTTGGCCTGCACCGTCAGGGCCTTGGCCACACATGCCAACAAGACGTCCAGCAGTCCGGCGCGATGCATGTCCAGCGGAGACGCGCCAGCACCGCCAAGTTCGGTGGCCCCGGCGGTATCGCCGTCCGGGGTGGCGGGCGGCACCCCATATTCGCTGGGCGGGAGTCCCGGGACACCCAAGATGGTGGCCAGCACTGGCGGTGGCACCTCGGGCAGGATGCGCCTGAGCAGAGCGCTCACCTGCAAATACGTGCGTCGACGACCCTCTACAACCACCTTTGCGAAAATTGTGAATGCTCCTTGGCATTAACTACCAGTAATGGGAATAAAGTATCATTATTATTACCATATCACACCCCTTAAGTGGCGAGTTTTTTTTTGTTTTTTTTTTTCGTTTACATTTTGGTTTTAGCAACACTGCAGCACAGGTGCGTTGCGGAGAAGCAACACCCGCAGAAGTGACCTCCGTGGGTGTTACTTTTCCGCAGTGCACAGGTGCTCGATAAGAAGTGCGCCCAGCGGTGCTAACCAGCCGCGATCAACGCTTCGAAAAGTGTGAATATCACAGTTGCGTGCTTAGGTGGAAAGCACACCTTTAAAGCGGGATGGTGGAATAGTAGTAAAGGGCTCGAAGAAACTATTCAATATTTGAATCTAAAATATTCGATCCAAACCGCTATTCGCTTTGAACTCAAAACGCACTATTTGCATATGCCGAGCACCGTCCCAATCTGCAGAACACAAAACTCAGCCACTTGTTTCACGTGTACCGAGAGCCCGCACCTGTCTCTGCACCCGTGCTGAGCCCGTGTGCAGCAGGCTGAAGATGTCCCGGAGTAGTCCGGCCTGCTGTGAGAGGTGGACTCTCCCAACAGCTGAACCACTCAGTGCCAGTACCATGGAGAGCATCTCGAAGCAGTAGGTGTCTCCACCGGAGGCGGGCGCGCCCACCACGCGCACTGTGGCGGCGGCGGCACCGCTGCTGCCGGCGTGGTGTCGGAGCGATACCCCTTCCGGTGCCGCACGGGGAGTGGTGCCACACCCCTGAACGTCTCCGCTGCAAAGCAGGGCCTCCCACTCCTCCCTGACGCGCGACGCCTCTTTCTTCAGAGCGGCCACAATGTGTGAGCACACCTGCAACGTGGGGGAGAGGGGTGCACTTACAAAGACTATATGTTTGACGCAAAACAAAGACCTGCAGCTTTTTTGTTGCAGTGTGCGAAGTGACAGCGACAGCTGTTATTGCATGCAGTAATACACACGCCTACTCATATCTACTCTCTACATATGCAATCACACGCAACACAGCCCTGTGGTCGCTGAAGCATGTAGGAAATAGAACACACTACACACACGAGTCAACATCTCTGCTTAAGACTAAATCGAGACAGGTACCATTATGAGTGGTGGGTTGCTTTACATCTGACAGTACTACATGCAAATTGAGCTCCTCAGTGAGGAATGTGTAGCAGCATCCCCCAACCACCATAGGAGTAGAAAACACTGCCGCCTGCAAGAGCCGAGTGTGCGCATTTTGCCCGGCGTCACAAGGTGGCGCACGCGCAAGCACACACGAAACAGAGTTTAGTGTATGGCACAATGCTGATGCCACGAATGCAGCTGGGAGACCCCGATGTGCCGAGAAACTGAGATAGACGAGGAGACAGGAGGGCGCGGGGACGTCGGAAGTTTGAACTCTGGGGTCCTGATCTGTACACTCGGCGAAAAATTCGGTGGCCTTGACTGGCCGGCACAAAGGTCAAGCACGGTGCCGGACAATCAAATCCGCCGGATTTCTCGCTGACTTCTTCGCCAAGTGTCCAGATTAGGGCCACTGGTTAGAATGATTAATGGGTAGACCTAAAGGTCTCTACTGCACTCGTCGAATGTATTAGAACGCATAACGCCGGCGTCGGGCATTTGGTTCTCGCGTTCGAACACGTTCGACGAGTGCAGTGGAGGCCACTCACTAATCATTTCGACCAGAACTCGGCGTTCCGACGTTCTTGACTCCTCCTCCCTCTCAGTTTCACGGCGCATGACCGCATGACACCTATCACCGCAGAGTGATGCCTGAGAACGAACCGAAGTTATATATATATATGTAGGTCGGCACAGCTCGAACAAGTCGACTGCTCCGAGGGGGCGGGGGGCAATCGTTCGGGGCAGACCGTGAGCCTACCTGCTTCTGCAGGTGAGTCAGCTTGCTGCGGCTGAATAGGATGCCGACCATGTGTTCCTTGAGGTCGTTGCTGGTCTCGGGGCGCTCGGGGCTGACCGCCTCTTCGGCCGCTGACTGCCTCGGCTGGGCCGCCTCTTCCTCCTCGCCCTCTCCCCCAAGGAGCTTGCCAAACACCTGGGCAGGAGAAAGTCCGCCCAAACATTTGAAAGCGAGCACAAAGGGACAAGGCATACTGTATGGTCAAGGCTGGGTCACACGTTTATATTTGAGTGCTAGCGAGTGCACTCAAACGGTGCCAAGGGAACACCCTGGAGCCACCTATTTTGCAGCCTTGGAACACTTCTCATACATTTTACAGATCACTCATTCGCTACATGCTCCAAATAATCCTGACAATTTATTTACTTATTCGAGGTACCCTTCAGCACCCCAAGGCATTAGAAAAGGGGAGGGGGATACGTAATCAAAACCAGCGTACATGTGCATGAAATAAGGTTTAAGCGTAAGCAACCACTTCTCATAGATAGTACATAAACTTCCTCCCGCAAATACAGCAAAACCTTCAGTATATAATTGGTGACAGGTTAAGAACTGAGCGGATGCTCCGCCTCCAGCACATGCGCGTTGCCTTTTGTCGGGCTTTGGCTGCACGTGTGAGCAAGTGTCAACAAAGGCGGAAAGCTTGCACTGGGGGCCAGAGTATTTACCGAATTCTTAGCCCGGTAATGACTGTATTTATATATACGCGAAACACAAGCGTGTCCAGTGTTGCCACTGCGTTCTCTTGCCGTAAGAGGTTACAAGCCGTCGTATGTCGGTCGATCACGCTCGAATGCAAATGTGCAAACCAATTTCAGTCTTTAAACGTCTCAAAAGAAGCGAGCCGGCAATCCTCGAGACGCGCGCAGACGCTCGAAAGTTTGCGGCCCAAACGGAATGCGGAAGGCCACGCGGGAGACGAGGCACCGAAATGGGTGGTGGAGCCCACCTGGGAGGTGAGCAGGCGGAAGACACGCAGGGTTTCTGCCTCGCAGTTGCGCTGCTGGATGCGCAAGGAGCGGCAGTCTCCCCGGGGCTCAGGGTCAGGTCCTCCACCAACCCCGTGGCCCAGCACCTTCACCTGGCGCAGCCGCAGCGTGTTGTCGGGGCCCCGCAGCTCCAGGCGCCAGACGCAGCCGGTGGCCCCGACGCCGGCCGGCAGTCGGCCGTTCTCCGGCAGAATGCAGCTCAGCCAGCCGGCAAAGCGGCTCTCCACTTCGAGCTGCGGGCGTGCGGGAAACGGCAATGGTTCGTTGTTTCGGGCACCTTCTTGTTTTTCGAGGTCGAATGGACTGTTCTGTGTGGGTAGAAGCTCTAAGCTCTTGCCTCTCATCCAAACAAAAAGCATTGGTGGATATCATCAACAAACAAATAAGTAAATAAATAAATAAACAAGATTGAGAAACCTTTAGATTGCCGTAACAGCTGGACGGAAATGTGCAGTATAGCCTTAGCTGCTGATGCCTCATTAAGAAGTACAAAGGACGTCTCCACATTAACGAGTTTTTCTGTAAACCTGGACACCTAAATGCGCAGGCAGAAAATATGGAAAATTTGCTAAGCAACTGTGTTGCATACGTGAAACATTCTAGCAGCACAAACATTTATATTGTCGTTTAGCAGCACGTCTAGCCTATTCGGCCAGACGCCTGCATTCAGGGCACTCTTCATCACATAATTTAACGTGTAGCATGTGTACACTTGAAATGATAATCCCGGTGATCTTCTAGAACTTTCTAACCCACTCCTTCCCTCCCACTTCTCGACCTCGTCTCCTTGCCTTCTCACTCCACCCCTGGTCACATCCTCGCTAACCAATCCGCATCGAGCCCCACGGCCACACTTTTATCCAGGCTTCACTTTTAGGCTTCATGAAATGCCGAACATATAGCCAAAGAACATTTCGTGTTAATAAATAAAAAAAACTTTTAGCCTTTCCACTTTGTTGAAGAAGGAAGACCAGCAAAGCTGTACTATGGTGGGGAAGGAAGCAATGCCGGCCGCAAGTCGGCAGGCCAGCGTGGAAAGGCTGGAAAGGTTGCGCCACCTATAAGTGACGGCGGCAGGCGGACAACCGGCAAACACAACACTCTGGGCAGCTACTGCCATCTATGAGCGACAGTGGCAACCAGAGTTTTGCGTCTTCACTTCTTTGCAGGGGACACGATCCTGGGGAAACTAGCCCTTAACAGCTCCGCTGCAAAAAAGTATGAACAAGGAGATATAAGCTGGTGCTAACACATCTCTATGATTCAGTTTAAGACATGTCATACGCCTTTTTCCGGTGGTACCGTCTCGAGCAAGCGGCTAAGAAGAGTTGTTACTGCTTTGGTCTGGTAACATACCTGCTTCAGCTTTTGCATCTCTTCCTGGTTAGAACCGAACTTGAAGGTAATGCTGTTCACTTTATTCTGAAAAGAAAAAAAAAATGAAGGATTTTGCAAGCAGTGATGAAGGACCTTGCTCATTAGTGCACGGGAGCTGATCACATGTTTGCATAAAAACATAAACATTCAGAAATAATATACATAAAAAAAGCTAAGGTAATGAACAAATGTATCTGAGCCTGTCTCTTTTTGTCACTTTCTTGTTTTAGATTTGTCCTTGGGAGAGCTGTTTTAATCTGGCAAGGTAAAAGCCTCCAATTATTGAATTATTAATTGTTTGCTCAAGTCCCATACGCCAGCCGGCACGCCGATAAGCTTTTCGACCGATCCCCACAGCTACTCATTGGCAAAAAAAAACACAAACAGAGGGATATCTTGTAAAAAAAGAAAAAAGACCATCCATTAATTAATAAATCAAACAATCAAGATTTTATTTGATGCCAGGCATCGTCGGTCTGGCAAATAACCAAGCTAGTGATCATGACATGTCTGATGACCACAAGCTAGCCTAGCTATTCATCATTTTCCCCCCGCTCTAGTCGAACATAGAGAACACAGTCAATAAAACAGACAGAGTAAAAAAAAATTGAGCAGTCCTGTTGATGTACCGAGGAGTGCGTGAACAAAAGCGCTCTGAACAAAATAGACATCTGTTCTCTTCCAAACGCTTTTTTTTGTTCTGAATGCTTTTGTTTCTCTTTTGTTCCAGAGCACACGAAAGCGCGTCTCCTGGTCTCCTGGCACGACCTCTTAGCATTGACCCTGCTACAACAGCATTTTGTTATCTGCTATTTTTTTTCTTTTCAGACAACGCACGCAGTGGGTGCTGGGTACTACAAAACTCCCAAGTTTAGAGCGAGTTCTTAACGCTGTGGTGTAGCTCTGCAGTAACACCTCCGCTTCACATGTGGCGGACCCAGCTTTGATTTCCGCGGGCAGTGGGCAATCTTTTTCAAGGATATGGCAACACTGACGACATACGCCCTACTGTGCCAACTGCAACATCAACAACATCAACAGCTACAGTCGACTCTCATCAACTCAAACTTCAGGAAGCCACAGTTTGAAATATCAAAAATTCATCTATATATGATGTAAGCCAAAGTAGCAATTTGCTATAGGAATAGCTATATACAGTATAGACCACTTACAACATAACCGGTTATAGTGCAGGACCGGGTATAACGCGGCTTTTTTAAACCACCGGTTCGCCTCCCATAGAACTCCATGTAATTACATACCGCTTAAAATGCAGGTGCGCGAAGGGAAATACCAGTTATAGTGCTGTTTCTGGAGCAGCGCGCCGACTGCGCCGACCAAAATCGTTGGCGCCGACCGACCCGCGCAGCGAGCACGCTTCCCTGTGCGACACTAGATGACTAGATAACGGCTCTAGCCGCAAGCGGCACTCCCGGGGCCAAGGATGGCAAGGAGGTTGCTCGAAGAAGCGGGGAAAAGCGAAGAGAGAGGCTTCAGTTGCCATAGCGACGGAGGGACGCACGCACGTGTCGTTCATGGCGCGGGGCCGGCGGGGCGTTGGAGCAGTTGGAGCGAGCCCAACCAGCCATTCGCATGCGTTGCATGCCGGTCGCGGGCCGGTTTCTTCCACTTCTATCCGCAAACATGGCGTCGGTGGTAATCGTCGACGTCGACGGCGTAGTGGAAACTCATCGTTCCGCATAAAAGCGCCATCCTTGACTGAATTTTCGTTGTGTGTCACTATGATAACCCAGCACATACTAGAACGGAAGATCCACCTACTCGTGCGGCGATCTCGTGGCGGCACTCTCAAGACAGCAGAAACGCCCGTGTCGTCGTGTTTGTCTTTGTGGTGCTTTCTAAGCATTTGTGTTTTCGAACATCTCCCGGATTTCTTATTTGGAGCATTTCATGCCTTTTTTGGAGCATTTCATGCGCCTACCGTATAAAGGATGCGAATTTTCACCCGTTTTCATCATTGGAGAAAAGTGATTAGGGTTAGCAATCCTGAACACCCGCAACGTCCGTCCGCAACCCGTGACGCTGTTAAAAGGTTGCGCCAGGCAAAAGTCACTCATTTCTTTCAAAATGTGTGACACACTTGAGAGTGAAGTGTACTAGTCTGGTGAAATAAAGACTTTCCTCCAAACTAAGCTTTATTTTTGATCTAACATAAAATAAATTGTTTTACAAAGGTAAGTTGTCTCATGGCACGTATTTTGGCCTGAAAAATTGATGTTTTGGTTATAGCGCGGTACCGCTTATAGTGCGGATTTTCGCGACTCCCGCGACATACGTTATTCACCGATGTTTGTTTGCAAACAAGCTCACTACCAACCCCCTATCGGCGGACCCCTGCGCACTTCCGGTTTTCCTCTTCTTTTCCATTTGTCTCTCCTCCTTTTGTTATTTGCACTACTTTGTACAATGCACTAATGTTCTTACAAACCTACTACAGAAACTTTTCTGAAGCAAACTCTTCTAACCCGACCACTGTGCGTTGCTGAACAATGAATAAATATACTACCGGAAGTCTACTGGGGCACCGAATACTGTGGCGCCCTCGTGGTATCAACTCCCACCGAATGTGGTGAATATGCGGTCTACACAGTACATACCGAGCAGATTTTTAGCGTGATAGCGTTAACGAGCTTGTGTCGCAGAAAATTTGGCGTCGGTGGCGTGACGAGAAAATTGCGAACCCAAAAATCCTGATTGGTTGATAGGATCATGATGTCACAACCGCATGAATGAAGGTGATTAAAAAACATCACATTAATGTAAATGAAAGGTCGCCACACGTCCCAAATGATTTTACTCTACAAAGTAATTCATTTGCCTTAACGAAAAATTTGAAGAATTTCAGGCGGGATTCGAACCCACGACCCTTTGCTTGCGGGCCAGACACGCTACTGACTAGGCCATGCAAGACACGCTTGCACGTCTTCGGAACGAGCGGGAGTTTAAATGTGTATATGCTTTCCTACTGCGTTCCACCCTTAAAAGCGAAGCTTAAGCGTCCTCCAAGTTTTTTTTACACTTTCCTCTTCACAGGTGTACTTGTAAGCAAGCACACAAATAAGACATTGGCTAAAGGCCCGTTCACACTCTTGCGACCGAGTACGACTGAGAGGGACGAGATCTCTTTAAACTTCTTAAATGTTTTTAGAATGAGGGAACACACTGGCATTGTGGCGCCATCTATGCGGCGGTGACCCTGGAACTGCATTTCACAAGAGCGAAGATTTTGCGGGATTTCCGAGGTCAAATGTGCGTAATACCCATAGAAAGACCCGTTTATAACATTGACAAAAGTTTTTTGAGACAAGAAAAAAAGGATAATGCGCGAGAAATAAAAAGAAATATGCCGGACCGCCGAGTTTACACTGCTTCCCGATAGATGGCGCCAGTGTGTTCTCTGGTTTAAGAAGTTTTAAGGAACCCAGGTTTAAGAGGTCGCAAGAGTCTGAACGGGCCTTTAGTTTGAAGGAAATAGTGATTTTGGTTGAATATTTTCTAAGCAAATATCAAATGGTTTCTTTAAGCCTTTCACTACCGTTGTACACCATGCTTAACCGAAAATTCAACTGATCTCGTGAAGGTCGTTCCCAACCTTTCACTTGCCCGCCTCTAAGCTCAGTTAGTAGTAATATAACTATATCTCTGAACTGTGGCCTCAGAAGGTCAAATGCCTACATTGGGGTTGCACGTAAGGGACAGATTTGACATTAAATTAAACTTAAAGAGATGCCCAGCTATCATAATCTAGGGACATTATAAATCTGCTTCCTATATGCAAATATTTTTTCTTTAATCTCCAATTTAACCACCACTGAAAAATAAAGGAAACAAGCATGAACAATGAAAGCAGACTGCCACGACAGTTCTGCTTGCATAATCACGGTGGGTAAGTCCTATCGAGTGCACTTCCCATGGAGCATCCTCGTACTGTAGAAAAGCAATGACTGCGAGCTTCGTGGGTATTGCTTTCCCGCGGTACAGAGGTGCTCGGGGAGAAGCGTACTTAACGGGGCTAACTCATTGCGATGAACGAATAGTATGAATTAGGAGAAAACGCTACACAGTTGCTCTATACCAGAAAAAGCAAACATCTTCAAAAGCAGAGAGCAGAAAGGGGAAAAGGAGCTGGTCCTTTTACATCACCTTCGATTCATGAAATTGAGAGTGATTAATTTAGCCGAGCTTCCTATTACCACCATTATAGCGGCAATATTGGAGCTTTTGAGAACGCCACATGGTGACTCTGACTTTTGAAAAAGGTCTATTAAACAGCTTATGAAGGCATTAAAGACATAGTGGGACAACCAACGTTTTTTAATTTGCTCGAATAATTGCGAGTTAACTGAACTAGAACATCAACAACTACAACTACCACAACTGCAACATCAACAGCGGACATAATTTCAAGTGGTGGCAGGAGCCCATAACAGCTGTCGTCGTAAGAGACGGGTGCGGTGTCAACGCCAAAGGCGGCAAAGGAAAACTCACGGCAAGGTCCCTGCAGTTGTCGACGTGGACGCAGACCATGGTGGGGCGCGCCTGGGGCGGGCAGCTGAGCGTGAGCAGCTTGGTCTTGTTGCGGTCTTCGTCCCCCGACTCCCAGAAGGTCTCGGTTGAGTTGTCGCTCAGGCTGTTGGCCATGGCCTGCCGGCTGGAGGCCTTCACCTCGGTCATGGGGGTCAGGTCGCGCAGCACCTCGATCGTCGTGGTCAAGGCCTGCAACGGTACGGGGCCACGCACAATTGGTGACTCTAACGAGGCGTCGGAGAAGGCTTTATAACTAAAGCCGGGGACAACCGTATCAGCTCCTTGACGTTCTCATGCTGTCGGTGCGCAAAGGGCTCTATGTTCTTAGCGTTTATTTCTCTCGGAACTCGGGGCTGTTTCTACAGGGTTTCTTCCAGTCTCTATGTTTGGTGTTGGACAAAAATCGATGTTCGTCAGGGTTTATGTAGGAAAACATTGTAGAGCCCTTCCACTTTACGTGAAGATGGAGGACCAGCGAAGCTGTTACCTTCACGACGTCTAGGACGACCTCAAGGACGACTTCTAGGATGACTTCTAGGATGACCTCGAGGACGACATCTAGGACGACATCTAGGACGACCTCAAGGACGACTTCTAGGATGACCTCAAGGATGATGCCTAAAAGACGATGTCTAGGCCAACCTTAAGGACGACTTTTAAAACGACCTCGAGGACTACTTCTAGGACGACCTCGAGGACAATGACTAGAGATGATAACAAGGGATCAGGAAATCATTATCTAATAATGCCAAGGAAGGCTGACTCATGCTGGTTGCCTCTTTTTCTTTTTATTTATTCATACTTGACCCCTCTTTTTGTTTTTATTTATTCATGCTTGCCACAACCAATGGGGAGTTTTCTGTTGACATGTGAGGACGCATTTCTTCCCAGACCCTAGGATATAACAGCTTTGTTGTAAAAAGCGGGACACGGGCATGGGCGAAGAGGGAAAGGCTAGATGCAGCTTCAAAGCAAGAGCGGCCGGTCCAGCAGCAACATAATGCCAGTTGCCGTTGCACGGCAAACTGACCGGCGGCTCGAGTGCCATCGTTCGGTGCGGTGTGAAACGTGTGCGATGGCTTGTGATTTTGGGCAGATGTGAACAAAGGCGTGCTTATGCACATAGACTGCCTTTAAAAAAAATACTAAAGGGGCAGTCAAGTTTTTCTGACCTCGATGGACGCGACGCTGCAGGCCTTCATGCTATGGGTGACTTGCCTTTATGCGGCGCCGCGGCTCTCCTGAGCCAAAATAAATATCACTATCACTATCACTGTGGCAGTAAAAAACAAAATAACTGCCATAATATTCTGAGAGATAGCCCAGCTAAAATCGATGGCAAATCGAATGAAAATAAGGGGTAGGCAAACTTTTAGTTTTAGTTTAAAAAATGTTAGTTTTAGATCATGTGCACCTCGAAACTCGTGATAGCAGGAAGGGGCGATGAACCAAATATGATTGTCCTTTCCAGTCAGCATTATTCGCTCATATCCCGCTGTGATCAAGTAACACAGTTTTCGCCGAGGTCACCGTTGGCCAAAATCCTGTAATTACTAGGAGTAAGCTATCTTTCGGTGTTACAGAAAGAAAAAAGCAAATCGTGCCAAATACGGGAGGGCCATCTTTTGGGGGTGGGGCATCTCTTGGGATATTACGGTATACTTTGAATCTGACTAGTAAAGAGTTATCTTTATCATACAGATAATGTGCTTCCTGGCATTCTTTGGTAAATTTGTGGCGGACCTTGCGGTTACTTTTCATTTTTTTTACTTTCATTGGTTCTACGGATGGAGACTGCGGAGAGAAGGATGTGAGAGCACACGAGGATGTCACAGCACCGAGCTTTGGTTGGAATGATCACTGGGTAGACGCAAAAACCTTTGTCTCTACTCGCCGTTCAAATGCGATCGAAAACCAAACACCGCAACCTGGCGTTCATGCTCGCCAAAGTCCACTCGGCGCCGCCACTCTGCCACTGCTCCTCTTGTGCAGTAGTAGAGTGTCGGGCCCGTAACACGGGGTCGTGGGTTTGATTTGCATCAGGGCGAGTCCAGAATTTCGTGCTTTCATTTCAATTATGCATTCCTTTGTGCAGAGTGTCCTCCGAAGTATGCGCTATACTTGGTTTCAGCTTAAGTCCAGACGCAGTCGATGCTAGGAGCTAATGGGACCAATCAAAGAGCGTCAAAAACGCAAGTCACCGGGCCTTTTCACGTAAAACTTAAGTCTTTCTCCACTCTTGGAACGCGTGTAAAGTTGGGAGGTCGACGTCCCGAAGACTCGGACCCGGGAAGTGACGTCACACAAATCGCCGCCTGTTGCCAAGAATTGCGCAGTGTGCACGCAGGTCCTTTTTTATCTGCTGGCTTGCTTGTCTGGCTTATTTGCTTGCTTCAATGCGACGCGCGCCCATCTGATAGCGATGGCGGTAGGCGCCGCTCTGGCAGCCGCGATTCCACAATCTTCGCTCGTCGCCTGAACGGAGGTCGAGCTCGCGTGCCCTGCGGCACGGGCAGTTCACGCGACTCCCTCGCATGGCTCGACGAAGCGTTAGAAGCAGTCGCACGCGATTCCGCACGTGCGCCTCAGAGATGGCCGTGCAGTGGGCTGCACATTTGCCTCTGTCAGACTCCGAACCACAAACATTCGCTTTTTGCGCGCCCGACATCGTCATGCGGTAGGAACCCGTGGACGTTTCTTCAGCTGTGGCCATAGTTCAACGGAAATGTATGCAGCATAGTAACCCTATGCGCCGACCAATTTTTTGTTTATGATTGGTTCGGCAATGACGGAACACATACAAAAACATGACGATCACCATGACGGTGCCCTTTTGACGACGCCTCATTGGTCCCACCAGCTCGTGGCGTTGGTTGCATCTGGACTTAGGGCGAAAGGAAGTATAAAAATTTTGTAACTGTCTCCGTGGCATTCTGCCATACTCTCCTCGCGAATGCCGGCCCTTAAAAATGCTCTGCGTTAAAATTCAATTTGATTCAATTCAATTCGATGCACCTGACCTGGGCCGCCGCGCCTGGCTCCGCCGTTGGCGCTGCCACCGGGAGTGCCGCGAGGTCTCCTCCTGTGGCGGCCTCTTCCTCCGAGTGCGAGAGGATGCGCGAGATGTTGGAGAAGACGTGACTGCGGTGCAGGAAGGCGTGGTCCGAGGGCAGGAAGCGCAGCCGCCAGCACTGCATCGCCATCTGCTGCAGCGCGGCGCCCGCCGGAAGGAACACCATCAGGTCCGACACCGTCTGGAGCAGCGCGTGGAAGGACGCTCGCAGGGGCCCGCAGCACGCCTCCCCTGCCAGGGCCATGTCTGACAGTGGGTGCTCGCAGGGGGCCTCCCTGTCCTGTCGAGAGAAGGGTCGATGGAAGCATATTGCATCTCTGAAAGGGAGCTCCAGCGTTGTTTTTTTAAGTCCCCCGACCTAAGCGTGTTTCTGAAATTACTCTTTCTGGCATGCTATTCATTATCTCTAAATTCCAAATAGCCACCGAGAAAACGACAAACGAACGTTAAGCCGCTGCCAACGTTTGAACTTTCCTCCACTCCTCGGTGGGGGGACGTCGCACGTTCTATAGTTTGCAAGTCGAGCAGACAGTCTAAATAAAGCGGTATTCTGCACATTTCTTTTTTTGTGCTGAGCTTCTTCGGCATTTATTTCACACAATCAAACTTCTTGCAACCTGTCAGGAACAAGCTGTACTACACCCCTATCGCGACATTTGACATTGCATTTTCATTGTTGCCAATAGAACCCCTCAACCTCTCAGACCAAATTTAAAACTTAAAAAAAAAAAAACTTAAAAAAAAATATGTATTTTGATTTGTAACATGGGCTAATAGTCCAGATGTGTCTATTAATGTGCTCAACCAATTTTGAAACAAATCAATTATTATTGAAATTTCACCTGAGCTCCCCTTTACCGGAGATACGGGCCAGCTACAAGTAAGAAAAAACATCACTTTTCCAGTACTCCCTTTTAAACCAAGTAATTAAATGTACAACATTATATAAGTACTTAGCAGTAAACTTCACCAACAATTTGCCCTGGAATGCGCATATAGATAGCATAGTGCATAATGCATCCTGCAATGGAGGTTTTTTTCAAACAAAACATTTATTCCGCTACCCAGGAAACTAAACTTCTAACACGCACGCCAAACGCACCCTGCTACTCGACTTGGTCGTCTACGTTGCAGTTCAGCGCTGACCCTGACAAGTTTTTTGGCCCCGTTGTTTACAAAAAGGTAGCTACGTTTTGCAATTTTACAAGAAAAAACCGACCTGTGAAATACACTTTTGACGAAAAACTTAGATTGCTACATGCAGGCTTCGATTTTCACGGTCCATTTTAGGTCCAGCCTGGTGACTTGGACACCCTATATATATGCAGTTTGAAAGTGCCCCGGGGCTACCTGAAACGTGGTGCCAATTGCCATTGTGGTCTCTCTGTTCATGAGCGGTCAAACGGGAACGCTAGGCAATGGAGCACAAACGCGCGTGCGTGAAGCAGCCTTCGGACACTGAGTCTCACGCGGGCTGTCGAAAAAAAAAGCTCACCAGCTCGGCGCCGCCGACGTCCTTCCGATGGGAGAGGTCGTCCTTGGCCTCGGCGTCCTCCTCCTGTCGCTCGGGTGCGGGAGGCGACAACGCCGCCACCAGACACCAGAGCAGATCGTGCAGGCACGTTGGTTGCGTCACATTGCGCAGGAGCCAGTTGAAGGCCTGCAGCATTGGTAAACGATGCCACAGCTTTGGACGCAGCCATGGACGAACTTGACCGAGCAACAGTGGCCTAGCCCAAGATCCGCGCAAGCGTAATGGCCGCAAGTGCGTAGTTGCGGTAGTTACGGAAGTGATCAACCGTGAAACCGAGTGTCACGCACACTTGACGAACCTAGGGTTGAAGAATTCCCGAGCCCCAGATGTTCTTCGCCTATCGGATGCATTGATGTCAACAAACAAGCCGTCGTCTGTGGTCCACTTTTGGACAGTGAAATCGTGAAAGAAGTTAGGCCTAATTTCACATACTCGGGGTAAATGCGTGCATTTCATCCGTAACACAACGGCACAGCAAGGTGCACGCTGCGCTGTAGGCTGCGAGTGTTTAGTGGCCTTTCCGTGAATGAAACTTTATCCGTGCAAAAGGGCTTCCGCAGTCAGCAGTTGGACTTTGTACGAGTTCTTGTCTCCATGAAAGAAACTTGATCCGTGCGAGCGGGCTTCAGCGGTCGGCGGTTGGACTTCGTAAGAGTTCTTATACGCGTAGTAACCGATATACCTGAGCATGCCTCCGGATACTAGCATTAAATATGGCCTAAGAATGGTCACGTTGCTTTTCCTTTTCGAGCTGAGTGAGCTCGTAGGGCGCTTTTCCTTCAGTAAAAGGCACCCCGAAAGTGCCCTAAAAAAGTTTACTATTTATAAAGCATGGTTACTGTGGCGCGCCCCCGACCAGCCGTGGGTGCGCCTCCATCACTGAAGACGTGCCACAGTACTTTGCCGTGTCATTTTGGCACATAATATGACATTTGCACGGAGTGTGTAATTGCAAAAAATTTTACTCCGTGTAATGAACGCCCCCACCAAATATGCGTCAATTTTTCGGAAAAAAAAGTGTGTTCATTATGCGAGTAAATACGACATACCTGCATGGCGTACACGCGGCAGGTTGCCTTACGGAGCGACTGCTGAATCGCCACACGCATGCTGTCCAGGTCGTGCCGCTGCAGCACAAACTGCATCACGGGCCGTTGGATTGTCAGGTCCGCCGCCGAGGAGTCCAGCTCGGAGGAGACGAGCTTGGTGAGGGCCGCTGACGGCTGGCACAAAATGGAAGACACCCCTGCGGGGACGAAAAGTGAAGGGCAAAATCGAACGTTAATGGCGCTGATGAAACAAGCAGGATTGTTCACTTGAGTACATTGAAATGAGTATACAAAAGGAACAGACAGAAACAGCACATTTTCATGTGGTATACAGTGCTGTCTGTACAGTTTTGTATTAAAGCATGGAACACTTTTTAACGGAGCCACTTAATCCCAGCCGAAAAATTGATGTCGCATGACGTCACAGTACCATGCGACACCCTTACTTGACACCGTCATGTGACTATGTCACATGACGTCGGGTCACGCAATGTCAGATCACATGCCACAAATTCAAACCATGACGTCAGGTCACATGACGTCACAAACTGACATACGACGTTGATTTCAAGTTAACATTTGGCGGGGAAAATGATCTTACCTAACTTGCGTTGTACGACATGGTTACATGACATGACATCACGGTGTTAAATCGTGATGTCACGTAATACTATGATGTCGATTTCCCCACCAAGTTTAGCGGGGCGATGATTAAACAATGTGTTCTTGTTTGCTCCCCAAAATGACTGTTTAATATCTTCTAAACAAATTTAACCCTTTCCCTACCACGGATGAGCTGGGTTCGTCCACTGTCTGTACTGCTCCTCTCGAATAAGAGCTGGGTTCGTCCACACTGAATAAAACGCTTGTCCTTTAGCAAAGACAAACTAGGCTAGTTTACGTGAGTTAGTGTTACGTGTTGTCAAAAGATGGCGCAAAAGATGTGGTAAATTCCTATATCTTGATGAAACCGGTTCAAAGTTGGCAACAAGGGTTTAAAAGAATGGAAGCGTCCACTTCTGGAGGTGGTGTCCCTTGCAACAAGTGTGGAACAAGAATGCGGGAAAAACAAAGCTTTCACGACATATCTTTGAGTCGGACGACGAGGACATAAACCTTTCATCCTGCAGCGACTGTGAAGCCAGTGAGCTGTTTGACTTTAGCACTAACGACTCTGATTCCGATGAAGACATTGGGTCGGTGTGTCAGCATATATATAAGTATGTTTATGCTACTAGTATACATATAAAAATATCATATAGTGGCTGCAAAAGGCTGCAAAAGTTTTAATATTGTTGATTGCTAGCAGAAATCAGAAATCAAAATTTGCAAAATTCAAGCTTGGATTTTAAGATTTTCATCAAGAAGTATTATAATTACTACTACTACAACAAAAAAAAAAAAAAAAAAACGCTTGTGGGGACTTTGGTTACTCAGTAAATTATATGCCAAGAAGAAAATCATATTCTGTGGTTTAAATTTTCTTCCCCATGCTGAGTGTAAACCAGAAATTAGAGCAGGGGGAAAGATACTAATCTTCACGAAAAGAGAATAGTCATGTCTCGTATCGGATAAAGGCTAAAAATTGGCAAAAAAAAAAAATGAAGCCAAAAAATGAAGAGGATAAACGTGTTTTCGGTCGATTTTCGTACCACAGGTCAAAAACAAAACTGACACACAACTCATTCCCCCGACCGCCACAGCCAAAGTGCAAGGGCAAGACCAGAGAAATGATTGGTTGCGGAGTTTGTTAAACAGATCAGCTCAGAGCACGCAGAGTGAAAGCATGCACAGCAGAACCCAGGCATTTTCGGTTCAATCCCAGGTCCTGCACGATTATATCTGGACGAGTGTCGTACTGGTGTGCAGTTGCATGTCACTACCGCGTGATGCACTATAAAGACTCTAGGCTAGCAGTTGTACCACACTGGCTGAATTTCTCATCTGCAGCGAAGACACGGGCTGCACATTGGGGCCGACCAACCTCCCACAGTTCATACACACAACTACACCCAGAACATGCTCACCCTCGCTTCCGCTGCTGTTGTTCCGCTTCCGCGGCACGACCGCTGCCCTGGCCTCCTGCACGGCCATCTCCATGAGGTCCCGCTCCGTCCAGTCCAGGTGCGTCAGCCCCACCGACACCGAGCGGTGAAACGCCCGAGCGCCCTCACGGCCCCCGGTCGCGGGGTACGACCCTGCCTCATCTCCCGCAAAGTTGTCCTCCGCCACCGCTTCGTTCCCGTTGAGGGCGGCCGCGGATTCGGCTTCGATTTCAATGGCCTGCGAACTCGAAGCCCCCGGCTCCGGCGGCAGGTAGTCCTCCCCGAAACCAAGCGCGGGTCCGTTGAGGACGCCAGCACCCAGTGTGTTGAAGAACTGGATCGGCCCCGTGGCCGCGAATGGATTTGACGGCATCGGAGTGTCCCCCTCCGACAGGCTGGGCAGCCCTGAACGCCGCGACCTCGGCCCCGAGCTAGAGAGCTCGAGCAGGAACACGGCGTTGCTCTTCATGTTCTGGTGGACGTCGTCTTGTGCGGTCGGGGAAAGTAGCCTCGCAGCCGCCGCCACGGAAGAGGAGGCGGCGCGTCGTCCGGAGCCGGAGGACCGTCGGTGCGCCGTCGTGGCTCCGGCCTGGCGGAGGAACTTCTCGCGGCACCGGTCGCAGACAAGGTACCAGCTGCTGCTGGCCACGCCGCCGTCCCCGCAGTTGCCTGCCCATCCACCACAGAAGAGGCCAGCGCTGTTGTAGCCCTTGCCTCCCGCGTGGTCTCCGCAGCCCGGGTGCGCCTGCCGCATGTGGTACGTGACCGGGTGCGTGCACACCATCCCACACAGCTCGCACACCATCTCCCGCTCCCCGATGCTTCCCTGTGCACCAAGAGGCGCCACAGCACCGCGTGCGTTTGGAGCTGACGGGCGGTAGTCCCGCTTCTTCTTGGTCTTGCGTCGCTCCGAGCCATGGACGAACGCCCGCTCGATCCGTTGGAACGTCTTGCTCCCCGCGAAGAGGCTCGGGAGGACCAGCTGCTCTTTGATGGCCTGCGTGCAGGCGCTCGTCACCTGGTCCCACAGGAGCACGAGGTACCGCAATGCTCGTGGGAGATCCGAGACTGCGTCTTCTCGCGTCGGACTCGCGTCCGTGACCGCCGCTGGAGGGAAGGCACGCTTGGATTTGATGTTCTCGTTGAGCGGTTCTCCGGACGGCGGCATTGTTTCGAGCTGTTGCAGGTGAAGCAAGCTTGGAGCGGTCACTTCCACTGAGTGTCGGAAGCGGGCCTTCTGCTCTCGCGTGAGCGGAACCGCGGCAGATGCGGAAGCGGCCGTGGGCGGTCTCTTCGTCATCGTCTTCCGCAGGTCCGGGTTGAACTTGAGGTAGGAGGCGCACGCCATCGCGTCGTGGACCACACCCTCGTGCCAGAGGAAGGCCGCAAACACGGCGCGCAAGCACTCGGCGACCGACGGCGACGTGCCCTGGCGGAACGGCTCCGAGACAGGCGTTCGCTCCGACGGCTCGGCCGGAAGAGCACGCTCCCGCTTGCTACGGAGCGGGTGACGGGCGTTCCCTCCGGCGCCGGTCCGATCCCGGCGGGAGGTCTTCGGGGAGACGCGGGGGCTTTCGTCGCGGCCTGCGCTGCTGCTGCCGCCGCTGCCGATGCTGAAGTGGCCCCGTACACTGGAGCCCTCGGGGCTAGTCTGGGTGCCGGTCTGGGTGAAGGACTTCAACGACGCCGTGGGCGAGAGACTCTCCTGCGGAAAACAGACCCACACTTTCTCGTATCATAACTAACATCTAGCGGTACGCCTATACTGTGGCCGAACGACCATAAAATAATCCGAGAGGCTATATCTAAGACTTTGATAGTTCGGTTGCATTCCTTTGGAGTGGTAACACAAGATGCGTTACGAGGTCGGGCTTCATGGGAGAAGCGACACATTACACACGTTATGCTCGGCTGACAGACAGGTCAAGGTATCATGTGAATCCTTCACATCATGACATCCATGACATCGTGACCTCACACGACTGCGTCATCACACAACTTGACGTTAGGTTCGAGTGTCGCACGACGTTGGGACATCGCTCAACCTCACGACGTCGTGCGAGGTCACACGCGCAGAAAAAGCACGTGCCCGGCTCATTTCCAAAACATTCTGGGAGTGTCCGAGTTTATGTGATCGAGGATCGTATAATTTTATGGAAATTGGCACGCTCGAGTGCTGCGAAAAGTGGCAGAGTGCCATCAACCAAACCTTCTTGGGAGTGCCGGGAGTGCTCAGCGGGCTGTCCGTGGTGCGCTGCGTGATACAGCCGATGCAGCCCGTCGTGGAGGTGTCCCTGAGCTCGCGGAAGAAGCTACCCAAGTGCGAGCTGACGCTGCCCTCGCTGTGAACAAAAGAACAAAGAGGATAACCTTAGAAGGAGCAAGCTGAAGCTTTAGGTAACTTTGCCAACGAAATAACGAGCCTAACCGTGCGCAGACGGTACGTCAACGTGCACGCTCCTTTAAAAATTGGCGTGCCAAAAGTCGGAATTAAAAAGGATACACTCCATATTAGCGCGAGACTCTGCCAGAATTCGCTAGCCAGTGGGAAAAACGTATACCATGCACTGTTCGTTACGGCACAGTGTTCGTACATTACGTGCATCCCGGATGACCTGAACAGTTGTCTATGATGTGTAAGTTTCATAAAGAATGGCTTGAAGCGGAAGTTCTCAAGCTTTTGAATTTCGAGGAATGTGTATCTCTACTAAGTGACAGTCAAAAAATGTCTACCGGCTTCGGTGTTGTTGCCATGATGCAGTACAGAAGCCTACAGACCTTATAAAATACACCGAGCGCACTAAGGAGTGTAAGGCACACAGTTACGCGTCAGTGGATGGCTCAGACATGCTGAAATAGTGCTTAGACTACAAAAACTTCAACAGCCCTGTCCAGGAGCTTTATTGGAGTGTGTTGCCGCCTGTTTTGATTCACTCTGCTTCCTCGTTCTTCTTTTGAGCGGGGATGTGGAACTCAACCCTGGCCCGCTGACGGAGGTTCAGTTGGCAGCGATTCTTGATGGCCAGAGGACGCTAAACAACAGCATATCAGAAATTAAAAGTAAACTTGACGAACACATTAGACAAACAGAATCAAGGCTATCCTCAATAGAAACTAAAGTTGAGTGTCTCTCAAAATTAGAGCCTGACCTTAAGAGATGCGAGAATTATGTCCAGCATTTAGGAAGAAACGTCACTGCAATGGCTGCAAGGGTTGACGCCCTTGAAAACCGGAGCCGGCATAACAACCTCATTATTTACGGTGTGGCGGAAGACTCTACTGAATCACCCGTTTCGTTGAACCAGAAAGTGGTTACCGAAATTTTTGACAAGAAGCTAGGCGTGAAGGTATCAACGATAGAAAAAATACACAGGCTCGGAAGGCATCTGGACAATAAAACACGACCAATATTAATACGCTTTTCTTCTCTAGACGAAAAAGCTGCACTTTTGAAGAACGCGTTTAAATTAAAGGGTACAACGGTGTCTCTGTCGAACGACTACTCAATAGAAGTAAGAGAAAAGCGCCGCCATCTTTGGACATACGCAAAAGCTAGAAGGGAAGAAGGTATCAGCAAAGTAAATCTAACGAACGATAAGCTTGTAATTAATGCGAAAATGTTTACTTGGAACAGTGAAAGAGAGGAGGTTGTACCTGTGCAACGTAACTGACGTCAAACGAATTCAAAGAAAGCGGTGCAAAAGGATATCACTGTGATGGTCGTGAATTGCAGAAGCGTAAAAAATAAAGTAGAAGAATTATCGGGTTTAATCCTATCTGTTCAAGCCGATATCATTCTCGGCACTGAATCATGGCTTGACGACTCTATCTTAGATCATGAAGTATTCCCTAGATGCTTTAACGTCTACAGAAAGGATAGGTCGTTACACGGGGGAGGGGTTTTTCTGTTGGTTAACAATAATTTGCAAAGCCACCAACTCGATCTAGCTGAAAACATAGAATCCGTATGGTGTCGGGTCAGGCTGCCCAATAACCTATGTTTTACCGTAGGAGTTTTCTACAGGCCTCCAAATTCTGATTCTACTTGTATAGACACCCTAAACGAAATAGTTTCTAGTGTTACCAATGAATGTGTGGTACTCGGTGGCGATTTTAATCTGCCAGACTTGACATGGAGCGATGACGGGTGTGCCTGTAAAACAATGACTCGACTTAATATTGATATGAAGTGCATGGTTGATAGTCTAGGTTTTACCCAGCATGTACGTGTACCTACGCGCGGACACAACATACTCGACTTGTTGTTGTGCAACCATCCCGACATTGTTAAACGAATCGATGTCATACCGAGCATAAGCGACCATGACGCTGTAGTCGCGACGCTTCGTTTTCAATCTGCACGTGTAAAGTTGAGTTCAGATCGAAAGGTGTTTTTGTATGAAAAGGGAAATTATGAAGGCATTAGCTCTGAGCTTTCTAGTGGCTTTCTTTCGTTTGAATGCGTTGCCGAAGAAACAGATGTGCACAACACGTGGTTACTGTTCAGGCAGAGAGTGATAAAGCTAACAGAGAAATACATACCATGTATTGATGCATCCAAATTAAAAAATAGAGCCAAACCATGGATCAACGGAAGTGTTCTACGATTAACAAAAAAACGAAAGCGTGCTTACGCACGGTACAAAAAGAAAAAGTCAGCAGTAAACCATGGGAAACTGAAAGAACTGACGACAAAGTACAAAGTCACCGTGAGGAAAGCAAAAGGCGATTACCTACAGCGGCTCGAAGACGGAATGAAAAATAACAATAAACAGTTCTGGAAGTTTATGAAACGTTGCGGAAATGACCAGATGGGAATACCTGACCTATTAGTAAATAACGAACTAATTACAGATGCCCGTCAAAAAGCTTGCATCTTTAATGAATATTTTCAATCGGTATTTTTGCCTGCAAACAATATAACGCCAGTAACGCTTACAAACAGATACGATGATATGCCTCCAGTTGAGGTTGGTGTCGAGGGAGTCCTAAAGCTACTAAAAAATTTAGACGAAACTAAAGCGATTGGCCCTGATCAAATTTCGCCTAGGGTTCTGAAGCGCTGTGCTCACGCCATTGCCCCATATCTTTTTATAATCTTCAACCAGTCTTTGCTTGAGGGCTCATTACCGAATGATTGGAAAGTAGCTCATGTAATACCAATACACAAGAAGGGACCCAAAAAAGATGTTACAAATTACAGGCCGATTTCTTTAACATCAATTTGTTGCAAACTACTTGAGCACATTTTGTACAGCCAGATAATGCAACATCTTAGTTACCATAATTTTTTCATAGATTCACAACATGGATTTAGGAGAGGTTATTCTTGTGTCACGCAACTAACCGAGCTCTATCATGATCTTGTCATGTCCGTAGATACGGGTGAACAGACTGATTGTGTTTTTCTTGATTATAGGAAAGCGTTTGACACAGTGTCGTACTCGTTCTTACTTCACAAATTGAATTGTTTGAGCATAGATATTACCACACTAAAATGGATTCAGTCATACCTGAGTTCGCGTCAGCAATGTGTAATTTTAAACGGCGAGGCGTCTCATTTTGTTGAAGTTACGTCTGGTGTACCACAGGGGTCGGTTCTGGGGCCATTGTTATTCTTAATATTTATCAATGATATTCATGTCAATGTAACTTCCCAGCTGAGATTATTTGCTGATGATTGCGCTGTGTATACGCATATAAAGAACGGGGAGGGTTCCGGACAACTGCAGGCTGACCTAGATCGAATAGAACAATGGTGCGGTGAATGGGGGATGCAACTTAACGTAAAGAAATGTGTTCATGTTAGCTTCACACGTAAAAAAATTAATTTGACACACAGTATTATTTAAGCAATGAGCTAGTAACGAATGAGAATAAAGTAAAATACCTCGGAGTCATTTTGTCATCCGACTGCACGTGGGATTCGCAAATTGATGATGTCATTATGAGGGCGGGTCGCGCACTGGGCTTTGTCCAAAGAAACCTAAAAAACGCTACACAAAAAATAAAAGAACTAGCATATCTTGCCTATGTAAGGCCACTTCTAGATTACGCATGCACTGTGTGGGACCCTTCCAAAAAAAATCGCATTGATGGCTTGGAAAAAATACAAAATCGTGCCGCACGCTTCGTCCTGGGCCAGTACGACCGTTTTTCTAGTGTAACTAACATGAAACAATCACTAGGATGGGCGTCATTGGATCTTCGGCGAAAAAATTTACGGTTGAAATTTTTATACAACATTTATCATGAAGCTACTGGTATTAATAGCTCATCATACCTCTTAAAACCAAATTATTTTTCCAAACGTAATGATCATGTGCACAAGATACGCGAATACTGTACTAGGACGGAGCTCTGCAAAAATTCGTTTTTTGTGAGGACGGTCAAGGACTGGAACGCTTTACAGGAATGTATAGTTTGTGCTGCAAATGTTGATATGTTCTTTTCGTTATTATTCGCCCCCTGCAATAATGCCTTCTAGGCGCTGCAGGAGTTCCCTGAATAAAGAATAAAGAATAATCCAAAGTACAGTCCATTTCTCGGCAAAGTCGTTGGGCATCGGCGTCATATTCACGCACCCTGGGGCGTGTGAAGAACAAAAACGCTCTGAACCAAACGGACATCTCTTTTGTACCGAATACTTTTGTTGTGTTCCATTTTGTTCTGAACGCTCTCATATATTTTCCGTTTCGGAGCGCATGAAAGCGCGTCTCCGGGCAGAAACTCTTGGCATTGAAAGTGCTACAAAAACATTTTGTTATCTGCCATTTCCTTTTTTTATTCAGAGAGCATACACAGTAGGTGTTCGGTACTACAAAAACTCTCAAGTACAGAGCGGGTTGTTAACACTGCGGCACCAGCTCAGTGGTAAACGCCTGCACTTCGCACGCGGCGGACCGAGATTCGATTTCCGCGGGTGGCGGGCAATCTTTTTCGAGGATCTGGCAACATCGAAGACGGATGCCCCACATTGCACACTACAACTATTACAACATCGTCAAACAACTACGACATCAACAACGGACGTCATTTCTAGTGGTGCGAAGAGCCCATAACAGCTATCGCTGTAAAACACTTTTTTAGAGTAGAGCGGTCGAGAAAATTTTAGAGTTGAGGCAACCCCTGAGGTGTTGATGTTTGGTCAGATTTTTCAGGAAAGAAAAGGACATGCGTGGGTGTAATTGTTGGTTTTCTAGGATGCCTAAGGTGTATGGACTGAGTTTGTGCCATAAAAAGACATTCTCCAAATCCACTTTAGTGCCCCTTTCAAGAAAGGCTGAATGCAAAGAAAGGTGTACCTTTGCACCGACCCACGCCGTGGTAGTGGGACCGGGGGCCTGATTGGAGACATAGACTCTCCCCAGCTGCCCTGCGACCCCTGCGACCCCATTCCGTCGCCATGGCGACGACTCCCGCCGACGCCGTCCAGCCCTCCTCCAACCGCAGGATCCGAACAAGAGATTGCAATGGCTCCCGTGCCAGGAATCGGAACGGGACTAGACGTCGCCACAGCCGACTTCGGACTTGGCCGGAGGGCCGGAATGGTGACCGGATGCAGGACCGGATTCGCGGCCGGACTGGGGCTGGTAGCAGACGACCGGCGCCGACGGACAGGCGGAGTGCTTGGCGGCGTTCCGGGCGGAGTTACTCCGTTGCCATTGGCTCGGCTCTCTCCGATGGCGCGGACCAAGTCGCGGACCGAGACTCCACGGAGCTCGGGAGGGAGCGTCCGCACAGGAGGGGGCGGGGAGTCTGTCCTGGTCCAATGGCGAGGCTGGGGGTGATGAGGGGCTGGGCCGGATGTAGATCCGCTCGAGGTGGGCGGGTCAGAACGCTCCGACAGCGGATCGGTGCGCTCAGACTCGGCGAGCGCGTTGGTCGAAGTGGACGGAGTAGACGCTTGGGAGGAATGGATGAAAATAGAAGCACAGTGAGATTTCGGATTCCAGAGCAGGAAATGTGTTCATATACTCCATGCACCTCTAAGCCAATGGTTCTCAAGCATGAATCTGTCAGGGACCAAAGTGATGGGGTACCCCATGCCAGTGGGGGAAGGGAAAGTTTGGGGGGGGGCGGTATAAAGTAAGACAACTAACTGCAGTATGAAAAGCGCATCCTTTACTGTCACAGATAGAAGAAGTGAGAAGCAACACGTAAAAGAATAAATAGATGGATAGATGGTAACGGCTGTACCCTTTATAACGGGAAGTAGCTTGTGCCACCTAGCCATGGTCAACACAGAAAGCACTTTTTTCCAAGAAAAGAGGGGAAGCAGGGAGGGAGGGTTGAGGCAAGGACATTTGAGAACCACTGCTCTAAGCTAACAAAGCGATGGAAGCTACGCACTCGCTGGATCGATCAACTGCCTTCATTTCATCACCTGACCCCGCTCTCTGCGCATGGGTGTGGGCGGGAGCGTGATCATGTGGCAAAAGATGACGTACTCCGACTGGCCCAACAAGCAAGTGGCTTCCATCACACCATCAGCTGTGCAGTGAGATGAGAACAGCCAACGTTCAAAACTACCTATATATTCTGTTCCATTGACATTGTTGACAGAAATAACTGCAGCGAGATGATATATTTGGTCAGTTAGACACAATTAATTGTACTTGTGGCTGCAGAAACTCTACAAATACAAACTCGATTTTGTGACAGCTGGACAAGAACATTTGTAAAAGAAGTCCACAAGTCCCTGAATTAGTAAAGCAATGGCTTTATGTAATACCTTACATGCTTATGCTAAGCTGCTTAATATGCCCCTACCCAAGCAACAACTCACCTGGTGATCCAAAAACAAAAGGACTCGCAGATCCAGAGGACCCGCCCTCCGGATCGGATGTTCCGCTTCCAAAGGTGAAGAGCCCTGGGTATTTAGTGAAACATAAAAAAAAAAAAAGTTTGAAATCTTTCTTGCCAAGTTTTTGCAAGTAGGTTAACACAATGAGCTGCCCCCACGACTTCCGAGATTGTTCTGGTGACCTCAAGCACTAACCTTTGTCTCAAATTAAAAAAGTTTGTAGAGGAGAACCACCCTATACAGTAAGGTCCATTTTCTCCAGAAATCTATTCACTAGACTAGTACTTCACCATGCCAGTAACCACTTTAATGCCTGTATACCGGTACTATGAGCATATTCTAACATTGCTTCCCTATACCCATATGTTCACAATACCAGTATTTAGTGAAAAAAGGTGTGTTTCACCTCTCTACACTAAAGTCCCTCTTTCTGTTTTTAAGCAAAAAGTGAAAACATACCTCTACAAGGACAGCCATGCAATTACCTTTGTATTGCCACATACATCAAGTTCACATAGTTTAGTCGACTGCAAACCGACGTGATGCTCCCCTCTCCAGATTCATAATGAATCGCTGATAACCCAGAGGCTCTCTCAAACTTTCTTGGGTAACCATGAAAGACCAACAGCGGTCTCTACCCTTTCGCTGCTGTCGCAGGGTGTATGGTAGCTTTCTGTTTTAGTCGCAGGCCCAAGAATGCCTTATTAAACATTTATTTTTCAGTTTTTACAACCATCTATCCTTTTTCTAAATGCATAGCATTTATACGACCTGCCCTTAGCGCTTTCCTGTCCGTGGCTTGCACCCTCAATGGTGTTGTCACACCGATGACGTCAAGAGATTTGTGTGGTTTGTGTATTGTCATCAACGTGATGGTCGCTACGCGACACAGCAACGTCACGTGACAATATGACGTTGTATGGTAGTGTGAAGTCACGTGACACGATGATATCACTTGACACTGCAACATCACGATGTCACATGACGTGACCTTTACGGGGTGTCATGTGACGCAGTCCCGTGAGACCTTGACATCAGGTGGCACCATGACGTCACATTATGACGTCGTGTCATATGAAACCATGACGTCACGGTGCCATATGAAGTGACGTCACAATGTCACATCATGATGCCACCTGACTTAACACTGTCAGCTGGTGTTGCGTCACATGATGTGACATGTTGCGTCACATGGTGTGACATGACATGACGTCTCAGCGTGTCAGGTGACACCAGGATGTCACAGGGGACATACAAACACTATGCATTTAGAGTACCTTTGAGATATACCAAAGAGATGGGCAGTTTTTTCTCATTCCTGACATCCTATCTTCTATCTTGCGCAATCCATGGTGCGGTGAACTTTGCAAAAAGTCATCGAGGCACAGGGGAAAAAAGGTTTGGTCGACTCACCTTGAACCGACGCACTGCCGGCCCCGGCTGCGTTCCTCTCTGAGTTTCCGGCAGGAACGGTAAATGCGTAGCCTTTCGGTCCGGTCCAGGCAGCCACGTGGTTCAACGCACCATCCTTGGCTGGCGCCGCCTCTTCGTCGCTGTCGCCCGACTGCATCAGCTCCGACTCATGGCGCAGGTACACCACCTCAGGCGCCAGGGAGGAGGTGCGCGCCAACGACCACGCCTCGCCCTCGGCACTGAAGCAATGCTGTTGCATGCTGTCTCGGCTGAGACGGAGCCAGACGCCCTCCGCGTTGGCGACCTGCGTCATTTCGAGCATTCCTTCATCATAACCGACATCCCTGCCAAGCACCAAATTTCGTGTCATTTCTGTTGAACGACAGTGTACGATCGGGCAGTCGGTGCGCATTACTCCCAGAGCAATGTGATGGACGCAGCGCTCGTGATTGGGCACATGTGACGCTCGATCGCACAAATGACATTAAATCTTGATGAGTGGAGAAGATATGAGAGTTGGTACTGTTTTAAAGCATGAAATAATTTATAAGAGAACTATATAACTAGGGTTCCGTGTTTCCGACAAACCCCGCAAATGTACCCCCAATTCGGTTTTATCACACGTCGGTGAAAACTGAACGAGGAAAGCAAAAATAAGTATTTATCAACAGCTTTATTGTGTGTTGGTCCAGCACACAGTCTTCCCTACACTTTTTGTATGCTGTTTTTTTCTTAGAAAACACCCCCAGAAAACGTCTTAAAAAAAAAAACAAAAAAAACAGCTCTCCAAAATTTATTTTGAAAAAAAATTTGTTCCAAAAACACAGAACTCTATTTAGTATAGTACCGACGGAACCCGCTGTGCAACACAGCATACTCGCATTGCTACAAGCCATACTCACTTTGAAAACACTTACTTCAATGTAATTTCACAAATCTGAAAGCACATCGAAACGACAGGTCTGACGATCTGATTACATAAAATGAAGAAACTTTGGAACTCTTATGGAATATTTCCCATGCTCGCAAAATTTTAGAACTTTTCTACATTACAGCGGACAACAATAAATAAAAGTTACACAAAAACTCGTTTCATTATTCACAAATAGCATTATATTTTTCATTTTCTCGCCAATTTGTTTTCTAATTTCTCAACTCATAGGCTTGGATTATAAAGCTGCTTGCATCGAGGCAACGCAACGAAGACAACTTGAATCGTGCTTACGTATCACAACCACATAGTGCCACAAATAAAATATATAAAGGAACTGCATGAGATGCTTCAAATGACCAGCCAACCCCTCATACTATTTGAAAGAACAAAAATCTAAATTGAGCCAAGCTTACTTCTTCCAGGGCGACAACCGTGCTTCCCATGACCAGCATGCCGACGGGTGGCGCTTTGAGGTTGGGCTTGCTGCGAATGTTGTGACCAGATGCGCCACACCGGACCACTTGGTACATGCCAGGCCCTGACGTCGCACCGCATAAAAAAAAAGAAAAAAGTAGAGCAGCAGAGCCATCAGTAAACACCATCACAAGACCTCGTAAAAAACAAAAATTGTAATTCTCGAGAATACTGCTTAATTTTTCACCAGATTCTGCAAATTCCTCACAGCAAATCAAGATTTACTTGTCTTTATAAAGTTGTCAACTAGAAAGAACCACCACTGCACTTTAAAAACATTATTTTTATTACTTGTTTGCAGACAGAAAAGATCTTTGCCGAAAAAAATTAATGAAACAAAACAAATGCTTTAAAAATACACTGCTTACCTACTGAGCTTATATATTATTTAACTATCTATGACCCCATACATATAACAAAACTGTTTATAAAACAATTAAAAAATAAACGCTACTATTTGGAACACAAGTTGCAAGATCCAATGCTAGTATAGTATATCAGTTTAAAAAACAGGAGTCTAAATGCTAAATTTAAACTCACCCCGTCTCATCATCTGTTGCTGTTGGTGCTGTTGCTGCTGGTGTTGCTGCTGTTGGGCTTGTTGCTGATGAAGCTGTTGCTGAATATGCTGCTCCTTCAGCTCCTCTTTTTTCTTCAGTGCTACCTTGTCGCTGAAGAACTCCTCCAGCACTGATTTAGACTCCTAAAACATAAAAAAAAGCTTAAAAATCATGTTTTGTGTATCTTCATTTGTATTCTTCTTCCTTAATTTTCATTTCCTTCTTATGTTTTTTTGGAATGCAAAGTTTCCTTTCTGTTTGCAAGCACAGTGAAGTTCTGAAAATACTCTCTTATCTTGGTAAGAAGGACAAAATCCGGCATCCATTTCAATCAATGAAGAGTAGAAAAATGCATTAGTATAGTCTTTTTTTTATAAAGCTGCATCGGCGCCACTGAGTTTAGAAACGTTTATACCACCCTATTGGCTCCCTCAGACGCTAACGTCTGAATATACCACACACACTGACTTCAGCACTTCAGGCCCGTTCACACTCTTGCGACCTCTTAAACCTGGGTTCCTTAAAACTTTTTAAACCTGAGAACACACTGGCGCCATCTATTGGGAAGCAGTGTAAACACGGCGGTCCGGCATATTTTTTTTATTTCTCGCGCATTATCCTTTCTTTCTTGGCTCGAAAAACTTTTGTCAATGTTATAAAACGAGCCTTTCTATGGGTATTGCGCACATTTGACCTCGGAAATCCCGCAAAACCTTCGCTCTTGTGAAATGCAGTTCCAGGGTCACCGCATAGATGGCGCCACAATGTCAGTGTGTTCTCTCATTCTAAAAACATTTAAGAAGTTTTAAGAGATCTCGTCTCTCTCAGTCGTACTCGGTCGCAAGAGTGTGAACGGGCCTTTAGACAACAATGACGTTCAATACCATAAAAAATCTAGAAAAAGAAACAAAACACTCCTACTTATTTACAAAATTCCTGCCAATAAACAATATAAGGATGCTGCATGAGTGCACTCTCAGAGTTTCCGATTCCACAGGGAAGCAGCATGAATACAGACCTCGATGGGAACCAGGAGTGTCTTGCCCAAGTGCTGATTGTACTGCAGGCACCAGGCTTCGGAGTATCCGTTGTGGCAGTACGTCTTGATGGTCTCGGGGCTCAGGCGCACCCAGACCCCGTCGTCATTGTGCAGCTGAGGAGTGCCACCAATGACACCGTTCAAAGTCAGTTACACGCTTCTATGCTGAGTATATAGACTGTCGTTGACATAGACCGCTATTGAGTGTCATGCAACAGGCTAGATGCCCTGTCTGCGCACCTAAAATTATTTCATAACTCCGATTATGCAGAGAACTGCACGATGAAATATCGTGTGACAAAAGTTGCATGAAAAAAAATTGCACAAGAACTGTGTGACAAAAGTTGCATGGGAGAAGTTGAACACTGAGAGTTGAATGATAACAGTTGCGTGAAAAGAGTCGCGCGACAAAAGCAGCAAGAAAAATGCTGCATGACGTAAGTTGGAATGAGCGGACGAGTGGGCTGGTGAATACTTGACATGACTGAATGTGAGACAGGAAGGGGACGCTGCGTCTTACACTTCCTTCCCTGTCTCAGGTTCAGCCGCGTCAAGAAACAAAAGCTGCACTACAAAATCTAGAATTATTTGAAAACTGTGTTCGCCGTAGTGTGGCACAGGTTTGCAGCAACGTCCAAGAGGTAAGCTACAAACCAGAAACAGGGGACTGCCCCCTTGTCCTCACCTCGTCCACAAAGGTGACCGTCCCGTTGATCTGGACGATTCCGATCTGTTTGCTCTGCAAAGACGGGTGGCTTCGAATCCGGAGTCCGGCGCTGTACTTGGCAAAGAACTTCCTCATCTGGAAAGGAGGTTAGACTTTGCATTAGTTTGTGTTCAGATGAAAGAAAGAAAATGAAATAAAAAATACAAACAGGCCTACAGAAGTAGAGTTCACTTGAATAGAATAAAAGCAGTTGTGATAAGAGGGTCAAACCAAAACTTTTAGTTGTTCGGTTTGGGTTCACATCTTTCGGTTCAGTCCTGGTTCAGTTCCGGGGAGCAAAAATAATTGTTCAAACTGGTTTGAACCACTAAACTGAGAATATACTAGGTATTTCCGGCATTGTTTTGCGATAGGCACTATTTCCACAGTGAAACGACTAACTACATAGTTTTCTTTTTATTGTTTGTCCACTTTTATTTTTAGGCACCACAAATAAAAAATTGCATTATTTAATTTTGACAATCGAGTATGTCACGGTGTCACGCAACTTGCAATGCTAAGTTATGATCTTATGTGACGTCACGGTGTCAACAACGCAAGAGAGGGCGGTGCGAGTGTAGACATGGCCGACGCGGGTAGCACAGCGGAAAATCTTTGAGAAACCTTCATTATCTACCTGAGAGTCTTATGACCTTAAAAATGGTGCTCACTGATAACTAATCTATTGAGTAGACCTATTCCTAAATTACCCAAGCATCAAGGAGAATGCAGGGAATGGTGTTCCACGCGCCGCACATGCCGGCGTCTGCAGCAGCAACTGTTCTAAAGCAAAAGCCTAAAACAAATGGCAACTGGCACGCACGTTCGTCAATGATTTATTTTGGTTATTTGTTTCAAATCTTTTATGCGGGGAAGGTGTGTGCGTGCGGCGGTTCGAGCGTATAGTTTTTAGTCACTGCACACGAAAAATCTAAGGAACCCCAGCCATAAACAGTTCCGCTGTAAAATACCGTATTTACTCGCACAATGAACGCACTCGCGTAATGAACGCACCTCCCAAGTCGGCTCTCGAAATTTCGACTTTTTTTTTCACTCGCGTAATAAACGCACCCCCCAACTCGGACGTCAAAATTTTGACCCCCTCCCCCCAAGCGCGCGAAATGAACACACTTTTCTATCCTGGTGCAGCGAGGTCGCGAATGCATGGGCAGCGTGGGCGAACAAAATGCCTTGCAAAAGGCGTTAAAAAATTGGCAAAGATCCAACGGAAGCAAAAAAAAAAACATGGAGAGGAGAACATGATTGTAAACCTGAGACTGGGGCAGGAAGAGAACACAACAGAAGGTAGTAAAAGAGGAGGCAACGTCTGAGTCGTTGCCTCCTCTTTTACTATGTTTTGTTGTGTTCTCTTCCTGCCCCAGTCTCAGGTTTACAATCATGTTCAACTTACACCAGCTCGCCTGCACCCTGACTACTTTTTCGTTAATGGAGAGGAGCTTTTTTTTTTTTTTGCACAGCGCAGTCTGGATTTTGGGTTCGCGCGCCGCCGCGCGCAAGGAGGTAAGGAAGAGAAGCGGAGAAGCGCTCTAAAGCGCGAAACACATGTACGATGAAACCATCCGATCCGACGTCCGACCACGCAATACGACGGTCGGAGGCGAGGGTTTTCAACGCTCTCCGGTGCTACGAAAACCCTCACCCCCGAAGGTCATACCGGCAGTCCGCATGTCGGATATGACGGTTTCGTCGTACATGTGTTTCGCGCTTAAGCCCGCGTTCACACGCAGCAACCGAATTGCTCAGACTTGCCATCATCATCATGAAATTTGATTTTTCCTGCACTATTTAGATGCACAGCTACGCGCTAAAAACGTGTTTTTATATGTTTGAATGGTGTTGAGAATAGTACCTCATCTTTCTGAAGCAGTTTATTTCCAAAAACGATCCATTTCAAACCAGAACCAAGTTCATAGCTGTCGTCATCACCACCCCAGGGGTGTCACGTGAAAATATCGCGTCCCTGATTGGCTGCAGCCGTTTCAAACGTCTTCGAATTGCTCCGAGTTGCTCGCTCGTTCGAGCCGGACCCATCTCAGCAATTCGTGTTGATCTAGGGAAAGCTAGGGAACAACCCGCCAGCAACCTCAAAATTGCTGGAAAAGTTGCCCCGCCTGAAGCGGGCCTAAGCAAACGAAACAGCTTGCGAAAGGGGGAGAAAAAAAAACAAACCACGGAGCTAAGAGAAAACAAAAACAAAAAGAAGCTTTTTTATTTTTTTTTTTTTTTGTGCACAGCGCAGTTTGGTTGCGGGGGGATCGTGCGCCGCGCGCAAGGAGGTAGCAAGGAGAAACGGAGAAGCCCTCTAAGCAAACGAAACAGCTTGCAAAAAGCGGCAAAAACAAACAAAAAACAACAAAAAAAAACACGGAACTGAGAAAAAAACAAAACAAAAAGAGGAACTTTTTTCTTCTTTTTATTTTTTTTTTTTTTTTTGCACAGCGCAGTTTGGTTACGGGGTTGAGCGCCGCGGAGATAAGAAGTTACTTCGATTTTTCAGGATAAAAGGTCCGTTCATTACGCGAGTAAATACGGACGCAAAAATTTTACTTCGCGTAATGAACGCACCCTCTAACTTTGCATCAATTTTTCGGGAAAAAAAGTGTGTTCATTCTGCGAGTAAATACGGTAATGGTCCGGTTCCAGTGTTCGTTCAGTTAGGTTCCGGTTCGACACTCTGGTTGTGAACGGCGAGTTATATTTATACCCGACTTACTTGCGTGTCTTTGACTACACCTTTTACTCGTTGCATTGTTTTCTTCGGACTATCTTTGGCTCCTGCCAGTCCTGCTGACGATTCCTTACATAATACAAACAACTGCACCATACAATTTGATCTTCCTTCACCATTTGCACAAATTTCTGCCACCTAGTAGTAAGAAAAAAAATCACTCATTCTTGGCTCTGCACAACCAAAATCAAAACGTTCACATCCTTCTTGGCTCTGCAGTCCTGGTGGCATCTTTGAAGTGACCAAGAAAAGCGCCCCAAAGACCGAGCCTACGGTAACTCACCCTGTTGGGCTGGTGGGACGACTTCTGGGTACTGCTCTTGGATGGGATCACCAAACCCTGGGGGGGCTCCTTCACCTCCACCAGGCGGCACTGGGAGCTCCCTGGAAACACAGATGCCGCCTTTTCAACATGTGCTCGGACATTTTTGTCGAAGAAGTAGAGCTCGGACAACACGGGTCTGAATCCACAGTGTACTGTGTGGTATGTTTATGGAGAGTTACTCAAAAAGCTATTCCTGCCAGGTTAGAAAAAGTCACCTGTATTACCAAAAAGTAAAATATTGTGCAGTGTGCAACACAGTTAGCATGGATACTCATTCAGTGGCTATTACCACATAAGAGTGTGACAGAAAACGCTTATGTGCAGCGTAATCATAGGTAGTAAAGTGCGGTGGTAGACCCAGAGCGCTTAGACAAGACGCGAGCGAGCATCAATGATGTGCTTTGGCTAACTGCGCCGCACGCTTTATGTAAATTGTGCTAACTTTGTACCATGCTAGAGAAGATTGTCATTTCCTAAGTTACAAAGACAAAAAATGGTGTTGGATACTTCTTTCTGAATTAAACCAGGGTCTTACTAAATAGGGTCCTTCAAATTCCCTACTTTTTCAGGTTTTCCCCAACTGTTTCGATTGAACTCCCTGACCATTAAAAAAAAAAAGAAAATGCAGATGATGAGGGTTGCAGTGGTGAATAGAGTGGTAGTCTATGCTGCATGGTGATGCCTCAGGCAACTGTCACTCCTCGGTGCGAAGGGTGTGGCATGCCACCGCACACCACACCCTTCAGCTTCGACGCATGTCACCGTGCTGCCGACAGTGGTCGGCGAGGCAGCAACTTTCTGATGATTTCCCGGACAATTCCCCGGCTTTTCCGGATGCTTTCGAAATTCCCCAACAATTCCAGGCTTTCCAGATTTTCTACGTTGGTAGGGCACCCCGCCAACCTCTCCTTCATGCTTTCAGTCCGTTGCAAACCTAATTACGGTTCATAGAAACCATACTTCTCAACGTTCCAATAATTCAACGAATTCCGCTTTGCAACTTTCCGTCAGCCAGATGGGAGGTACTACAATCGAGTTCTTAGAAGAAGCAAATTCGAGAAGAGGCCCAAGCACCCGCTCGGCGATCTCCCACCACAACTCCGAAGCTAGCACACGCTCGTGGCTCCATATATCCGACACGGGGAAGGGCGGCGTCTAAGGTACTTGCCGATCTCAAAGCCGTCGATGATGGCGTGTAGCAGGTACCATCCGACGGATCCGGGCGTCCAGTTGGCCGTGTAGGTGCCGTCGTCGTTGGCCCTCACCAGCATGTTCTCCGTCAGGCGCTTCTTGGTCGGAGACACGTAGCGCAGCTCCTCGAACGAGTAGTCCTCGTACGGCTGTCCCAAAAACATTCGTGATAAGTGCTCGCCTAACTTGCCAGTAATAACAATACTACAGATTGATAGTTATGAATAATAAAAAAATAATAATATTAAAATAACTAAAATAATAAATCATGATAGAATGCTATCATAAAAGCATTCTATCCATCTTATCACGTCGTTTGTTGCCCATTTGGGACCACTTTTGATGTATGGACAGGAGGGGATGCTAAACACGCCAGTTGAACACACGTTCCAAGCACCATAATTAACTTTGTAATAATGCCGTGTTTTCTGTCGGTGTTCCCTAATAACCTTAAGGGTTCCGCCGAAGCACTGAACATACGCGAAGATGTTCAGCACAAGTGTCGTGGAAACGGTTGCAACTGTAAGCAATACTACACATATTTTCCTCAAAATAATAACTCGTCCTACCGTACAAGTAATTTTCGGAGCTCGCCAAAATCCTGTACGTCACCAGGTACTAGAGATAAGTGTAAGATGAATTAACTGGCCACTATAGATGTGTGCAAGCTTGTGCTATATGTCCTTTCGCACCGCTGCTACAGCCGCGGTTCCCAACAGACAGTAGGCAGCTTTACGTGAATTGCGAGAAATTGACTGCTAGTGAATCATGTGCCGACAGTGGATTGCGAGTTCAAAGCGAATTCAAGCGAATAGTGGTTTTGGCCAAACATTTTCTAATCGAATACTGAGTAGTTTCTCTAGCCTTTCACTACCGTGCACCATGCTTAAATCAAAATGCAGCTTAAATCGTGATGGCTTGTTCCCAACCTTCCAATTGTCCAACTCTAAACTCAGTAAATCTTAATACACTAGGTACTATATTTATTAACTCTTGCATGCAAACGACAAATTTGTCGTAGCTATTCTAATTGAGGGGATTTAAAAATCTGCTTGCTATGTGCCAATAATCTTTCTCTAATTTCAAATTGTTAAAAAAAAAATAAACAAGCACAAATGGTGAACACAGGTAGTCAAGCCATCACAGCTAACATTTGTCTAGCATAATCGCAGCGGGTTAGCCCCGTCAAGTGTGCTTCGCACCGAGCACCTGTGCACTGCGGGAAAGCAATTCCCGCGGAACCCACGGGTACTGCTTCCCCTCAGTGCAAATGTTCTCAGTGGGAAGCGCACTCAAAGGGGCTGTCCTGCTGCGATCAACACTGCGAAAACTATGAATATCGCGGTTCATCTCAAAACGAATATCGAATGGCGCATTATTTGAAACTATACTATAGGAAAACTAGAATATTCGTACACCCCAAGAGTTCTCCCTACAGATATCCACAAATGGCAAATGAGCAGCTGTACACCACCCCCTGGCCTCACCTTCATGACGGTGATGGCGTAGTAGAGCATCTTGTCCTTGACGGTGACTTCGTAGGGCATGTCTAGGGTCGGAGGCGGGTGACCTCCAAAAGTGAGGAGACCCCCCCGCTCCCCAGGGTTGGCGGATGCGCCTTGGCTCGCCACACCCTCCTGGTTGTACGCATTCATTGGCACTGCCCTCACCTCCACCTGCGGGTGTGTGGAACGGCACAATGGTTGCGCCAGGACTTCTGTCCAGATCGCCCAGTAGAAGCTCTTTACAGCAAAGACTGACGTGGTAAAGCAAAGTTGAAGTATGGTTCCAATATTGATAAGGGTGTCTTTGAAACTACCGGAATATCTCGAGAGATGCCTCACCCCCGACAGATAACCCGCCGCTACTTTTGGCTTGATTTGCTATTTTCTGTTAGACACCAACACTTTTAGTAATCATAGGCTGTGTTTCAAAACTTACTTGATCCGACTCCGGAGTAAAGTTTTCGTACCGTGGCGTTCCAAAACTTACTCAAGCTTACTCGATGACGTCAGAACTCGCGTTGCAGAAGCGGGTTGTTTACTCCGGAGTAATTACTCATGCTACCCCCCCTCGATTGGGGGGTAACGTCGGATCAAATCGAGTAAATACGTCACGTGATCTGCTCGTCATCTGCTTTCTGTGCCGACAGCCGTCAAAGCTCGCCTGCTCCGTTGGTTTTGGTGGCGGACGTTCGAAATGACAAAGAATAGGTGCAGCATGCGTGGTTATTGCGATTTGCTGTTTTCAACGCACGAATTGACTGCATTACATCCAGACCGTGTACCTTCCCCGGGAAGCTATACTTGTTATTATCAGAGTGCGAGCGTAAACAGGAGCTTCTCCGCATTCTCGTCCTGGGCGTTCAAGGTTGAAAATGTTTGAACGGAATAAATGATAAGGTAGTATTTTTGATTCCTCCAGAGTGTGTGTAATGAGAGGATAACGCGTGTAAAGCTGTGAAGGCTTCGATGATTTTATTGTAATCATATTCGCGCCAAAGCGAACGTCAGTTTCATTTCATTCTCGAGAAAGCACCCTCGCGCTGTACCACTACACCGTGTCGAATCAATTTCTGCTAAACATAATCGGTGCAAATTACAATGCGTGGAATATGCATTTAGGACAATCGCGCTGATTAATTTTGATATCTAACTGTAAGGAGTAAGTAATTTTTATCTCAATATACACCTCAAAAGAAAGGTGAGTAAAAGGAGCTGGTGGATTTACCTAAAAAAAGAATGCGTCGGCATTAATATTATCGTCTCTTCGAGTGGTTTCTTCGTGATCAAGAGGATCGTCTGCTCTTTTCTGCCACCGCTGCTGTGTTTTCTTATTGCTGTAGCCCAAGACGAAGCCAATCCGCGTAGTATCCAGGTTATTATCCCGGTCGTTTCAAAATCGAGTCGCGGATCGTTTACTCGCAATGTCACGTGGTATTACCCTCTGATGTAGGAGGCACGTTACAAGGGTAAGATATGGAACATAGCCATAGTGTCTGATCAATGATGACCTCTGCATAAATGTGGCTACTTAGCTATGGCGGGATATAAGCAAACACTGCAGAATGGGAAGTGCAGTCATCTTTGCTTCATTGTCCCTCACTGCAATAACAAGTTTGGAAGGAAAACATGATCTAAAAATAGCAATTCTTCAACTTTCATTGATTGTACGCTGAACGTTAGCCCACTCCTTATTTTAACCCAATTTGCTCTCAATTTTAGGTGGGCTATCTGTCGGAATATTTCAGTAGTACAGCAAAAAAAAAAAAACACTGATGTCACAAACAATTTTCATGAAAAAACTAAGCTGTTCTATCGTATTTTAACTCCCCAACTTTTCTAAGTTTTGCCGGATTAGTTTAGCAGAACTCCAGAGCTTCTTTTTTTTTTTTTCTTTTTGAAACAAAGCAGTTCCAGAGAGTCAATACTGAGAATAATAATACACTGGGTTTTGGCACGTTTGAAGGAAATGTGCCAATGGCCTCGTAATAGTCCCACCTTGGATCTTCATTACTCAATATCATCAAGATCGACGATCGAAAGATGGCAGGCATCCAGAGTATGGGGCCCGACACCTCATGCCAACAGGACTAATACCTTTCGCCTTCGTGGAGACTAGAGCACACGCCGAAAGTGTTAGGCGAACAAAACAAGACGCAAAATATTCCCGGTTCTTGGCTGTGGCGATGCACATGGACCACACACAATCACACTGCAAACTAGCCACGACGTCATGTGATGTCATGTGACATCACCATGTTTATGGGGGTCTTTCCACTGAATTTGGCGTAGGAAGTTCCCAGCCACAACGGCCCTTCGAGAAACGCCCCTAGGGATCGGCTGCCGTCGTAGAAAGCCCCACAGTGAATCACGCACGACAGAAGAAGCCCGGTGGCCGAGTGTGTGAGCAGACCATAGCTCGGAGCACGAGGACTGAAAGCTCGCATCGCAGAACCCAGGGGTCCTGGGCTTGACGCCCCCCTCTGCCCATTTCAACCTGCGTGAGCACCGCACAGGCACGAGGTTGTGTATCGCCACTGCGCGATGCGCGTTAAAAGAATTCCGGTGGCTTAGCTCGGCTATGCCAGGATATACGTAGCGTGAGCTTATGCGCACAAAATGAGAGGCTCTATCAAGCGGCTCTGGGGCAGCATCAGACTTGGCTACTGTGGAACGGAGGCGCACAGCTGGGCACACGGCGGTGACGTCACTCCTCTGGAATGCGCAGACCAGCGAGGCGGGCGCGGCGGTGGTGGCTCCGGCGCGCCAGCTGTGTGCCATGTGACGTCACTGCTCCTCGCGCATGCGCAGCACGGAGCACGGCTCATTATGCGAGACACGTGAAACTGCTCAACCTCGGCCAGTGTACCTCATGCTACAAAACCTTTGGGTCAGCCGTGGTACCACACCAGCTAAATTTCTCGCTTATGGCGAAGATACCGAACGTCCATTAGGGCTGTCCAACTTCCTGCTGTCCAGACAAACATGCAAAACACTGGACCTTTTCCCAGTAACGGGTGCCATTTCCAGTCTATGAACTACAAACGAAGGGCAACCCAACTTGCCTCCACCTGTCGGAATACATCGGCACTGTGCCGTCATATCGATCTTCGTTGCCTTTTACACCCTAATACTAGCGTATACTCAAATGGGAATGGCCTAAAGAGGCAAAATATGCGCAAAGATAGGTGCCAAATACGTTGGCCGACTGGAACTTCGCCCTCCAAAAAACGGCGACGGCAGGAAGTGAGGCCGGGAAGGGGGTATACGCATGTGCGGAAGGTTACTGCAAAAACTTCCATTCCTACCTTCATGTTGGGCACGTGGACCAGGTGGGCGTACTGGTCCCGGGTGAGCACGGTAACGACGGAGGGCCAGCCGCAGCGCAGCTCCTCCTGGCTGCAGACAAGCTCGCACTGGCGGGGGTCCACGCAGCACTCGGGCTGCAGCCAGCGCGCCAGGCGGCCCCCGCTTGTGGACGCGCCGCTGCACGCCACAAAGTCCCGCAGGAAGGGCCGCTCGTTGGACCGGTCGCCCCCCAGGGAGAGGCTGCCTTCCAGGGCCTGCTGGATCGTCGGCAGGTGGGCCAAGGCAAAGCCCCGGGACAGCAGGGCGGAGTGACCACTCAGGGCCTGGAAGGTGCGACACCAAAACGCATTTGGGCTGTACGGCAAGAGCAAGTTGAAACGCGTCCCTTTGCACGTCGGATACGGGACGTACAAAAAAGAGGGGAAAGAAGCATCTTGGAACGGGGCAAAAATTCAAGCAGAACCAACTATAGGGTTGTCTGATTAAGCGATTAGCTGTGGACATAATTGAAAGAGCCGCGGCAGGTTGCGTCTCAATTTTCCCGCTAAATTTAGCGGGCAAGCTGAATTTGTGTGGAGGGTACGCTACATCGAGCCATGTGATGTTAATTTCCCCGTTAAGTTTAGCGAGGAAACTGAATTGGTGTTAAGATCACGTGATGTAAATTGTCCCGCTAAACGCGAAGTAGAATTTTTGCGTCCGTATTTACTCACATATTGAACGGACCTTTTATCCCGAAAAACCGACGTTACTTCTTATCTCTTTGCGCGCGGCACGTGACTCAAAAACCAAACTGTAATGCAAAAAAAAAAAAAAAGCTTCTCTGTATGTTTTTTTTTCTTGCTTCCGTTTTTTTTTTTTTTTTTTTTTCCATTTTTTACAAGTTGTTTTGTTTGCCCATGCTGCCCATACATTCGCGACCTCGCTGCACCAGGATAGGAAAGTGCGTTCATTTCGAGGGCCTCTCACTTCTCTTTCCAAAGTGCGAGGAGGAGGCGAGGACAGGATGCCTTCATTATGTGCGCTTTGCTTCTGCGAAGGCTTCTCCGCTTTTCTTTCTTATCTCCTTGCTCGCAGCGTGCGACCTCGGGACTAAACTGCGCTGTGCAGCGGCGTAGGCTTTCCACTTTCCCGGGGGGGGGGGCAGGCTGAGTTCTCCTGGGAGGGGGGGGGGAGAGTGCTGCGCGCTACTTCCTCGCCAGAACTGGAGATCGAAGCTAACGAAAACATGCTGTGATTCCATTTCCCATGTATTTTGTCAATAAAGGCAACGTGGGCGTTATTTTGTTTACATGCCGCGACTAGAAACTCGTTACATGGCACGTAAACAGCGTCTCGGTAAGGATCATGGCCTGGGCGGGGGGGCTCTGCCTTCCCCCGGATTTCGCCAGGGGGGGCACGAGCCCCGATGCCCCCCCATAGTCAACACCTCTGGCGCTGTGCAAGAAAAAAAACAGCTCCTCTTTATTTTTTTTATTTTCTCTTAATTTCGTGGGGTTTTCTTTTTTTTTTTTTTTTTTGCTGCCTTTTGCAAGTTGTTTTGTTTGCCCACGCCCATGTATTTGCAACCTCGCTGCACCAGGATAGAAAAGTGTGTTCATTTCGAGGGCTTCTCCCCTTCTCTTTCTTATCTCCTTGCGCGCGGCGCACAACCCTAAATCTAGACTGCGCTGTGCAAAAAAAAAAAAGTTATTCTCCATGATTTTTTTTCTTGCTTCCGTTGGATCTTTTTTTATTTTTTTTAATGCCTAAGGCGTTTTGTTAGCCCACGCTGCCCATGCATTCGCGACCTCGCTGCACCAGGATAAAAAAGCGTGTTCATTTCGCGCGCGTGGGAGAGGGGGGGGGGGGGGGGGGGGTCAAAATTTGACTTCCCGTTGAGGGTGTGTTTAATACGCGAGTGAAAAAAAGAAAAGTCGAAATTTTGAGAGCCGACTTGGTCGGTGCATTCATTACGCAAGTGCGTTCATTGTGTGAGTAAATACGGTAGGTCACGTGGAATCGTGTCATGTGACAATTTCTTCACTAAATATGTGTATAGACAATTGCGAGCATCTGCGCTTCGAAAGCTCTTGTGGCCACTGCCGATGGAAAAAGCCTTGCTTGGGCGCCAGTCTGGAAACCGTAGGTATGCCTCAGCAATGCTGGACTATTAGACGATCTACCCGCTCCAGTAGCAAGATGGCGGCACCCAGGGGCCGTACTTGCAAACGTCTATAGGTGACGAGACATAAAGCCATACGACATCATTTTTCTGCTAAATATAGCGAAGAAACTGAATCGGCGTTGAGCCCACGAGACAACAATTTTACCTCTAAATCTAGTGGGGAAACTGAATTGGTGTATAGGTCACGTGATATCAAGTCATGCGACATCATTTTTTTTCCCCACTGAATTGAGCGAGGAAAAAAAACAGCCAGAAACATACCTCAAAGTTGCCTGGAGATCCTAAGAAAGATAATCGCTTTAAAAGCTAATTGCTTTAAACTAATCACCTGGCTTAGACATTTTCTCAAATGTAGCAAAGGTGCAACAGCATTAATGCACAGTTCCTGCATTACTGCCAGACGAAGTGGGGAGTAGGGTGGTAAGCGGTGTGAAAATGCTTTTCCCCTTTCCTCCCTCACCCAAACTCCGCAGAGTGCAACGTCGTCGGTTAGGCACACCGTGGCATCAACCCAACAGCTGCACTTGCGCTCCGTAGCTGTCACATCTCGTACCATGCTGTGGTGCAGCCAACACAAACGCAAGCAAACGAGGTTCGTGCAGGGTTTCCACATGAAGCTGTTGCTTTAGAAGTGAGGGTTAGCCCCGTGCTCAAAAGGAGGCGTGAAAAAGTGAGAGGGAGCGATCGCGTGTGCGACAAAGCGGTAGTCACAGCCAAAAAAAGAACAACGTAGTACCCTTTGAACTTTTTTGTCTCCCCTTCTCAGAGACCAAGTCTTTGCAAATAATAAAAAAAAAACGACGGATTTTCGAAATCTATAAATGAGATCAAGGCGGCCATGGCTACAGCTAGCAGACGTTACCGGAGCTCGGTACTCAAATCAACCTGCTCTCTGACTGTACAATGCAGTGGGTAGATGCGAGGGCATCCATTTCCCCCCCCCCCCCTGAGTCCTCCAATCGCAGCTTGCCACCGTAATGCCACTGTACCTCTGCCCTTCAAAACCAAAACGGTCTCATTTAGGGGTAGGTGACGTGCCAGAAAGCACGTTCAGATCCCCGGTTAGACACGGCCGGGTTGGTAAACTACAACGAGCCTCACCTGATGCGCGAGATATTCGGCCAGTTCCATGTCTTCCTCCATCTCGCTGGGCAACACTGTCACGGAAGAAAAGTGAGGAATGTAGAAAAGACCACGCCATCAAGAGGACAGGGTCACCAACCAGTCGGGAGGATCAGGTCCCTCCTGAGCAGGGAAGAGGCGCACATGCCGCCGAGGTAGGCAAGCTCCTTCTCCAGGTGGGAGAGGCCGCCCGACGGGGAGAGGGCGGCCCCCTCGTAGCCCGTCACCTGGCACCGGAAGCCGTACGTGTTCGCCTTGTTGTCCTTCACGTAGTCCGACGCAGTCTCCAGGGAGAACACCACCTCGTTGCCTGGAAAGGTGGCCAAACGCGCGTAAGAAACAATGTTCTTTGGAAAGCTGGGAGATTAGACGGAGTAATTACTCCCAGAAGCTGGTAAACCTTGTAAAGGTCGGAGCAGAAAACAAAAGCTTGTTCCAAATCCAGCGGAAAGCTGGGAGACTAAATATAGTAATTACTCTCAGACACCGGTGATTTTGTGGAGATTGAAGCACAGAAAAAAAAGAAGGCTGTTCCAAATCCAGATGTTTTTTGAGCAATTTGGCCAAATTTACGTACCATACAAGTAACCATGACAAAGCATTTTCTCAAGTGCAGCTAGGTATACATATTTCTCAGCTAACAGCAGGCTTATAAAGTCGACGAAGATGAAACACCCCAATGGCAGATCTGGTTATCACCTAAAAAATTTACCATACTTGCACAACTATAGTACATTGTCCTTAACGTATGTTCACACCTTTACCTCGTGGCAGACACAAAAAAATTCACCTGGTTTAGAGATTCCGTCAAGTGCAACGAAGGTGCAACAGCACTTGACAGAGTTTTTAACGAGCAGCACTCGTTAAAATTCAGCAAAGATTTTTCCCCGCTAAATCGCGCGGGCGCGATCGCGCGGGGAAATTGCGACGTCATGCAACACCACGACACCATGACATCGCAATACACTTCACTTCTCGTTGCAGGAGCTACGACATAAAACCAACAGCTGCGCTCCCTCTATCGCAGACACTCTCTTCCGCGACCTTGCTAAGGTGCAACCAACACCAACACGGGCAAGCAAGGTCTGTGCAGGGCTCCCACGCGAAGATACCGCTTTAAAATGCACCCGTCGTGTCAATAGTGTCAGCTTTAAACGATTATGACAGCACAAGACTTGCAGCTGACCTGGCAAGATAGTGGCAGTGGCAGGCCAGTCCAGGGCTCCCCCAAACCTCCTCAGGACGGGCCAGTAGGGGGCACTGAGGTCCTCCTCTTCAGCGTCGTCGCTGGTGCGCAGCGCCGCGGTACACTGGGGGCTCAGCGGCGTGCCCCTGTCATTGCGGCTGGGGATGTAGAGCTGCAGGCCGTCCTCGGCTTGCGCTGTGCCGCACCGCGAGTCAAACTCCAGGGACATCCAGCGCACGCTGGGCGGGAACTTCACCTGCAGTCGGCAAGCGTGTGCGCCCGTTCATTAGAGTGCCCCGAGAACGTCTCCGACCCGTGCGTTACTGCGTCTTTAAAAGTGGTCTTTCGATTTCTGCCCCACGACGTCGCAGAAGCGGCTTGCTGTAGCCAGTCGTCGCGGTCCCGGCGGTGGCATGGCGGCACAGGCGAATGCGACAGACGTCTGTTTTGCTGCGGGTCCCTCTGCAGCCAGATGGTTGACAAAAGTCGAGGCAGACACGAGTTGGGATGCCACAACGACGGTGACCATTGCACCCACTCGCCTTTTTCGCCAACACATCTATGACCAACCACCGGAATCGTGACATCCGACGGCACGACACATTAGTTCCTAAGGCCCAGGTCGCCAGTCGAAGTCGTCTGTTCCCCAACTCGGTGGGTCTGGGAAATGTAGTCTTAAAGCTATCCTCGGCATAACTGAAGGCAGAAATAGACAGTTTGTCGAAACGAGACCGTAAGTAAGCAAGGTATCCAATTATCGTCTACCGCGAAGATATGCGACTGTATGACAAGTAAAACAGGTTATGGTCGACCATAGAAGCCAAGCCAGAGCCAGTTGCAAACCTTGGAGACGAAGACGGTAGCCGGCTTGTATGGATGGTCGCTTTCCACCGTGGCGTAAAAGACGGGGCCCGTTCCGTCGGCGCCAGTCGTTTCCGGCTGGTCCGTCGGAGGCGGTGCCCGCTGGTTCAATGTTGCCACCCACTTGAGCAGCTTCTGGACTAAGTCCAGGACCTCCACAGCACTCTGGCAACCCAATAGCACAAAGGTGTGAAGTCCACAAGAGTGGAGAAAAGTTTAATCACTACACATTCCATTCATAACAAGGAAATGCCAAAGAACAAAGGAAGTGTGAGCACTCCTTTACTTTATTTCTTCCAGGAGTTTGAAGCTAAGCCTGGAGTAGGTCTGTGATAGGTTGAAGCTTAGATTCGGTCCGTCAAGGAAGAATGTCCGTCTGCCACAAAAATTGTCGCCGATCCTGGTTTATGTTTCGTGTAAATCGTGGCACGACGCCGGTGTCTTACAACGTCAGTGTCATGTGGCATCACAGTGTGTGACGCAATGTCACAGTGTTATACAATTTCACAGTGTCACGCGGCTCATGATGCCACATTGTCACAAAATAAATTTTCTACGGCGTCCCGCAACGTCAAGCCACAACTCACACGAAACACCCCGGGATTGGTTGTAAAACCTCACATCGGACGGACGTCGCCACAAAAAAATGCGTCTACAACCTCGCAAAATGGTCGACATACGTGAACATAAGCTCACCTGAGCATCCGTCGACGCCACGGGACACAGATGAGCCAGAATCAACGGAAGTAGCTGCGTCATCAGGTGCGAAGATCCAATCTCCGATATCACGCCATCGTCTGGATGGAAGTGCAACGACTCGAATGTGCGACTGCAATTCCTCAGAAACTGCAACTCTAGTAGTCCCCGACGAAACAATCGGAAGCTCGACCTCCAGCACACGCTGATTGCTTCGAGTTGCGCTCTGCCCGCGTGTGCGCGCTCAAAGGCCGCGAGAGACCAAAGCGTTACTATGGTACCTGGCACGCGTCTCCGACGAGAGTGTTTACCTTGCCCAAAAAAGTGCTCCCCCGATTCCTCCCTGCCTACCTCGTCCCGTCACTGACAAGGGCGTATGGCGAGGGAGCGACTAAAAGACTGACCTTGCTCCGAAGCTGCCTCCGAGAGCAGCTGCGCACTGGCCTTGACGATCGTGCCGCAGATGTTCAGCACGTTGCGCCGCGCCTGGAGCTCCACCAGGTCCCTCGACGCCTGCTGGCTCTCCGTGTCCAGCGGTGTGCTGAACACAAGGCGCGCGTCCATCACAATCGCGGTTTCACCACGACGGCTGCTGTAAATGCTTCTCGGCCGCATTCGCGACGTTGGCGTTGTGCGAGGCGGTAAACTCCATTGCCAGGCGTCAGCATCTCCTACTACTACAGTTGGCGAAGAAGCTGCTATACACTCGCCGTGGAATTCGATCTGCTCGCACTATGCCGAGGTCTCATTGACGTGGACCTTGTAATATAGAAACCTTGTTATATAGGCAAACTTTTTGAGAACCGTATAAATATCTGCATTTTTGTCTCGTTATTAAGGACAACTCACATTATGAAAGGTTTCTTGGGGGAACACCGGTGTGGGTATTAATGAGACGTGACTCTGCAAGATGTAAGGCAACCCAGTACCCGTAATGGTATCTGTCTCAATTTAGTCTTAGGCAGGGATGTAAACTCACAAGTGGAGTCTATTCTATTCTATTCTATTCTATCTAGTCTGTTTTCTCTCTTACATACTTAAGTGACCACAAGGCTGAGTTGCATGTGATCGAGTAAATAAATAGACTAGAGAGACACATAAAAAAAGTGGGTATTACTAGGCGTAACAACAGCTGCCGACGCCACTCCTTCGCACGCTGTGGTGAAAAGCTGTGGGTCTTTTTTTATCATATTTGGCGTCTCAAGAAAGGGACACCTGCCTGTAGTAGAGGATCTGCGGGATCTGTCCCCTGGTGTGGTTGGTGCCGTTGAAGCTGAGTGAGCAGTCGCTGAAGCTGAAGCTCGTTCCGTCCGGGCCCTTAACCTGGGTCACGCCGCCGTCGCCGTTGTTTGTCCGCGCGCCATGGTTGCGCAGCCGCACTGCGTACTTGGTGTTCTCCTGCACGGTCGGGTTGGCGAGGTTCTTCTAGATGCACAGCGTTTGTTGGGCAAGCCCCCGGCCCTTCCGTGACCATGGCATTGTCGGCATTTTAGATGCTTCGCCGTGACTTCATCACGCGAACACCGTGATGACGTCACGTGACATCGCACAACACAGTTGTGCCGGACGACACCATGTCATGTGGCACGAGGACATTATTGTGTCACACGACGTGACCTCACATCACAATGTGTGGTCGTGTGGCATAATATGACACTGTGACAATTTATTTGTTTTATTTATGAATACTACTAATCCTCATATGAGGTTTTTTGTAGGATGGTTACAAATGCAGGATGCTTTACCGCAGTAAAATATAGAAATTGTTATACTACATTGTCAACATAGCATACCTGCCAACCTGTGGACTTTCAAATTCGTAAAAGCCCCGCGGCCGCGGCGGGTGGGGGTGGGGGGGGGGGGGGGGGGAAGGGGGGAGGGGGGGGTTACGCGAAGAGATGTGCAGCGTAATGTCAGCCTGTCCAGTGTGCGAAACGCTTACATCATACGTGTAGGTGCTACACAATACAAACTTCTCTCGCTTTTTGGGCGGCACGAAGCATGGAAATTTCGACGTGTAGGACTTCAGGAACACCTGAAAGTACCTCTTTTAAGGTTTGGAGTTCGGCGTTGCGCCGCGAAGCCAGTGACCAGGAGAATGCTACAGTTACATGTGCAACAAACACAGACGCCGTACTTCTCGCCTCGAAACTGGCCGAAACAACGAGGCCCAACAACGTCTGAACACGCCGAACCAACGTGCACCCGTGCACCGCCGAACACACGAACAAAGGCTTTGAGCTTTGGATTGGTTTTCGATCCGTGGCCACCGGATAGATGGATAGTAAAAACCACGAAGCTGCTGTGGACGGTACCTATCGTCCTCTTGTGGTGGTGGAAGATACCGCCAACAACGGAGTTACAAAATCAACAAAAAAAAAATAAATAAATAAAATAAAAAAAAAATTAAGAAATATATTTTTCGTAAGATTTGAAGCAAGATTCGTAAAATCGTAAAATTAGTCCCAATTCGTACATTTTACGAAAAATTCGGAAGAGTTGGCAGGTATGACATAGCATATACAAAATAAGACATATCAGTACAAAGCAGAGAAGAAGAAATTCATTGTGTCAGGAGCACTTCACTATCATTCGTAAATTGCGTCGGAGAGCTCACGTGGACAGAATGTTCTGGCAGCTTGTTCCACTCTTTGATGGCAAGAGGGGAAGATTTAAGGCAATTATTTTTGGAATGAAAATTCTTTAAATAGTTTCCGATAGTTTGAGCGGGTCTTTCTTCTATCATTAGCAGTAAGGTATTTAGACTTATCTATGTTAGTCATATTATTAGCAATTCGGAATAAGAATTTTAGTCTCGAGAGCTTGGCTCCTTTTTCAAATGATTGGAACCCTAGCCTGCGGCTAAGTTCTGTAGGCGAGTCAAACAAGCTAAACCTATGGACCTTTTCCACATACTGACGACACCAGGCGGTGGCTGCATGACCTAAAAATCGAAGAAGTGACCTACCTGCGCTACCAATCGATAATGGGAGCTACGCTACCAGTTTCTTCCCTCTCTGAGCTGCGGCACGTGCCCAACGCGACTTTAAAGAGGGGCATCCGTGGCGTCCACCTAAACGTAGTGTTTTTCTTCCCGTCCACTTTCTTTTTTTGTGTAACATAATTATATATATGCTGCAATTACGTGCTCTACTCGCTGATCCACAGCCTCCTTCCGAATTTCCTTGATTTTTCGTGCCGACTTCCGCCACTTGGCATCGGGCACTCGCACGTGCGCAGAACGCTTCTCGGAAAAGGCCTATTGGTAATGAAGCGAACTGCAAGCTTTTTTACTCTATCTAATTTAGGAATGTTAATTCTTGTGAAGGGAAACCAGACAGGAGAAGCATATTGAAGCAGAGGCCTAATTAGTGAACTATATATGCTAGGAGTGTAGTGTTGCATGATGCATACTTTAGTCGTCTTCGCAGACACCACTGTTTTGTTATGGCTTTATTAGTTAGTGCTTCTGTGTGCACACTCCAGTTCAGACCACTTGTAAATCTTAAGCCTACAGATACTTATATTCGTCGAAATTTCTTATACTGTTTCCCTCAATCTCATATGAGTAGCTCATTCAATCTTTGTTTCTACTTATCGTCATGGCAACTGTTTTATCTATATTAATTTGCATTTGCCATTCCTTACACCAAGAAGAGGTTTGGTTTACAGCAGTTTGGATCCTTCAATGGTCTGAAGGGTTTGTTATTTCAGAATAAACTAGGCAGTTGTCGGCAAAGAGTTTTATTTCTATGTTAATGTATTTTACTACTGTCGAGACCGGTTATAGCGAAGTCAACGGGAATCGAAAATCGCTTCGCTATATCCGCTATTTTGTTATAACCGACTTCGGTTATAACGAAGTGCAAAAGGAAATGGGAAAGCGTGATCGCTTCGCTGTAGCCGCTGTTTCGTTATAACCGACGTCGTTATAACCGGTCTTGACAGTATGTCATTAATACAGTAAAACCTCGTTATAACAAAGTTGAAGGAGCGGTCGTAATTATTTCGTTATAACCATTAGTTTGTTATAGCCAATGTCCATTTCTTCCCACTATTAGCAAGCAAGGGGAATTATGATTGCTTTGTTATATCCATTAGTTTGTTATATCCCGTTTTGTTATAACGAGGTTTTACTGTATACAGAAGAAAAACGATCGGGGGAAAGCACCGAGCCCTGGGGGACACCAGAGCACACAGCTTTATCTGCTGAATAACTATTGTTAATTTCTACAGATTGGGTTCGGTTAGTCAGGAATTCCTCAATCCAGTCAACAACTTGTCTGTCGTCTAGGGTTCTAGTTAATTTGAAAAGAAATTTAGTATGAGAAACTCTGTCAAAGGGCTTCAATAAATCCCAAATTATGACGTCCACCTGACTCTTACGTATAATTCCTGAAGAAAAAAAATTGTGCACAGTTTCAATTAGGTGAGTTACAGTCGATAGACCAACCATGTTGATAGGGACAACTTCATTTTCTTCAACAAATTAAGTTATATGTTTTAAAATGTTCTAGTAATTTGCAACAGGTATACGTTAGTGAGATGGGTCAATAGTTTGCAACATTGTTTCTATCACCAGTTTTGTTGATTGGGACCATTTTCGCTTGCTCCCAGTCTGGAGCGATTTCTTAAATATCAGTGACCATACTGCATACCTCATCAAGAATGCATTAGTACCCAATGCTATCTGGCCCAATGCTTTTTTGGCCTTTTTCTTTAGAACAATTACTGCTGCAGACGCCGGCACGTGCAACAACATTCCATGCATTCTCCTCGATGCTTGGTTAATGTAGCAATAAGCCTATTCAGTAGATTTTTTATCAATAGGCACCATTTTTAAGATCAGTAGACTCAGGTAGATAATAAAGGTTTCTAAAAGATTGCCGCTGTGCGACCCGCATCGACCGTGTCTACGCTCGCACCGCCCTCTCTTTGTCGTCGTTCCAAGCCGCTTGCGTGCCTAGTTTCTTTCCTACCGCTCTCTCAGGGTGGCGGTCTTGTCGCGCGTGTCTAGTTTCTTCCGGCTCCTCAGGACAGGTCTGTGTCGTGTGCTAAACAGTTTCGCTGGACATCTACCTTTACAGAGTGGAATGGCTCATGATATTTTTGTTTTGACTCTTTCCCTACTTTTCTTTGCACGCTGCTAATTTTGCAGGCTTTCTGCAGGTGACCCTTCTTCCCACATGTGTTACAGTCATAGCCTTTGTAGCGACAATACTGAGGTTTGTGGTTGGTCCTGAGACAACGCCAGCAGGCAGCACTTGTACTTGCTATAGGGGGATCGGTGGCCGAGTGAGCTAGAGCACACCAGCTCGGAGCGTGTGGAGCAAAAGCTCGCGCTGCAGAACCCAGGATCCTGGGTTCAATCCCCACCCCTGCCCATTTTGATCTGAATAAGCATCGTATCGGCGTGCGGTCGTGTATCACTGCTGCGTGGTGCACCTTAAAGAGCCCAGGCTAGCGGTTGTACTGCACTGGCTAAATTGCTCATCTACAGCTGGGAGACTCGTCGCCCATTGAGGCAGACCAAGTTCTAGGCTGTGTAAACATACACACAACTTAATTTTTTGTACTTGCCAGTTGTATGAGCTCATATTGAGCGTGGTATGTGCATCTTTTAGAATTTTCAGTTGATCCTCGGCCGCTTCTTGCCCCGCTTCCAGTTCCACAACTCGTGTCAAAGTCAGATTTTCAATCGTCAGGCACTGCTTTCGGGCTAACATGTGATTGGTCAGACCACAGACAAATCGCTTGCGCAGTTGCTCCTCCAATTTGTCTCCATATTGACAGGTCTCCGCTAGGCATTTCAATTCTGCCAGATACGTCACTGAAGATTCACCTAATCTTTGATCCTGCTTTCCAAACTTGAAGCGTTCAGCTATCAATAGCTACCTTGGCAAGTAGAACTGACTAAGGAGTTTTACGAGATCCTCGTAAGTCTCCTTGTTTGGGTGCAGAGGAGACAACAAATTCCACAGTCTGGAATATGTCTTTTGTCCGATGGCTATAATCAACACAGACACTTTTGTCCTATCGGTCTTGATCCTCTCTTCGTGTAACTCAAAATACTAATGGAGGCGTTCCTTGTACTCCTTCCAGCTTGTCCCTTCCTCATAAGGTTCAATAGAACGCGATAGGCCATCCATGATGGCCTATCGCGTTGTTGATTTGTTTTCTACAAGTCTTAATCAAACTAGGTTTGATTAAGACTTGTAGCCATTATGAAGTAGACTTTAGTGTGCTAGATTACAACTATTTACATCGTGATGAATCTGGTATCGGCATAATTCAGCTGGGGCTTGCGCATCAGTGTGAGCACACACTATGCCGTTTGTCGTTGTCAACTACGTCACCGTTGTTGGCCCGTGTTTCGACACAACACCTATCCCCTTTAGCATCACATCACATGACCCCATGTGACACTGGGACATCACATGATACCACAACGTCGTGTAAGATAGTGACATTATGTAACAATGCGATGTCACAATGTCACGTGGTCAAGTGACGTGACGTCATATGACAGCATGTGACACAATGATGTCACGGAAAATCTATAATTGCCATGCATTTAGAGAGCCTTTGGCATACATCAAAGAGACGGGCAGTTTGTTTTCTTCGAAACAAGGGTCTCCGGTCCACTACGGCTTTCGTGTGGAAGACACAGACAAGGAAAGGACAGACCTTGATAGGGATGGGACGGTCGAACTTGAGCTCCGCCACGTCTGCATAACAGTCCTCTGGTCCGAAGGTTCCACGGATCACGTCCAGGGTCTTCCAACGCTGGGTGTGGGACGGATCGCCTCCACTTCCACTCTGCGATTCAACATTGATTCGCGAATCAATCCTCCTATTCGCCAACAATACTTGTCTCGTGGTACGGCCATGAAAAGAGTGTGGCATTTGTGTCGGCAGACGCCAGTTATGGTGTATTCGCACGACGGAGTTCCTTCCCGAGGAGAAGAATAAGCGTCATCGAGTTTTGAGGTCACGTACTCCGCGGCACGGATGTTCGCTGATCCCCCGACCTCACAGCATGCTCCCCCGAGGAGAATCTGTGACAGGCCTACAGAATATCCGCCGTTCCGTCAATATCCGTCAGAGCGATCGGGCCCCCTCTTTCCTCCCCCTGCTATTGGGGAGGAATAATGATTAATAGCTTTCAACTGTGGGGTGCCTTTTCTTTATTATTTTTTTCCTGCCCTTTTGTTCGATGAGCCCCCGGAAGTTGCCAACAGGTGTGTGAAAAGAAAAACCCTGGTGACTCAACTACATGCGACTCCATCGTGCGAATGCTCGCTTGGATTTTCTGCACTGCCTTCTCCTTCTGATACCGTCTGCTTCTCTCAGCTCTATGACATACACAGTTTTCTCCGGGGATAAAGATCTCTCGTGCGAATACACCATTAGTGACAAAATGCCGACACAAAACGTTAAGCTAAATTGGAAAAGGAAGCATTATTTTTCGAGAAAGGAGGATGACCAGCAAAGCTGTACTATATGAGGAATGAAGTATTTAAAAATGTAAGGATTAAGGTGTGATTGGGTAATTGGTTATTAGTCTTGTGCGATAGTGGATTTTGAGTTCGAAGCGAATTCGAAGCAAATGGTGGTTTTGGCCGAATATTTTCGATTTGAATATCGAAGAGTTTTTCCACGCCTTTCATTACCATTGCATAATACTTAGACGAAAACTCAGCTAAACTTGTGAAGGTTGTTCCACTTGTTCATTTATAAGCTTAGTTTAATCTATCTATATTCATTAACTGTGACCCCGGAAGGTCTGGTGCCTTCGGATGGCAAGTAAACGACGGATTTGACATAAAATGAATCCTCTAGAGATGGCCAACTATGCCCAATGGTGTTCGTTTACAAATCTTGCTATATACAATATTCTTTCTTTAATCTCGAGTTAAAAACGAATGAATCATGCATGAAGAACGCAGGTTGTAAGGGCATCTCTGCCTAACATAGCATACTCTGGCATAACAGTTTGATTTTAAGACTTTTACTGCAATGTATATAGACATATTCACAAAGTTTTAATTTATTTTCACATACAGTCGGCACAGGTGCACCATCCCGCTTTGAATGTATTCTTTACTTCCAAGCACGCAATTACGATATTCATACATTTCCAAGTGTTTACCGCGGCGTGTTCCCGTTGGGTGCGCTTCTTACCAAGCACCGGTGTGCTGCGGAGAAGCAACACCTGCAGAGCTCGCTTCCGCGGGTATTGCTTCTCCGCAGCACACCAGAGCTTGGCAAGAAGTGCACTCAACGGGGCCAACCCGCCGCAATCAACACTTAGAAAAACGCGAATAGTGCAGTTCTTCTCGAAGCGAACATCGAATAGTGTATTATTCAAAACTACTATTCGAAATTTCGAATATTCGCACAACCCTATTGGTTATTTGAACGATTAAAGAACCAGACATATATATAACGATCCGGGGTTGTTATTTATTTCCTAACCACAGCCTTGTGATCGCTGTGGTACACCGCTTCGTGAAGACGAGATCTATACATGTCCGATGCCTGGTCGTGGGCACCTTTGGCTAGCGCTACACAAAACTACACTAAAACTAACTATACAAAACTACACAGTTTTGTGTAGTTTTGTGTCGACATTTGTTTGGTACCGGACATGAAACTGGGTTAACTAGGCCTCAACAGCTCCGCTGTAAAAAAAGACAAACTCGTTCGTCACTTTAGGCGGAATTGCCCCGCACACCGGCTTTGCGCTTCTTCGATGCTCACCGGCTTTATAAAAGTAGAAATGTGGAATGTAGAACTATTAATGTAGAAACCACAAAGGTGATTATTTATGAATGCGACAGCATTTACCAATGTGCACACGGGCAGGTGCTTGGTCTTGACGACAGAGAACTGGAGCACATTTATATTATATTTCAGCGGGAGGGCGCGCATAAAATTTTTTCAACATCAATTTTTTCCGTTAAATTTAGCAGGGGGACTGAATTGGTGCATAGGTTGTGCCGTTAATTTTTCCACCAAATTTAGCAGGGAAACTGAATTGGTGCATAGGTCGATCTCTAGGACGACCTCAAGGACGACGTCGAGGATGACTTCAGAGAGGACGACGTCAGAGACGACGTCTAGGACGACCTCTAGGATACCACCTATGACAATGTCGAGGACGAAGTCCTAGAGGATATCAAAGACGACGTCTAGGACGACTTTAAGGACGACCTCTAGGACAATGTCAAGGTTGTCAGGTCCTTTAAAGAGGATACGAATGTGAAGGAGTGTGAGAATGTGAGCTGAAATGGTTTACTGTGCATTAGGAAAACAGAAAGTCCGATACCCATATACCTGAAAATCCTGAGTAGCAGCTTAATAATGCTATATTGCATTAAAAAATGTACCCTAATCCTACAAGTAAAGTCGAAGACACATAATGAGCAGCATGTATTGAGCTGCGCTGGGTCGGCTGTTGTTAGAACTAGATGGTCGCTCACGCCAGCCGACGACAGCAAGGAGGTTCAGACCTAACCAGGCTCCCACTGGCTGGCGCCACGGTCGTGCGACATCATCCAATGGAACGACGTCACTCCCAATGGCTGGTGCCATGGTCACGCGAGGACGATTTACGGCGGCTACGTCACTAAAGACGAGACCGCCGTAACTTCTACGACCTCGCGTGATGACCGTCTGCTAAATTTGGTGCAGGACGCCTCCACCGACAAAGTTCGCAGACCTTCATTTTTTACGACGTTTTTTCGTGATGCTCTTTCGTGATGTTACGCTTGTCTCGTGGGAGCAAGCTCTATGACGCATCTTGCATCGGTCTCGTGGGCACTCACGTCGTCGAGGAGCTCCAGCTCGTAGTGCCACTCGTTGCCGACGCCTCCGTAGATGCAGGCCCCGGCGACGAGCACACCAGGCCTGTCAACGCTGAAGCAGATGGCATCTGGAGAGCCGTTGCCCGTGTTCCACGTCCGGTTCTGGCTCACACGGGCAAAGCGTGATGGGGTGCAGTGCAAGGCCTGGCGGGTGGCACGCTGCACGTCCACCTGGTGACACGTGAGCAAGAACAAAAGTTAATTTTTCTTGCGAGGCATTGTGAAGGAGACCGGAGCGCTTCCAGCGAGTGGCTCACTCTTGTCATGGCACAAAATTGGCTGCGACATGTGCTCGTCGTCCACCGGGATTACTGCGCGTCACGCCACCCCTTATAAGACGACCCACGGGCGGGGCGGCCCGTGATAAAGAGAGGAAGGTGCAGTGAGATAAGGACAAATTATTTCAAATTACAGGTGAAAATTTTACGGGGGGGGTTGGCTGTCCAAAGAAAAACTGTCGCATTTAAGAAAAGAAACAGCTCCCCGAGCACACCCACAAGAGCGAGCAGCAACGGACGCATCAGACAAAGCAGCCGTGGCTGCGGTGCGAAGGAAAGAACACACAACATATGTGTGCAAAGTAATGCGATAACACTTTTCGGCACACGCAGACGACAGAAAAATATGGGGTGGGCTATCTTTGGCGATGCCAGAGCAAAACTTGATCAAAAATTATATGATAAACACCCTGGCACCGGCTACAAACCGCGTGACAAGGGAACTGATACCACAAATCGCGGACACCACAAATTCGCGTTTCGCGATGCGATAAACACGCGGGAGTTTGCTACAAACTTTTGTGTGACAGGAAAAGATAACGCAGGTTGCGGTCGCAGCAGATTCATGTTTCACGGTGCAAAGGACCCGCGTGTGGTGTCCTCGGTGGACCCGGGAGGTCAGGAATGTGCAACCGAACGCTGCGGTGGCCAATACCAGACTGTCTTTATTGTGCAGTGAAGATGACGAGGACAAAGAAGGGAAATTTAGCATAAAAGAAGAGGAAGTACTAATAAAATGATCAGTCAGGATACAACACCGCGGAAACCCACCGAGAACTCGCATCTGACGGGAACGAATACCGTAAATCGTGGACGCAGAAAGGTTCAAGTTTTATGTTGCAATTAACCCGCGAGAACCCGCTACAAACTTGCCTGTCACGGGAACCGATATCGCGCCTGCAGATCACGGACAAAACCATGGCAATCCGCTACAAACTCGTATGTTACATGAACAAATACTGCGGATCGCAAACGCAGCAGAATCATCTTTCACGATGCAATATACACGCGGGACCAACTTGCGTGTTATCGAGATTGCGCACACAGATCGCGGACAAAGATACGGGAATCCACTACAAACTTTATGTCAAGGGAACGGATACTGCAGATTGCGGACTCGCATTTCACGATGCAACATACACGCGGGAACAACTCGCAAGTTACGAGAGCCGATATCGCGCGCGCAGATTGCGGACAGAAACGATGGAACCCGCTATAAACTCGCTTGTCAGACATGCCGGTACAGCAAATTGCGCGATTGATGCGATTCCCGTCGACATCGCATGACGTCCGACGGGAATCGGTGGAGGGTGGGCGATGTTTCGGAACTTTTATGTTACAGATATTTAGCCGGAAAAACAAGATGGGCGATCTATCGGGGGCAAGCATTCTCTCGGAACTTTACGGTATGTTAGGCACTGGCATCACTCTACAGCCTTTCCTCTGCATTTGCACAAACAATATATTATTCCACAAGCCACGCCTTCACTATTTGTCTTCGGTGTGTTGTCACCGTACCATTGAAGATGGTAATTTTTTCTTCTTTTTGCCATTACGCTGCTGCGTATGTACCTCTCAAATGGCCCACCCGCGTAGGGAGTACTACCTGTAATAGCTGCAAACGGAACAGAGACCCACGTAAGACATTGCACCTATAGTCTCCGTCTGCCTTTCAGTTCAACCAGAAATTCAATAGCACCCGACGTAGTCACATGATTACTCAGTTCCACTAGTCAACTCACCACACAGCCGATGGTCTGGGACGAGAGCTCAGCCACAACCGCAGAGAGGAATGCACACGTGCTCGACACAAGCTTTGGCGACGGTCTCTCGGCATCCTGAAAGGTCGTCAGAACCATCCGTCTTTAACGTTTCGGGCAACGAACGAGGTGGACAAATCGAACACGAGCAAATGGAAGGCGTGCCACCCACGTGCTTCAGGATGCCCTGCACGGGAGCAACAACGATGGCCATGAGCCTCTCGAGGACTTCGCGGAAGCTGCAGGACTCCGGAGGCAGCCCTTCCCGCTGCACAAATCAGTCCAGGGCAATGGTTATACCTCTTTAAGAGATCGGACGCAGAAGTTTGAAACCCCTTAGAACACAACGATTTGGGTCCATCGGCTGAAAGACACCCACTTAGTTTTGCGTGTGCAACTGGGGAAATCAGCCAAAGGCAATGGTTATGTTGATTAGACAGATTGGATGTTTAGAGGTTGGAAGCCTGCTTATGACACAGCGATACTAGTTAGCTGAAAGACACCTACATCATATGGCATGCACAAGTAGGGATGCATACAAAACGAGGTAGTTTTACACTGTGTTTAATCGTAAAAAGTATTATGTTCTAGTGATACGTAATATAATATGTGCAAGATGTAACTAAGTCGACTGGAATGTTCATTTTTACTTCCTCGGGAACTTATGTGTGGCTCGTGTATTAAAAAGTTTTAGCATTAACCCCTTTAAATCTCATGCCAAACATAAACCTGACGCTAAACTTGCTATTAAAGCAAAACCTGCTTTGGTTGCAATTAAGGTCATGCAAACATGCTCACATCAGTCAAGGTAAAGCCTGAATCGAGATTACTTAGTACTGACAACTAGAGAGTAAATATTTTGTTTCCTCAAACTAACCTAGCAATAGGAAGGTCTTGTAGAACGAGAGTGTTTCTTATGGGCACAAGCATACGATGAAACGCAACAATATGTCGAAAAGGTTGTCATCTACTCGCAAGTAATTAATGTGCAGAAACATTCATTTGCGGAACGAATACTTCTGCCCATTAATTGTACAGAATGTGTTGTGAATGAGGTTGCCACATGCTGCACGTCTGTGTGATGTCATGTGACACCAAACTCAACGTGTCCAGTGATGCCGGTGTGTCACATGAGACACTGACATCCAGGTCACACAAGCAATACAGCCTCCATGGGGCTAATTGCTTATATGGCCTTGACCCGTGTGTCGGTAGGCTGTACCGCTCGTGCATACTAGCATATCACTTTTCTTTAGGATAACGACATCAGTTATTTCTAAATTTATAACTATCTCTTGAAAACTTAATTTTCAATACAGTAGCCGACCGATTTTTCAGGCACCAAAAATTCAGACATGCTTGATTACTTGGACATTGGCGCGGGACCATCAGTGACTTGGGTGTTGCTGGGTTGTACTTACCCATTTTTTCTGACTGCGTAATTATTCTTCCTTTCTTTGACTCCTGACCGAATTTGAAAAAAAAAAGGCTGGCTCCTGTATTTAAAGCCAAAAACTTACTCGCATTCAGAGTGACTAAATCATTTCAAAGTGCTCACTACCCATTGATGCCTGCATAAACATTTTTAAACAATCCTTTCTTCTTGAACAGGCGATAGATATGTGGAACAAGCTTCCAGGTTTTGTTGTTGCTCTGCACTCCATTTATGAACTTGACATTGTTTTATCTGCTTTGTTTGGAAACAAGATTGTCACAATGTCTTTTTTTTCATGTCCCTGTTGAAGGGGATGGGTTCCTTATAACATTTTAACACTGTATAGCATTTTTCTTTTCGTTGTCTCACTTGTATCTTTTACTCCGGCTTTGGCCCTAACAAAACTGGCAATATTGTAAAAAAAAAAAAAAAATTATACAAGTTTGATTATGCTGACAAAGACTGGTAGGCACAGAATGTGCGGTAGGCCATCAAGAGACAAAGAAAAGGCCACCTGAACGGCAGCACCTAACAAAGATTCACAGATTCACTCTCACTTCTGACACACGTCGAGAGATGGCGCAGCACAACATGAAAAGCCGCAAGGCGCGCGACCGTGCCTTTGCGCGCCACGTGAATGAGTTTGTTTTTGCTCGCTCTAACAACCGACCCTGGAGAGCTCAGTTGGCAAAGAACTTGGCTCACAATCTCAAGGTGGTGGGCTAAAATTTTTCCAGGGGACAAGTTTTTTTATATCATTCCCTATGGGCGTAATGCTTTTCGGTGTTGGTTTTTCGTTACAGCTATCTGTAACAGAACTCTACAAAAATCGACCAACAGAACACATCCTGTGTTAAAAGAAAAGAGTCCTATGTGGAGCGCAAGTTCGTCTGTTTCTTTCTTTTGCAGGGGTTGTGGTGATGCCAGAATGCCGAGCTCTGATTGAAGGATAGTGGGTAGACCTCAAAGCAAGCTGCCTTGAGGTGTACTCACTACCCTTCAATCAGAGCCAATCAGTGCTTGGCGTTTTGACGTCACCACAACCCTAGCAAAAGAAGCAGACAAACTTGCGCTCTGCATAACACATTGTGCGTTAATCAAATTACTAAAAGTAAAATTGTGATTCTCTGCAGCAGGCCACTCCGAAAGACACCCAACCATTTTGGAATGCCCCTCTAAATAAAACAGCAGTGAACGTGCAGACAACTGGAGATCCCCACCTCTGTTCTGCGCATGGCCACCTCCACGAGGACAGGGTAGATGGCTGAGGAGTCCGTGGCCGGGTTGGACGATCCGGGCAGGGGGGGCTCGGGGCCAGAGAAGGCCGGGGTGTCTGGCGAGGACGAAGACCCGAGTCCTTCGGAGCACGGCCGCGGAGGCACGTCCCGCTCCAGGCTCGGGGGGAGGAGGAAAGTCAGCTGGCCCGTCGGGGAGCACAGCGAAGCAAGGACGGCCGCCAGGAGGCGATCGCTGTTCTCGGCCGACCACAGAACGGCCTGCGGAATGGGGGCATGTTCGGGGCGGCCACTTATGGTGCACTGTGTTTTGTCAAAGGCTTTAGAAAGTTCTTAACATTAGGGCCGTCAAGAAAAAAAAAAAAAAGAACTATTTTTGGGAACAAATTACCAGCCATAGCGGATGAGAGGGATTACAAAAAACATACTAATTAGCTCCAATTCACCTATGAACTTTTTAACTAGTGAACCGAAAACATATGATTCCAGTTAGTAACTTGTTGAGCTTCATCGAAAACCACTACTAAATCAGTAGATTTTAAAAAAAACTTTGAGAAATTTAGGAAGACTTTTATAAGTATAAAGAAATATGACTTATAGAATGGCACGAGTCATATACCCACTTTTTCAAGAAACCGGACATTAATAGGGGATGCGAATTATGCATTGGTGCGACCTATTCGGGTTGTGCAAATATCAGAATTTTCAAATAGTAGTCTCGAATATGCCACTCGATATTCACTTCGAAATAAGCTGTGATATTCATATTTTTTTAAGTGTTGACTGCGGCAGGCTAGCCCCCTTGAGCGCGCTTCTTACCGAGCACTGGTGCATTGCAAAGAAGCAGCACCCGCAGAGCTCACTTCCGCCAGAGCCGTGTATAAAAAAAGTTTGGTCAATGGGAGGTGCGGGCAGAGCCAGGGCATACACGAGACGCAGAAAGTGGGCTCGACATGCTCCCTTGGCCAACCAACCAGAAGCCTAAAAGAATCCCTTAACGGTGGTAGCAAGAAACTGTTTTAATCAAAAGTATATGTTGGTATATGGTTTTAATAAGCGCGTAACAATGAAGTGTAGTAACCTTTCATGGTTGAAAATAGGAAGCACGTTGGTTTCGATCATCATCATGCAGAAAGATGTAAGAAACGAATGCGCCGCTCAACTTTGTTTTGCTCGGACAGAGTGCGACCGCTCGAACGCCAGATTCCCGGCCCTCGGCGCTTAGCGTACGAATTATGTCAATCGTTTCGCTAGTCGCATTCTTCCACCATGATTTTGGATGACGGTGATTGAAACATCCTATGCACCCTATTTTCAGTCAGTGAGATTTACATCGACACCCCTATTAGGTTTGTTTCTCGCGACCACCACCCGGATCTTATTTCCGCGCTTCTGGTTGGCCACATTCAAATTTGTGAAGATGCCTTGGAACACGCCCAGCCCGCTTTTGGGCCAATGGCGCCTCCTCATTTGTCTCCTATACTTCCCAATGAATGGCCAAACTCTACATATACGGCTGTAGCTTCAGCGGGTGTTGCTTCGCCGCAGTGCACCGGTGCTCGGTAAGAAGCATGCTCAATGGAGCCAACCCGCCGCAATCAACACTTAAAAAATTTACAGGAAGACATTTAAAGGGGTACTCCGGCGATTTTTTTAGCTACCCCAAGTAACTATATTTTCGGAATCATCGGCCTTTACTCTTTCCGGTATGCCATTTAGTATCGCGAAATTAAAAATAGTTATTGTGAAATCGGTAAGTGAAAATTATGCCAAAACCAACATTCAAATCTACCCGCGCTTTTCAGTAGCGTGACGCCATGGGAAGGCAGGCTTGCAGGTCGAGCGGACAGTCTAAAAACGAATTATGCCGAGCACTTGTTTCATGCTGCTGCACGGGTCCTGGAGCTAGCTTCCATAGCATTTTTTTTTGGACCATGAAACTGCTTGTAATCAGTTGAGAACAAAGTCTACAGTCCAAAGAGTGAACCCCTGCCTTTCCCTGATGTCAATTTCATTGTTGCATATAAAAACTTTCACTTCGGAAAAAAAAGGCGAGAACCAAAATTGTAAATTTAATAATTCCGCAAATGTTTTTTTTTTTTTTTGCCCATTACTTGTGTTGGGTCAACTGAACGATGGATGTATAAGGCTTTCGCCTTAATAAATTCCTCAATTGAATGAAATGACATATTTCTCAAACGAAAGTTGGTGCAAAAAAGTGAAAGTGAGGAAAATGTTTACACACCACTGCATTTGATATTACTAGTGGTGGATACTAAAAGGCACCAAGAGCCACAGATGGCATCTTCTACTTCTACCCGATCTCCTACATGGCTTTGCTGAGCGAGTCTGAGCTTAAAATGCTTTCTCTGACTGTCATTTTGTTGTCAGCATATAGACACTGATTGTGAAACAAGAAAGGAATTGGATATGCTTGCAACACACGAACCAGCATCAGCAATTGTGGGGCAAGCATTGTCGAAATACAAAGCAGAGAGACCTACGTGACTTTCTATAAATGAACGTTGGCTTTCGTCAGTTTTTTCTGTTCAATCAGGGCGGACTTTTCGATCCTTGGTCATGTGCACAGCGTCTTCCACTGAAAGCTGGACTTCTATGGTGTTCATGCCCGAATAGTGTTTACTCCTGAACAAAGATGTTTAATGTACTGAAATGGTTAAGAAACACTCATTCTAATGAGATCATCATTCTAAGGCCTACCGGTGCGAAGCTTGAGCAGTTAGGATATACCGTATTTACCCGCACAATGAACGCGCTCGCGTAATGAACGCACCCCCAAGTCGGCTCTCAAAATTTCGACTTTTTTTTTTCACTCGCGTAATAAACGCACCCCCAACTGGGACGTCAAAATTTTGACCCCCTCCCCCCACGCGTGCGAAATGAACGCACTTTTTTATCCTGGTGCAGCGAGGTCGCGAATGCATGGGCAGCGTGGGCGAACAAAACGCCTTGCAAAAGGCGTTAAAAAATTTGCGAAGATCCAATGGAGCCAAGAAAAAAAGACATTGAGAGGAGCTCTTTTTTTTTTTTGCACAGCGCAGTCTGGACTTTGGGTTCGCGCGCCGCCGTGAACCCAAAGTCCAGACTGAGAAAGAGAAGCGGAGAAACGCTCTAAACGAACGAAACAGCTTGCGAAAAGCGGCAAAAAGAAAAAAAAACAAAAAAAAAAAACCCCACGGAACTAAGAAAAAACAAAAACAAAGAGAAACTTTTTTTTTTTTTTTTGCACAGCGCAGTTTGGTTACGGGGGGTCGCGCACCGCGCGCAAGGAGGTAAGAAAGAGGAGCGGAGAAGCCCGCTAAGCAAACGAAACAGCTTGCGAAAGGTGGCAAAAAAACAAAAAAAAAAACACGGAACTGAGAAAAAAAAGAAAAAGAGGAGCTTTTTTTTCTTCTTTATTTTTGCACAACCCAGTTAGGTTACTGGGGGTCGTGCGTCGCGCGCAATAAGATCAGGAAGATAAGCGGAGAGCCCTCGCCTAAGCAACGCCTTAGCAAACAAAACAGCTTGCGAAAGGTGGCAAAAAAAAAAAAAAACCAAGGAACTAAGAAAAAAAACCTAAACAAAAAACCAAGGAACTAAGAAAAAAAACGTCCGTTCATTATGCGAGTAAATACGGACGCAAAAATTTTTCTTCGCGTAATGAACTGCCACCCCCCCCCCCCCCCAACTATGCATCATTTTTCGGAAAAAAAAGTGCGTTCATTTGCGAGTAAATACGGTAAGAAACATAGAAGTTTCACATTCATAAAACGTATGATTTTGTATTGTCGGCTTACCAAAGATGTTTTATTTGTCCGTAAATACTTCAGTTTTGCAATAAAAATTTGCAGGAGTGTGCACTATTAGTTGGGAAACCACAATATATAAAAATTAGAAAAGTAATTTCTTTCTCAAAAATTGCAATTTTGACTGGTTCTAACCACTCAAAAACAACTTTTTGACTGGTTCTTCACTTGCACCAAACCTGAGCGCTTTGAACGTAGAACTTAGTGAAACTTTTCTCGAAATTCGCTCTATTTTAGAAGTTATAGGCAAATTAAAATTACAAAAACAAGCAAAAAATAACCTGCTTCATGACGTCTCTGGTCCTGGCTTTGGTGGCCAATGGTAGAAGCGAAGTAACTGGTCAATTGACTGGGGCTTAGGTTGCTGGTCGCTTCCCCTGCAGCCGCACACGCGTCAAAGGCTCGTTGCTCGCTTCGGCCCTCCACCACGCTTGCCGGCATGAATTTACCGGCTCTGTCGGAGTTGGAGCTCCGAATCCTCGATACAAGTGCAAAGGAGGGGGCAGTACCGTACGAGGACATTCCTTGTAAGTGTCTGGAGCATGCTGGCAAGCGTTTTGGTTTCTCAAGTTTTGGGTAGGTCTCCTGTGGCGTGAGACCACAGGAGATAAATTCATACATTCGCTGCTTGCAAAATGTGCCGCCAGCGTCGTGCGTCGCCTGCTAGGGTCTGCGGGGGTGCCTGCGCAGGCCTGCGCCGCCTCTTCCACTGCTTGGTGGCGGATATGTTGACGGGTCATCACATGTTGGTTCTTGTTTCCGTACTTTCTAAACTGCATTTTCTTCTTTTTTTTCACCCAAATTACTGAACAAAAACTACTTTCATAAATAATTGAAACGGTCCGCACCACTTGCATTTTGTATTTCGACTAAAAAAAAAGCTTTTAGCGGCTCTGACTAGTTGTAAGGCAGGAAGTGACCGGGATTGACGACGGCACGAATTCGTCACACGCTGCGCGCGTTCGGCACCATGTGGCGTCCCCGTAGGTGTTGTCCGGTTAAAATATGATGCGCTGATATTTAGTGGCTCTCTTCAGGCCTGCCGGGTTGCTCGCACCACAAGCAAGAGATGTGGAAACAGCAAAAAAGGTAAACGCTTAAATAGGATTGCAGGGCCCCTTTAACCGCACCGAGTACCAACGCCGTGACATTCAACTCGTGGCCCACGAGAAAGGGCAAATGCAGCATTGCTCACGGGCTCGGAGAGGAGGTCGCACAGCCCCCTCCACTTGAGCAGGGTGCTGGGGTAGAAGGCATGGTAGCAAGCCATGAAGGCCGCCTCGCACTCCTCCACCAGCGTCGTCTGCAGCTCCGGGCAGGACCCCGGCGGGAAGTCGGCAACCACTGCCACGGCGCCTCCGTCCGAGAGGATGCGCCGGAGCAAGGCCTGTGTGTCCGCCACGCACTCGGCCATGCGAGCAGACTCAGGGGGTATCTTCCTGACCGGTGCTGCTGGAGAAATAGACGACAGAGGCGCACCGTCAAGGCCTGTTCGCACACAATGCGCAGGCACTAATCGAGTGCCGATTCAGCGCTGCAGAAAACGCTGACCTTAGCATCAAAGAGCGCTTGTTAGTACAATGCTAATACGCCGGAGGCGAGTGGTTTCAATCTTGCGGGCCTGTCGTCGGAGGCGGAAGACTCCATCAGTTGCCCCGCAACGCGGGCCGCGTAACGCGATTGGACTACCTTCACTTACCCCGTCGTAAAGTGGCCCGCTGCACACACCGAGAAAATTTGAGGTGCAATAGTGGATTTAACGGCCCGAAAGAAAAACGGGACCAACGACTTCGAAGTTACAGATGCCACCAATTGTGTGTGTTGGAATAGTGGCGTGGTAGGTATAAATGCGAGCTCGATCATGCTGACAAAAACTGGTAAGTGCAGAATGTGTGGTAGGCCTTCCAGGAAAGAAGAGAAGAGCATCGGCGACTGCGCGTTCACGCGCCGTGTGATTGACGTCACCTTTGCATGCTCGGCGGCCCAGACTACAAATAGCACGGTTGGGAAAGCACTTGGCTCATAGTCTCAAGGTGACGAGTTCAAATACTTCCGGGGGAATAATGTCCTTTTTATGGTTCCCCATGAAAGTAACGCTTTTCGGTGTCCTTACAGTCGGTCGCTACAGCCGGATGTTAGAGCCGGCCATTACAGCCAAACATTACAGAACTCTATAGAAATCAGCTGCTAAAATACATTCTGCGTTAAAACCTTGGACATGCACTGTAACAGAGATTATTACTATAGTCTACAGAATACGAGAAATGCACCGACTGTTTTGGCACCAGATCAGACATTTAAACATTTAGGCATTGTGTTACCTTTGCTGGCCTGGGTGGGGTTTTCAACCTGCATCACACAGTAGTGCAACGCGCGACCGCATGCGGTGCGATGCTCGTCCAGATCAGAATGAACAGGGGTGGGAATCGAGCCCAGGATCCCTACGTTCCGCAGCACGACCTTTTGCTCCACGTGCTCTGAGCTGCAGTGCGCCAACCCACTTTGTCGCCGACCCCCCCCCCCCCCCCCCCCCCTACTACACGAGTGTGTAGGCCATCAGGATTGCGTCAACGTCAAGGAGGAATGCTCACGTCCGGCGGGGTAGACCTCGTTGATGTAGATGCGCAGGAGGTGCAGGGAAGCCACGCAGATGTACAGCAGGCGCCTCAGGTCGGGCAGCAGAGCTCTCCCGACCGAGGCCGAGCTCTCGGACACCTCGCGAAGTCCGGCCTTCAAAGCCTTCCAGCTCCAGTGGAGCAGCTTCAGGATGGACTGGAAGCACTCCTGCGCACATGGGTAGAGTCTCGACAGATTAGCGAGACTCTGTGGGTGGGAGAGGTAGCCTCTCACCCGACACCTCAGCCCGGAGCTATTTAACGAGCTATGCCTCGTTGGGTGGTTCTCGAGTGGGGGTCCACGGATCTTTTGGGGTCTCCGAAGGCCTTCTTGGGGACCCCAAGAAAACCAATTCGAAACAACCCGCAGAGCTCACGTGACTTGTGACGTCACGCGTGGAATGAAAGTGATTAAAAAACATGACATGTAGTGCGAATTAAAGGTCACCGCATGTCTCAAATGATTTTAATTTAAAAGTAATTCATCTGCCTTTAAAAAAATTTGAAGGATTTTAGGCGGGATTCGAACCCACGACCCTCCAGTCGCAAGCCAGGCCACGCGAGGCACGCTAAATGAGAAGGCAAAGCAAATGGGGGCCAATAACGCTACAAAGCTAAACTGACTGAACCATCTGTGCCAGGTGAGCAGGGCTGACTACCGTAATATCCCAAGTCATCGCCCACCCCCCAACCGCCTGAAATTCGTTAAAAAAGTGGGGTGGGCCATGTCTCGGTGGGTGACCACAAACACTTAAAAAAAAGCGGAAAAAACCGCCTATTTTTCTCTGCGTATCTAGCGCTGATGCACAAGAGATACATCAAACTCAAAACTCGATTTAGTTTCATTGTTTTATAGAAAAGAATGCTCACGAAAGAATATTTTGCTATAGCGAAGTCCGTTGCTTGCATACGCGCTAGAAACACCGCCGATCTGCATATAGCACGAATGTTTGTTCCGTGAAAGAATGTCACCATTATGTTCTCCTAGTTAGTAAAAAAAAGAAAGAAAAGTCTACAAGAAAATAGAAAAACCGACCAGGCGCAACGAGCGAGCGAGCGGACCAAAGAAGCGACCAAGAGCAATGCTGGGAAAGCGTGAAAGCCGGCGGTCGCGTTGGCAAATACTTTGGCGTCGGGCCAAGTCGGGCGCCTTGTCAATTGCAAGCTCTTGAGCAACTTTCTTGTTTGGTGCGTACATACGTGCGTCCGTGCAAGGAGGGCTATCAATGCACGGTTGGGACGCTCTGCAAACGTCTGTGTAGGACGTTCCAGCAAAGCTTTATTTACGCTTTGGTTTTGCCTAAAATATTGCACAACCGCGGTCGCGACGGGCGGGAAGAAGGAGCGGGTTCGCGGTGACCTTACTTCGGCGGAGACAGACTTTGACCTAACACTCCGCGGTTACGTTAACAAACTCTTATTTTGCTATCTCCATCGTTTTCATTTCGCACGGATACACAACCACTTTGGGGTCGCTCACGGAGGAAATGCGTAAACAAAAAGAAGTGTCTTTCCCTCCTTCGTTTTACTTTGTCACGGACGTCCTCCAACTGTAAGGTTCGCGGCCGCGTCATTCGGGTAGGATGAGTGTTCGCGGATCGCAGAGTCCGCGCTGGGGTATTTGAAGGGGTGGGCGATGACTCGGTGATTTTTCGGAAATCGATATTGGCGCAAAAAATGGGGTGGGCGATGGCTCGGGGATGGGCAATGACTCGGGATATTACGGTATTGTCCATTTCGGTGCTTCGAATTTGATTTTCACGCATTTAGTGTTTTCTGTTTACCCTTTTGTCACTATAATTGTCCGATACCTCCTCCCACCCAATGGATAAGGTCCCCCATCACTTCCGCCGACCCACAAGGGGTCCCCAAAAACACCGGCAGTTGAGAAACATTGGCCTGGATTGTCGGCCCTACATCCCCCATCATCCGGTGGGCCATTCCGGTCCTTGGTGCAAAGCGGGTGCAGTTGGCCATCGTTACAATTTAAAAACATTCCTTACCGAGCTTAACGTACAGTCTCGGACAGGCAACTATGGGGGGTGCGCGCGTCGCACGTGCATTTATCATCTCTCCCACCTATTGGCACCAATTGATAAGATGAAATATTATTGCCCTCTTGCTTAGAAAAAATCAAATTTCAACTGACCGGAGTAACGGTCCGGGAAAACTTGTAGCTCAGGATGGTGATGGACTCGGACTGATCCATGGTCTGGTTGGATGTCTGGACGTCTGGTGTGATCACCCTGATCGAACGAAACGCGGTGAATAAAGCGTGAGCGCTGCTTCCTTCACTCAAGGGCTGTTGTAGCAGCTCGTCGAGACACAAGGAAAGGAATGAATGTGACGTGATTAAAACATTGGGCGACTGGAACATTGGGCGATTGAAAGGTCGGGTGATTGAAACAGTGGGTGCTTGAAAGGTCGGGGTGATTGAAACATTAGGCGAGGAAACGTCAGGTAATCGACACATTGGGTGATGGAAACGCCAAGCGAGTGAAACATTGTGCGATTGAAACATTGAGAGACTGAAACACCAGGCGATTGAAAAATTGGGTAAGTGAAACATTGGGCGATTGATTCACCGGCGAATCCGGAGAGACTTACCTGTAAAGCAGCTGTGGAAGTTGGCCAGCATTGACGTCCGTCCCATTGTTAGACTTTTTTGAACTTTTGAAGTAGAATACCACCCTGCGCAGAAGAAATACGATACGACTGTTTTCTAGTCAAAGGGTTTTACGAGAGAAACTATAGCCCAAAAAGAGTGAATGCCATAGGTAAGAATAGATGTTATTCCATCTACTGCAGCAAAAAGAGCAAAGGGAATAAATGTCCCTAACATCTAAAAACAAAAAAAGTGCCACTTCTTTCTGTTTTGCACGACGCGTGCGCTTGTTCCTAACTTGTGCACCTATCTTCAATTTAATAGCTTAAGAGAGCATTCTTATAAAGCCATAATAAGCATAACACCCTTTTGTATAAATAGCAACCTCAGTTTTTAACGTGAAACATTCTTTGTCTTTGCCTAGGTGGTGTTCAGCATTTCGTGAAGCCCAGACAAAAGTGAAACCTGGATAAAAGCATGGCTGCGAGGTTTGAGACTGATTGGTTGACAGGTGAGAGAGGAGGAGTGAGGTGCTCGATGCTGATTGGTTAACGGGGAGGCCATGTGACCCCAGGGGTCGGCAAGGAGGAGCTCGACGACCTGTGCGCACTGAGGAAGAAAAGTTTGAGTATGAAAGGCTCTGGAAGATCACCAGGTTTGTCAGCCCGATTAGCGACATTCTAGGAAGGTAGTGACTATTTCAACGTCCACTTTCAAAATAATTTTCAACATTATTTTGACGTCCGTGATGCCACTTCCTGAAGACGTGAAAATATTTTTAAAGTAATATTGTTGACCCCGTCAAATTATTTGTCTCCTTATTAAGACTTCTTGAGACTGAGTGCCTTGGAACCTCCTAAAATATCTTACAACGAGAGGACACACCGGCACCATCTATTGGGTAACAGTGTAAACTTGGCAGTCTGCATTATTTCTATTTCTCTCGCGCATCATCTTTTCTTTCTTGGCTCGAAAAACTTTTTTCAACGTTATAAATGAGTCTTTCTCATAAGTATTACGCAGAATTAACCTTGGAAATCCCGCAAAGCCTTTGCTCTTGAGAAATGCAGTTTTAGGGTCACCGCATAGATGGCGCCAGCGTGACAGTGCATTCTCTCGTCTTCAAGAAATTTTAGGAGGTTTCAAGGCACTCGGTTCTAAGGAGTCGCAAGTGTGTGAACGGGGCTTTACTTGTCCCATTGAGAGAAAAAGCAGCGTATATGGTAATAAAAATATGGTTGAGTGGCATGCGCCACTCAATCGTATGCTCAAGGACTATGCTGTCCTTGAGGTCGTCCTCGAGCCTCTAGGACTACGTTACTTGTCCCATTACGCGAAAAAGCAGCGTCATTGCGCCCGAAAGATAGCCATAAAAATGGTAGAGCCCTTCCACTTCACGTGAAGATGGAGGACCAGCAAAGCCGTTATCCTTACAACGTCTGGGACGATGCCTAGAGCACGACGTCTAGGACGACCTCAAGAATTCCGCCTAGAGGACGACGTCTAGGGCAACCTCAAGGACGACGTCTAGGACGATCTCAAGGATGACTTCTAGGACCTCACTGACGATGCCTAGAGGACGACGCCTAGAGGACGACGCCTAGGACGACCTCAGGGACGACAGCTGACGACTTCTAGGACGACCTCGAGGACGACGCCTTGGACTACTTCTAGGACGACGTCTAGGACAACCTCAAGGATGATGTCTAGGACGACCTCAAGAATGACTTCTAGGATGACGCCCAGAGAAATTCAGCCTTTCCACTCCGGTGAAAACCAGAATGGAAAGGCTGGAAAGGTTGCCGCCATCCATGAGCGATGGCAGCAATCAGACAACTGGAAAGCTGGTTGTCTGGTTGCCGCATTGCTCATAGATGGCGGTAGCTGTCTGGAGTTTTGTGTCGACATTTGTTTGTCCACAGACACGATAGTGGGGAAACTAGCCCTTAACAGCTCCGCTGTAAAATATGTCACACTCAAGTGCAGGAGTGTGATGTCACCGCCGGAGCGCCGCGTGCAAAAGATATGTTCCGGACTCCATCTGTGCTCGTGTGCTTTGTGCGATGGACTGTGAGGCAACCGCGTCTGCATCTATGGCGGCTTCCGCAGGCAAACGTGGCCGCCCACGCAAATACCCGCACAGCCTCCTTAAGTGTCCTCCTCTAGGCATCGTTCTCAACATCGCCCTCTAGGCGTCGTTCTCAACGTCGTTCTAGAGGTCACCATAAAAGTCGTCCTAGATGTCGTTCTTGACGTCATCCTAGATGCTATTTGTAACATCATCCTAGACGACGTCCTTGAGGTCATCTAAAAATCGTCCTCGGCATCATCCTAGACGCCGCCCTTGACGTCGTCCTGGACGCCATACTTGGCGTCGATTTCTAGGACGTCGTCTTATATGTTGTCCCAAACTTTAATGTGTGTAGAAACATTACTCGAAAACATTTCTCCCGTGGGACTATAATGCTCCTGCCTTCCTACACATAAGCAGTCAACTGTCCTGCTATAATTTTTTTGACATCTCAAACTTAGAACTTTGAAGCCTTGAAGTTCGGACTGCGAAGTGATCGAAAGTAGCGGTCAAACAAATATAAACTTGCCTGAAGGCGGCGTCGCGGTTCAACACGCATTTTCCGAAAACAAATGTGCAGCCGACTACAGTTTTATAACCTCTTAATTTAACTGATGTGAAATGCAAAAAAAAAAAAAAAAACTTCTCAAAGTACTACATAAGTTATCAAGCCACATGTAACGTTTGTTTGGTTGTGCCTAACATTATGGAATGCGGCACCGTTGCTTTTTATGATTTCACGTGTTCCATATAGGCAACAGGGCTGAATGCCATGTCATAATATTTGCAGTTGATTGGAAAATGTGTCTATCTCGTACAACCACGCCAGAACCTTTGTTCCTTCGCACCGGTCAAGAAACATCAAGGAGGCAATCTTTGCATTCACAACCTTTTATCTAACATCCCAATCGTTTTGTAGTTAACCTGCTTGTTATGCACAATCCAAAGTGACGTGTCGAAATAATTTTTGAGACATTTTGACGGTGAACGTCAAAATAATCACTGCCTTCTAGGAACCACTACCAAGTGTACACATGGTACGCGTCACATTATCTGACGAAGAGTGCTGTGAACGCAGGCGTCTGTAAACTCAGAAAATCGCTGAACGTTCGTGATGCTAGGACGTTTCCTGAATGCCTAGCAATTTGCCCATAAATATTCGGTAGATTAAAAAAAAAATTACAAAAAGATGACCTGAATATGCAAGTACTTACCCTACTTACCCAATTCTAACTCTCACTTTTTGTTTTTAGAAAAATATACCTAAAGACGCCTTGTGCATCAGAATTAAATAAAAAGCCAAGGGGGCTTGTTAGAATAAGTATTCTTGGGTGTAAGAACGAGCTATGCATACGTCAGAATCGGGCAAATACGATACTCTCAATCTGATTGAGATAGTCTCGTTAGCATACACACCAGCTAACAAAATAAATCCCTGCACGCAGTTCATCTTTTTTTTTTTTTGTTACTTCTACACTTTTACTTTCCAAGTTCTTTCAACATACCTTTCAAGAGTACGGAAACGGAAGTGACGAGGTATAATGCACTCACTGGTCTTCGGTGGTAACCACGGACTGCCCGCTCGAACCGCAGTCGCTGCTGGGGCCGGAGATGTGCGCCCAGACCACATACCAGCGGCTGGCCTGTAGCAGGACCGGTTCCTCAAACAGCATCGGGTACTTGTGTCTGGGGGTACACCAAGACCACCCGTCGGCTGCGGCCTTGTACTCAAAACAGGCCTCAAAATCTAGCTTAAAGGTATGTTTGGGCTAGTAGGTTGATGAGCATCTTGGTTTAAAACAGCGCAACAAGACAAGGACAAAGTGAAGACAAGACAGAAGACAGCGCAGACCATCAACTGAAGGTTTATTTACACCGCCCCCAATATGTGAACACATGGGCAAAAGCCAAACAAATAGAGCGTGAAAGAAAGGGCACAAAAATACATGCAGTCTCAGCGTCTTATTGGTTAGATTAAACAGTGCTGTGTCATAGTCGGTCCCTAACATGCACCAGTAAGGAAACACACTTCTTCATCGAACACACCAACGGAGGCTGTGCTGAGACATTTGTCTTTTAGTTTGTTTATTTTGTAAGCTTCTATTGTCTCTGAAATTAGTTTACCACCCTACCTTATCAGTATTTCGCTGAACTGTCAGGAATGTGTTGTGTATTCTGTTCCTCTGTGATGCAACAGGCTCTACATCGGAAAAAACCGGACAGTGCATTAATGACCGATTAAGGGAACATCAGTATAATCTAACGAAACAAATCTCTGGTCATCTGGGAATTCACTGCCTTGAGTGTGGATGCACCCCTGACTACCAAAAAAGCAAAATAGTTAAAAGGAATGGTGACAAACTAACTCTAGAGATAATAGGAGCTTACGAAGTAAGCGAACTAAAAGACAAATGTGTCAGCTTGGCCTCCCTTGGTCTGTCTGATAAAAAAATTTGTTTACTTACTGGTGCATGTTAGGGACCGACTATGATACAGCACTGTATAATCTAACTAATAAGATCCTAAGACTGCATGTATTTTTGCGTCTTTTCTTTCACACGCTGTTTATTTCGCTGTTGCCCATGTGTATATATACTGGGAGCGGTGGAAATAAACTTTCGGTTGATACTCAAAACAGTTGTCTGTCTCGTCTTTACTTTGTCCTTGTCTTGTCACGCTGCTTTAAACCAAGATGCTCAAAATCTAAATGAGTGTTGCCTTAAAACAAAGCAAGACGGCGAGTGAACCGTCATATGTTGGAGGCTTCCAAAAATTTCCTACCTTGCACCGCACTCGTAAGGAATTTCTTCAGTTTCGGCCAAGAGTTCGCCGTCTGTTTCTTGGTCGCCACCCTCCGTGCCGATGTCGAATACCTAATACGGAAGCAGATGAAATAATGTATGAAGAAAAAAAATCTGTTAACAAAACATTGGCAGTGTTTAGGGGCGAAGCTCCTTAGGGTCTAGCCTTGTCCATTCGGCGTCCGTGCTCACATCGATTGCCATCCCATCTATCTTCTTAAAAAGAGAAAAAAATGTTTGCGCAGTCGACAGGATTCGAACCTGTGCGGGGAGACCCCAATGGATTTTTAGTCCATCGCCTTAACCACCCGGCCACGACTGCGGGACGAGTAGGGGGCTCTGAGATGTGGTAGTAACTCAAGAGCTGGGGATGTCATGGATGAAAGGTTGCATGTAGCCGCTCAACGTCTATACAGGAGAGGGCGCTGCGGTCAAATGCGTATATAATCGCGTTAAAATTTGCATGCAATGGCTCAACGTTTATAGACGAGGGCGCTGCGGTCAAATGCTCAATAGCGTATATAACCACGTTCCATACCACACATTCTCTTTCTGACATGGATGAAAACGATGAGAAAGGACGAGAAGAACCACTGGCTCTGCATTTCACCGACCATAAAGCAGTAATAATGAAGTCGAAACGCAACCCGGAACTCAACACTACCTATGAGCAATAAAAACAAATCAGCACCATCAGCACTACCTATGAACAATAAAATCAGTATCATCAGCACCACCACAGCTTCGCCCCAATCAACATCATCCTCCACGTGAAGATGCGGTCATTTTTTGTTTTCAAGGAGATTTCCTTAGTTGCCTTAATGTACAGCCTTCATGCTTCGCTTCGGCTTAATTTTTTCTTTTTGAAAGGAGAAGGTACAAGATTCATTTATAGTGAATTATTTCGAACTTGACACATAGTTTTCATCCTGCTACACTAAAAGAGCTAAAATTTTGCTTGCCTAATAAGGGATCAAGCTGTCCTTGTGACATACTATAAAAATAAAAATTCCTTAAGACCAAAAGAAAAACCAACAACTCTAGAAAAATAAAACTCCTCTTATAAAAACCTAGGAACAGCACGAGAGTTGGAGAAGTCCTTATGTACTGCCATGTCATCACCTGAACAAAACTAAGACTAGCAATGCTACGTCCTGCCTATTCAGCTGCTTCTTTATAAATCAAAATTATTTCATTAAGGATTTCTTTTTAATTGTTTTTAGAGATGAAGAACTGCAGACCTAATTGTACCAATTTAAAAGCTAATCTCAGTCCTCACCCTGATCCGAGCCGTGTACTCCCCGCGACCTCCGAAGAGTCCGACACCCCCAAGAAGAATGTCCGTGTCCGCCATGAAACGAATGGCTTCGACCGAATGTCCGGAGTAGCCCCATCCGCCGCCATGACCTGAAACAAGGATCCGACGAGTCTTAAGCAAGCCGCCGTTTGTTCTAGGCAGATGTTTCGCTAAGCTTTTGGGAAACTCTCTGCCAAACTGCACCCTTGCGAGCTCGAGAGCAGAACTCACCCTCAGATGAGGGAGATTTACTTATTTGAGAGTGCAAGGCCAAATTGAGAGTGAGTTGTGAGAGTGAAACCCAATCTAGGGTGGCGACTTGGTGAGTTTGAGTATGAAACTCATTCTCAAATCTTGGTGCAAGGCCAAGTCAAAGCTGAGCGCTGGGAACCAAACCCTCTAAAATTGCGACTTCCCGAGTGGGAATGAAACTAGTTCTCGAACAAAAGGATTTGAGAGGGAGTGAAAATCCCTCTCAAATTCTGACTGCGTAAATTTTAGTGTGAAATTCGCTCTCAAATGCAGCTGCAAGGGCAAACTGAGTGAGTTTTCAGAGCAAAGCTCTCTCTTTCAAACTGAGAGAATTTGTGAGTGGAATTCACTTCCATAAGTGAGTTTCTCTCACCTGAGAGTGGAAGGTCAAATTGAGAGCGAGATACGAGAGTAAAACTCGGTTTCAAATAATGAAGTTTGTGAGTGGAACTGACTTTCACATGAGTTAGTTTCACTCATTTGAGATGAGAGCACAAGGTAGAACACAAAGTAGGTTCTGAGAGTAAAGCTCAGTCTCAGATGAAAACTGCAAGTTTCGAAGTGAAGAAGTTAATAAAAGAATTAGTTTCAATGAACGGAACTCACTCTCAGACCGGTCCAAGTGAATACCACTAAGAAGTTCAAATATCGACTTTGTGAGTGAAATTCACTTACACATTAGTTTTATCATTTGAGAATTCAAGGTCAAATGTATACATGCAAGTTTTGAGAGAAAAACCCAGTCTCAGATTGAAACTGAGAGTTCAAAAGTGAAAAAGTTAATAAAACAAAGACACAATCAAGAACAAAAATTACAGGGTAGTAAATTGATATTTGAGGCAAATTTGAAAAAATTAAAGGGGTGATTACCTATGAATGCGATAGCATTTACCGTTGCAAACCACCAAATTTAGCAGGGAAACTAAATTGGTGCATAGGTTATGACGTCAATTTTTCCACTAAAATTACCGGGAAAACTCCCCGCTAAACTCCTGTCGTTCTTAAGATTACCCCAGAGGTCGTCCTAAATGTCATCCTTAATGTCGTCCTCGACGTCGTCCTAGAGCCATCCTTGACGCTGTCTAGGACAATGTCCTAGAAAACAATGTCAAAGACGACACCTAGAACGAACTCTAAGACGACCTCAAGGAAGACTTCGAAGGCGATGTCCTAGAGGTTGTCCAGGACTTCTAGGACAACCTCTAGGGTGATCTCGAGGAAGAGCCCTAAGACGACCTCAAGGACAACTTTAAGGTCGTCAGGTCCTTTGAAGAGGGTGCAAATGTGAAGGGGGGCGTACTGCCACTCCGCATAACTGTGGCGCAATGGGGTGCAAGCAAAGTGAGCTGAAGTGGTTATACTCTGCATACCTACTGTGCATTAGGAGGCCAGAATATACATAGCTGAAGAAAACTGGTTGAAGTGAATTCCACTAAGGAGGTCAAATATTGACTTTGTGAGTGAAACTCACTTACACATTAGTGAGTTTTACTGATTTGAGAATATGAGGTCAAATATATACAGTCTAAGCTCATTATAACAGACCTGGTTACAACAGACATTTGGATATAACATACCGATTTGTGAAGTTCGGTTGGTTTTCCTCTATGCGCCATTGACTCAACTTCATATCTGCATACAACATACTCCTTTTACAACAGACAAAAATCTTGGTCGAAACCAAGGTCTGTTATAACGAGCTTAGACTGTACACCAGTTTCGAGAGTAAAACTCAGTTTCAGATTAAAACTGTGAGTTCGGAAGTGAAAAAGTCAGTCAAAAAATGAGTTTTGATGAGCGGAACTCACTTTCGAAACGGTTGACGGCCGCAAAGTCCTCCCGGGTGTAAACGCGCGAAAGGCTCTGGTGGCGCGCCCTCTCGGCGTCCTCCCGCACCCGAACGTCTTTTTCCTGAGCAGCTGTGAGCACGTCCAGGCAGCCGAGCAGGTTGAGGGCGGCCTGGCAGCGCCCCACGGGATGGTTGGGCACCCCGGGCAGGCTCATCTCGGGCCCGAGGAAAGGCGGGATGCCGTCGGCGGGGAGTCCGTCCGGGGAAGTGGACAGCGGCACTGCTTCGCTCCACACCACGCTGTGGTGGCTCAGCTCCAGGGTCGTCTGGTTCACGCTGCGGGGAGGACGCACGCAGAGACGCGTCTCAATCACTAAATGCGTAGCATTTCTGGGGCCAGCTCTTAGCAACTCCGTAATATCTAGCCGTGATAGTGATATTATGGTGTCATGCGATGGCCATCAACAAGTGGTGCAAAACTATCGATAGTATCGATAGTCGCCAGAAATCTGACTATCGATAGTGAAAAAAACTATCGATAGTACTATCGATAGTCGACTATCGAAAAACTATCGATAGTACTATCGATAGTCGACTATCGAAAAACTATCGATAGTACTATCGATAGTCGACTATCGAAAAACTATCGATAGTACTATCGATAGTCGACTATCGGAAAACTATCGATAGTACTATCGATAGTCGACTATCGATAAAGTATCGATAGTCGACTATCGGAAAACTATCGTTAATCAAATATCAAAAAACTATCAATAGTCGACTATCGTAAATCTATTGATGGTACTGCCGACGATTTACTATCGATAGTTTTGCGACACTAGTGGTTTGCGTCGCTCCCTCTTCTCTTTTTATCGCTTTATTTATTTATTCTTTTTCAAATGGGACACCAATTAGGCCAGGCACTTACCATCCCAACTTTCGTTCAGCTTTCAGTGATGACGAAGACGGGAGTTCGGGCGAGGAGAGGAGAAGGGGGAGGCGAGCGGTAGGGCGAGGGTAAGGCAGGCCGGGGAGGACGAAGCAGACGGAACGCTGGAGAAGAGATGGGGAAACCTCCTTCTCTCTTTAGCGTTCCGTCTGCTTCCTCCTCCCCGGCCCGTCTTACCTTCGCCCTACCTTCTTGAGTTGTAACGGACTATAGTGGTGCAAGAATATCGATAGCACTATCGATAGTATCGTTAGCCGCCAGTATAGGCTCCTTGCACTGACGTCACATCGCATACTTTCGAACACCATGTAAGAGGAGGAGAGGGAAGCTGCTTTTGTAAGAATTTTGAGTGACGGGTTTATCTTCTCTAATCTTCTGGGAGGAGAATAGTGACACCTGTGCTAATCCGGGAGGCACAAACGAGGATCCTGATAAGAGGGGAGCTCCTTCTCCCCCTCTTCTCTGGAGGGCATCGGAAATGATGTCATGTGCAAGCCACGCATAGTAAAAACTATCGATAGTCGACTATCGAAAAACTATCGATAGTACTATCGATAGTCGACCATCGAAAAACTATCGATAGTACTATCGATAGTCGACTATCGATAGTTCTGAGACACTATTGATCGTTTTGGGAAAACTATCGATAGTATCTCTAGTCAATTTGTCGATAGTTTTGCATCACTACCATCAACGCGATGGTCGTGATGGCCATCGCACGACGCCATCGACGTGATGGTGTCGCGATAGCCATCATCGGCGAAATGGCCGTCACGGACTCACTGTGACGTGAAAACACGACAAGGTACTGTGATATCACATAACCCGACGTTTTGTCACGTGGTCATTTGATTTCTCGATGATCACGCGACGCGTCGTGTGGTCGCATGACATAATGCCACTGAGCACTATGACGTAAGGTGGCATTGTGACGTCTCAGATGACCTATAAATGCTATGCATTTGAGCACTTTTGGGATACATACCAGAAAGACGGCCAGTTTTTCAACTTCAGTGGACACAACATGGTAAGAGCGTTTCAACAACTGTATCTTTCTAAACATCTGTATTTCTAAAGCTGAAGGTGCGAGTCTTAGACGGGAAAAGCAAATTTTTTTAGTGCACACTGATCCTCAGGCACCCTTTCTATCACTTCAAATGGAGTGGAAAAATTATTACGAGTATAGAAGGTTTATGCAAAGTTCTTTTTTTCTCAGACATGCTAGCCCGACTCACCGACTCAATACCATTACAAAGTTGGAGAGAAACGTGGCAGTTAACAGACAGAACCTCACCTCCAAAGCACGTTGTAGACGCTGTCCAGGCAGGTTGCGTGATTCCTCAGGTCCATTTGTTCCGCAGAGTTGTACCTGAAGCGCGTAAATCAACCGAAGACGAGGGTGATCTTCGACGCTAAGCCCGTCACGGAGTGGGCATTTGTAAAGCCTCGTGAAGGACTCCAAAAACAACAAAGGAAACTAACAGAAGCACACGGATTGATGCCACAGAAAAAATATTCTCACCCTTTACAGCTTCCGTCCACCCGGTTGATCATCAGACATTTGAATTTGGACGACTGTTCCGCATCCCTCGAAATTATCCCTGGAACAAGTGGTGACGGTCTCAGGGTACTCGAGACGTGCGCAAAGCCCGACAAAGCACAGCCAAATGCCGCCACGGTGCAATCGGACGTCGCGAGGCGACTCACCCACGCAGCTCCGGTTGGCCACGATGCTGCACTGTGCCAGGCTGCTGGCGCTGGTGAGGAACTCGTCCACCTTGACAAAGGTGTGGTCCCCCGAGGCGCCCACCCAGGTGGCCCTGCGGCCCTGCTCCACCCCGATGCTTGGCACGGGGCCCGGGCTCGCGTGCCACGGCTGGGCCTCGTGGCTACTCCGCCGGCGGGACGTCCCATCTTCTGCTTGAGCACCGACCCTCCCCAGCTGCCCTTTCTGGGGATGGGAGGGGATTAATCGACGCCGGCTCATTCGGGAACACTGAAGTGGTGGTGATCACGTGAACACCGCGATGTCACCGTGTGACAGCACACTGAGGCTTTGGTCAATGTGTCACGTGAACGCTGCGACATCGCCGAGGCCATTCCACTCGAACACAGAACAAAAACTTGACGGCTGGTTTTACGGATGCTGTGCGCTTCAAGGGAAGCTGAAGAGGTTCTTAAAAAAAGAAGACAAGCTAGAGGTGAATTCCAGAAAATATTTATTCCGTGAATCTGAATGTCACATTCATTTTCCCCGAAGGTTACTAAAAGCGAGAAAACACGAAAAACCTCCGACCGGTCACTACGTCCTACTAGGATCTTTCGACCACCAAGCACGTGTCGCTCGTGTGGGCAGCGCGTGCAATTGCAAGCTTGCAGGTATATTACCCGGCACCAACACCAGTCGTGACATTCTTTTCTGACCTTTCTGAAAATAGCGAGAGTGTGCGTGCATAGCTTTGATAGTCACTGAAGATGCGCGAGAGCGGACGTTCCACAAACTCTGGATATGACGTCGTGCTCCGGGAAGGAGGGGCTTCAGCGGTACTTTGAAAATAATTTTCTGCAGTCTCCGTGCACCAAATTGACAAATAATCTCGACATTCGTAATCCTGAAGGCCGAACAAGGATGATTTAGATATCTTTCCTCAAATACAGAACCGCTTCAGTTTACCTTGAAGGGGGAACATGGGCCTAACTAAACTTCAAATTTTTTTTTTTTTACGTTGATATAAAATTTTTTTAACACATTGTGAGGCAGTAACAAAGTAAAGGAGTTCAATGTTTCAATGCATTTTAGAGCGCAGCTCTTAGTCGCTGTTTCCGGCTTGAGCAGCGTCGGCGTCGCCGTCGGCATAACTGCGCGGTGCATTATGGGACGTTTCCCATGATGACGTCACGTGTGACGTCACAAGGGTCACTAGTGATGTCATAGATGACATCACCGCACGTTGCATTAGGGCGACCACCTTCCTGCTAGCGAAATGCGGGACACGCAAAGGGGGGGGGGGGGGGGGTGGATCGAGGAAATTTATTAACACACGCACCACAAACCCAGGCTCTGTTTACACAGTTAATATCCCGTGCTGTTTATACACCTGCTAATTGTATTGTGCCCATTAAGCTCAATTAATTTTCACTCCCAGTGATATATCTTTTATGCCAAATCTGTTATTAATGTGTCGAAGTTGAAAATATAAAAATCGACTGTAGCAGAATGCATTAAATGAAAATAAGAAACAGTAAATCTTTTTTGGGTTATTGTTTCCTGTCAACACTTACTTTTATCAACATGGTCCTACACAAATCTTTAACATTGTATTCTTTTTCGACCGTTGCGAGTTGTAAGCTTTTTGCCATGTATGGCTGCCTTCACTAAAACAAAAATCCACAGCAACCCTTTCGCCTTGACACAGTGATTTCATTATAATTACAATATTTTATATTGAACCTTTTGGTGAGCAATTCTTCTTAGAATATTTTGCCAAGGGGAGAGGCACAACGGAGCATGCGCGTCGGTTCTCCTGCAAGAACGACGGTTGCTTCCCACAATGCTTATACAGAAAATGGTGTACCATTGCGATTCACACGATTACCAGCGACATCCGCGCTTCCCCGTGTCCCATTGTTCGGCAGCACCATGAGTTGCAGAGTGAATTTTACTGCAGTATGAAATGCGGGACATTTTGAAGATTTGAGAATTTCTTGCGGGACGCGGGACACAAACCCTCGATGCGGGACAGTCCCGCAAGACGCGGGACGGGTGGTCACCCTACGTTGCATTATGGGAAAATTTCCCCGCTAAATTTAGCGAGAATATTTCCCCTCTAAATTTAGCTTAAAATTTTCCCCGCTACATTTAGTGGGAAAAATTTTCCCCTAAATGGGAGGTGAGCAGGAAAGTAGGAGGGGAGGGTATGGATGAGGATGAGGAGTATACCCTCCTCTTTATACCTTCTCCTCCTCCTCCTCAAGAGCTGCACTCTAATTCGGCATTGCAGAGAATTGCAAACGTCTCTCATTTTTTCTCAGTTACACTTTTTGCTGCAAATTTCATACAAAGGAATCTTTTGTTCGAAGGTAAAATCATTCCGATACCACAATCAAGATGTTTCTGAACTGAAATTTACTGGGGAATTGGGCTATCTACTTTATTTTATTTTCAATTGAAGTCCTCATCGCAAAAAACACTATGTTTTCAAAAACTGACAAAGGACAGATATGCATCTCATTTTTTGAGGTAACAACTTTTTCTTGAAATATTTACATTTGAGTTTAAAAAAAAAACTAGATAGCCCAAAGTCCTACATCCCCCACTTTATATTCTAGCAATCAAAATGGTGCTTAATAGCTTCATTTGCATATCATAGATTTCTTAACGAAGAGTGGCACATCCTCTTATGCAGGTATGTAAAGTTGTTCTAGAGAGCTGAAAGTTCGCACAGTACACCTAGATCTAGCATTAAATCTCCCCTGCAAATTTCCTTCGGATCACTTGAGTAGTTTAGAAGTTAAATCTCTAGCCAGTGTCCCCCCCTAAGAAGAAAGTGGTGCCCTCACCTGATAGGCCCCGCACGTGAACACCTGACCGGAGGCCGTGAGGAACACAGAGTGATTGCTGCCCGCTGCCACCTGCGTCGCCGTCGGCAACGACTGCACCGGCCTCGGCGTTCCCCTGCACAACATCGGTTCAATGCACGATGACTAGAAACCACTCTAAAAGCAGGAGCACAAGGTGACCAAAGTCACTTGTGTAAAGACAGCACTTCGTCATCGCGAGAGAAACGGGGAAAGGTGCTCACCGAAGCACAAGGTCGCCGTGACCAAGCTGCCCGTGCTGGTTGCTGCCAAATGTGTACACTTGACCGTTCTGCAGCAGCAGCACTGAAAGGCAAGTGAATGTCGGGTGCGAACTCCATGAGGTGTCCCACGAGAGGGCTCATCCAAACATAGTAAGTGGGAAGCATAGCGTGACACAAGCGATAATTTGAAAAAGTGATTTCGTTAAAACAAAGATTACTGCAACGGGCAATGTAGTTAAGTTATTTGTTACGTCTTCTTTCCAAGACTTCAAAATAATTACACTTCAATTTTCTTTGTGTTTTCTAGGTGCCAAGTCATATGAATTCTAGCCTTCTTCACGTTTTTCCTTGTGAGTATGTAGGGAAACCTAACAATATAAGGTAATTATGTTATATTTCTGCAGTTAATGCTGCAGAACCCAGAGATCTAGGGTCCAGTCCCCACCCCTGCCCGTTTTGATGTGGATGACCATCGTACCGGTGTGCGGTTGTGTATCACTACCGCGTGACGCACGCTAAAGACGCCACTGACTAAATTTCTCATCCACAGCTGAGACACCAGACGCCCATTGGGGCTGACTAACTTCTGGCTGTATAAACATACACACAACATTATTATTTTAAATATGGCACTTATCCACACCTGCAATGTCAAAACAGTAAAACGTTTTAACTCAGAAATAAAAGGTAATGCAATAGTAGCTGGAATTACTTTTTATCGGCAACAGCGACGCATTCCTTTTACTTTGAGGTGACATAAGTAACTAACGTATTCCTCTTGTTTGAAAATAATTGTCAAATTATTTATATGCAGCAATGCAGGCGAGTTGGTTCATGATTACAAACGGGTAGCATTGTGCGAAAAATACACAGACAAAGGGAGGAAGGGACAAAGAGCGCTCGGCGATCGTTCTGTCCTTTCCTCCCTTTGTCTGAGCATTTTTTGAACGCTGCTTCCAATTGGTAAATTATTTTGTTACTTTTTTTTTTTTCGGGAACACACACCACATCTCTGCTCTGGGGCTGTTTGCAGAGTGAGAACAAGTGATCCCCTTCCACTCGGGTGATCGCTCCTCACCTGTGTGGTGCATGCCGCAGGCCGCCTGCACCACGGAGTGGTTCCCGGGCAGGTGGAGTTGCGCCGGCGGGAGAAGGGTGAGCTTGGACGCCTCACGTTCGTGGTCACTGCTCACCGCATCTTCTGCGCATCGTCCCGTTCCAAGAAAAAAAATTCAACATGTCGCATGCCCGGACGTGGCGTTGGCTCCCCCAAGAACGGGGTGTCAGACTATGGAGCGGGAACTCAGTGGTTCGACTCTCATTGCGAAACGCGGTCTTTTGCAAAAGCGACTTTTCCTGTTATCATATTTTCGCTGCAACGTTTCGTGACACTTTAGGATGGGAAACTGGCCCCGAGAACACATTTTGTGCTGAAACTATTTACTCAGTGATGCCTTAGAACTAGAGCGATGTGAATGGTGGTTCAAATATAATAAAGCTGCATCGTTCCTAGCATTCACAGTGCAGGAGACAGCAGGACATAGCAACTTTTCTTACAGTGTCGAAGCATTGCACTATTTGATTTGAAGCAGTATTTGCACCAGTGTAGATTCTAAGTAAGTTTCTTATGGCGCAAAGTCTATGTGTACACCCTAAGCGTCCTGGGAAACCCACAATGACAGTCAGGAAAGAGCTTTTTTCCTGTTTAAAATCTGACCAAAACATTGCGAGACGTCCCCTTTTCTGAGACATAAATCATAAAAGGAGATTGAAGCGATGTCTGGTCGCAATTTCGAACGGGAGAAAAGGCTACGCATGATGGTAGTTTTTTGGGGTTTATAGTTTGCTTATAGATCGTGTTTTGCACCATGAAGAGACAATCTTAAAATCCACTTTAGTACCCCTCTAAAACACTTCCCTGAGGCCCCCAAAGAAAATTTTGAGCCAAAAAGATAGAGTCGGTATACAAACACGCTGTTTCCGTAGCATTCTTTAAAATTTGAGGCGAAATTCGCAGCTTTTATTTATTTTTTCCTCCGTTATACAAAACTGAGGGAGAGTAGGAGATGAGATTGCGCAGGGACATCAGTACCGAGCTACGGTTGGAACAACTAGTTGGGTGGATGCAGAGTTAACCCCCTTTGCCTCTGCTCACCGTTTGAACGCCGAACACTGGCGTCTGCGTTCGCCGCCGATTCTCCACCACTGCCCTCTACGCCGAGCAGCAGTGTTGGGCCCGTAATCATAGAATCGCGGGGTCGACTGCTGTCGGGTCACGTTTAAAGTTTCCTTCTTTTGTCCGAATTAAATTGCTTCTTCTTCTCAATTACGCATTCTTTTGTACAGACTGTCCTCTGAAGTATGGTATAACCTCGCTACAACAGATCGTAACAGCAGACATTCGGTTATAACATACCGATTTGTGAAGTTGGGCTGGTCTTCCCATCTATGTCATTGAGCCAACTTTGCTCATTATAGATTCCGTCGTAACATGCGTTTGAATATAATGAACTATACTAGAAAGTTTGTAAACAATCCACCATTCCATTATGGCAAACCCCAAGACACTGGTCGTTATTCGAGACACCATGCAGCCCTGCTTTCGAAGATTTTGGCCAACTGCTGTCGTCGCGCTCGATGCCTCACGAGCCTGGTACGACCAAAAGAGTGCGGTGACGACGATCGTCAGTACAGCTCGATAAAAAGTATGACAACCTTTCAAAGATCGGTAGTTTCAAATAAACCAATTCTTTTCCAATATCCACTCACATTTCACCAATCTCGCCGGTTAGAACAAACTACGGTCATAATCCCCGTCAAAGTCGGTGAAGAGTGCCACATACTCCTTTTACAACAGACCAAAATCCAAGGTCTGTTGTAACGAGTTCATGCTATGTTACACGCTTTGCAATGCTTTCTGCGGCGTTCAGTCACACTTTCCCCAGGGACCCTAGCCCTACAACACGTTCTGCGCTAGGACGGCAACTCACCCGCCAACAGGGAGCTTCCGGCGGCCCTGTCTTGTACGTCGGCGCCCCCCAGCGAAGGGCCTGAGCAGCGGAAAGCCCCCGCCAGGGGCCCCGCCGCCGCCCCCTTCACCATCTTGAGCCCGTGGGTGGACTGCTTGCGCCGGTGGTGGAACCGGTACTCCTCGATGCTGCGCCGCAGCTTGTCTTCCAACCGGGCCCCCACGCGGCCTGCACCCCCGACCCCCTCCGGTTTGGCCCCCTCCCAACGGCCATTGCGGTTTCTCAGGCCTAGCAGGGAAGCAATCGGCATGCAACGAAACAAAAGAAAGGATCTCGGGTTAAGGGAGGAGGGATCGTGCCGGTCGAGCAAAGGGCAGCACACTGGCAAAGAAAGTATTTCACGTGTAACGCAAAGTGCATCGATAAAAACCGCAGAAAAAACCTCAGCATGATGAAGGGGTTTGAACATTAACACTTTTGGCAAAAACACGGGAGCTGAACTAACAATCGCCATCCTTCTCCCTCTCTCTGAACAACAAAAGCTAATCCTATAGAGAGGATATGATTAATGAGACGCTCTATAAACAAAAGGCACCACGACTTACATTCGAGTTGCTTACTTAAAAACTCTTTCAGACACTTCCTAAACGCACGCTTCCAAGAATAAAATGTGCTCCACGCACAAATAGTAGTAAAATTTAAGTATACGGTTAGGCTGCAAGTACCAAAAAGCTGCCGAGAGAACCCTCCTAAAAACAACAAAATATACAAACTACTGCAATGCCATTGTACTAAGCATGCTGCCAAAAAACATGCATCGGGTGTTTTTTACAACAAAACAAAAAACCACAACGCAGGTTTCGAAGAAGCGAACACAAAATGTCGCAGAGTTCTAGGGGGGGGGGCGTTCCAACGCACCTCCGTATCGCATGTCGAAGATGATGACCTTGGCTTGCTTGTTGTCTAGCGGCATTCCGCCGGCCCCGGCTGCCCCGACTCCGTTGGGTCCAACCCCCGGAGCAGCGGCCACGCGTCCCCAGGCTGCGAGCTCGGCCTCGTAGTGCTCCTCGCGGGCGCAGCTCCGGCAGCAGCCGCACTCCTCGCAACCGGAGTCACCCGCGCCACAGCCGCAGAGCCTGCGGGTGATCCGGGAAGTCACCCTCCATGTGCCGCTCGTCACTAGCGAGTTTGTCGGAGCAATAGCAGTACCTCTTTACGCCAGGGAGGTAGAAAGCTTCTGGAGGCGACATGGCGCCACCAGAGGTGAAGCCAGAAGTGTGGCGGGACACGCCTCCAATGACGACCAAAACCCAGAGGGTGACGAAAACAGCAGTTGGCGCCAAATCAGCTCTCCTTTTCCTCCAATAGCGCCTCTTGGTTTTGGTCATCGTTGGGGGCGTGTCCTCCAGACTTCTGGCTTCACCTCTGGTGCTCTGGTGGCCTCCACACTTCTGGCTTCACCCCCAGAAGCTTCCTACCTCCATAACTTAATAAACACTAAATCTAGGAAAAAAAAGTTTTCTTTTACCTGGTAAGGACAGGTAAGTCTAAGATAAATGTTAATCGGAAAAAAAAAGTCCTAATATTTGCGTTACAATATGAATTTTTTTTATTTGCGGACATAACCGAAATTGTACTCCCCGTGGGATGACAACAATGTCGTTTGTGCCCGACTTGCGTGCGCTCCGAGTTCGCCGGACCTCAGAGCGCACACTACGCGGGTACAAATGCTATCGTCGTCATCCCAAGGACTACAGTTTCGGCTTCGCCCGCAAATTGGAAAATTTGTAATGTAACACAACTATTCAGCAAAAGAAAAAAAAAAATGTTTTTACAAACATTTTTTTTTTTTTGCATGCCTGTCCTAATTAAGAAGTAAAAAAAAAATATTTTTTTCAAAGTTCAGTGTTTTTTAAAGCTGGTTCACAGATTTGAGCGCGATCGAGCACGACGTGAGCACTTGTCACTGATTTTGATGAGACAACCCGCTGGCACCCCGGTGCCACACATCCGCCAGTCCCGGAAGTCTTCCGATCTGCGTGTGACTAAACCGAAGGTTTTGCAGGATTCGCGAGATCAGACATACACACTATCTATGAAAAATTATCGCTTACAACGACAAAAAAATTAATTCTAAGCCCACAGCAAAAAAACTGCAAAACAAAATAGTGAAAATATGTATAGGCGGATTGGAAGTATTGCAGGGTTGCCCAATAGACGGCACCTGCACGCCCTCTTGCTGTAACAGATCACAAGTGGTCACAATGCACTCGGTCAACTCTCAAACACAAATGTGTGAATCAGCCTTATGAAAGAGGCAGCACGTCTACGTCGTCCGTCGGCTGTGCTCCAAAAACTTGCTCGTGTAGAGCCGAGTCGCTCCCGCGGATCTTGTCACACGATCGCGTGGACGGAGCCCAACGCTCTTTCTTCAATTTCCGCTTTTTCGGCACGCTTTCTGAATTGGGCGGTGATGAGAAAGCCTTGGCACGGCGGGGATGTTTCTGCCTTTCGTATTCCAGTACGTCTCCTACCCGGGGTTACCGCGACTGAGGCACAAACAGCAGAGCCACGGACGCATCCAGTTTGGCGTCGCGTCAGGTTCCGTGTTACCGCTGCCTTTGAGACTAAAGTGTGGTAAAGGGGAGATGTTTTGCAAATGCCAGCTCACATAAATGAAGAATGATGCCTGCTTCATGCTTCAAACATGTGAAGTGTCTATTCGAGTTACTAGTCGGCCAGAGTGAAAATATCAAGGCCCGTTCACACACTTGCGACTTCTTAAGGCCCGTTCACATTCCTGCGACCTCTTAGAATTGGGTGCCTTGAAACCTCTTACAACGAGAGGACACACTGGCACCATCTATTGGGTAGTAGTATAAACTTGGCGGTCTGGCATATTTTCTATTTCTCTCTCGCAATATCCTTTCTTTCTTGGCTCGAAAAACTTTCGTCAACGTTATAAACGAGCCTCTCTTACAGGTATTACGCACATTTGACCTCGGAAATCCCGCAAAACCTTTGCTCTTGTGAAACGCAGTTCCAGGGTCACTGCATAGGTGGCACCAGAGTGCCAGTGTGTTCCCTTCTCCTAAAAATATTTAAGAAGTTCCAACAGGTCTCGTCTCTCTCTGTCGTATTCGGTTGCAAGAGTGTGAACGGGCCTTCAGGATCGAGCGCCTTGAAACCCCTTAAAATCTCTTAGAACGAGAGGACACACTGGCACCACCTATTGGGTGGGTACCAGTAGAACACTTGGCGGTCCCGTATATTTTCAATTTCTTTCGCGCACCATTCTTTCTTTCTTGTCTCGAAAAACTTTTGTCAATGTTATAAACAAACATTCCTCAAGTAGTATGTACATATGACCTCGCAAATACCACCAGACCTTCGCTCTAGTCAAGTGCAGTTCCAGGGTCGCCGCACAGATGGTGCCAGCGTGTCAGTGTGCTCTCTCGTCGTAAGAGATTTTAAGAGGGTTTAAGGCACTCGGTTCTAAGGAGTCGCAACTGTGTGAATGGGCCTTTAGGTGTGTGCCAATAGTGGATTCTGAATTCAAAGCAAATTCAAAGTGAACAGTGGTCTTGGCTGAATATTTTCTAATCGAATATCAAAAAGTCCCTCCAAGCCTTTCATTACTGTTGAATTGTGCTAAAAGAAAAACCCAGCTGAACTAGTAAAGGTTGTCCCGAAGCTTGTACTAGTCCAGTTCTAAGCTAAATCTAATCTAACTATATTTATAGACGCCTCAAAATGTCTAATACCTACAATGGGATGGCAAGAAAATGGTAGATTTTACATGAAATTAAACCTATGGAAATGCCCAACTATATCTAATCAAGGGGATTTATTCGTCTTCTTGCTTTATGCAAACATCCGTTCTTCAATCTCAAACTTGGAAAAAAAAAAGACAATCAAAGACGATCACACGCAGGCCTGTCCAGGGCATCTCTCCTTACACTCTTGCATAATAGAGAAAGTTTCATTTAAAAAATTCCATTGCAATGAAGATATCAGCCTCCACAAAGTTTCCATTTCTTTCTAAAATGTCAGGTGCACGTGCTTTGAAAGTGTGCTCATCTACCAAGCACGCGATTCCAATTATTGTACTTTTCGAGGTGGTGATGGCAGTGGGTTACCCCGCTGACCGCACTTCTTACCGAGCACCAGTGCAGTGAGAAGAAACAATACCCGCAGAACTCGCTCTTGCGAGTGTTGCTTCTCCACACTGCACCGATGCTCGGTAAGAAGTGCGCACTACGGGGCTATCCCGCCGCCATCAACACTTTAAAAATTAAAAATAGAGCAGTTCATCTTGAAGCAAATATTGAATGGCATATTATTCGAAACTACCGTTCAAAAATTTTAGGTTAACATTCGAAATATTGCATATTTGCAGAATCCCAGAAAATATAGTTCTACTATACACTGAAGTGACCGCAGGCACTTCAAACCGGACACAGAGAAAACAAGAAACGCAGACTCACAGTCCCGGGTTGCGGTCGGGCCTTCCGCTGGCGATGCAGCTGGCGCCGTAGCCCGTGCACTCCCCGCACACGGTGCACACCATGCAGTGGTCATGCTTCCAGCGGTGCCTCCCAGGCGGACACACAACCTCCTGCTCCTCAGACTCAAGCTCCTCGTCCTCTTCGTCGCCGCCAACTGCGGCCGACAGCGATCCGGATCGAGAGGCGGCTGCCGAGCCGGCCGCAGAAGCCGACCCGGCCACCACCAGGGCCATTGGGTGGACCACGGCTGAGGAGAAAGCGCCACATTGTCGCGGTGAGCATTTCTAAATGTCAAATCAAAGCGAGAAACATTGAACCCTTTCATACTAGATATGAACAGTCAGAAATATGCAAAATCCTTTTCCCGTTAAAAGCAGCAGATGGTGGTCCCGAGACGTCATCAGCTTGTCAGGTAATGTCACGTGATGCCGCGGTGTCACATCACATCAAGTGACATTGTGACATCATGGTATCATGGGACACTGCCAAATCTGGCACCACGCCATCTGTGGCGTTGCATGGCACCATAACGAAGTAACATAAGGGAGTTTTAGAATAACATACACAATTTTAGCGCACGCAAGCACTAAATGTAGCTCTCGCATTAGCGCATGCTACGAAAGAGAGTTTTAGAACAGTGTTCTTATGCCGAACGCAAAAACCCAAGCATCTCGCGCTTGCAAAACCACCAAGAGACAGTAACCCTTTTTATTTCACACATGAAATGCTGTAACTTGAGAAAAAAAAAAGTTTTTTTGGCAAAGAGTAACATTTTTTATCTGTTTAAATATCAGAGCGTGATGCGAGCGGTCGACCGGTCATGTCTGCGTGCGTCGCCTCGGCAAGAGAGGTCTCGAGTACTGACCTTCACACACAGTACCCAGCCGTACACTAGCAACACTTCGCTAAAAAATGTTTGCGCGTCGCGAGCAGCAAGTTGTCGGCGATTGCTGCCCAACTTGCTGGTTCTTGCAGACCGTTTATAAAGTGCGCCTTCCGTAGAAATGCAATGCCGTTCTGTACTGAAAATCATAGTCGCGAGAATGCCGCCGATGTTGCGCTCACGACCGCCGCCCAAGCGGCGGCAGCCACTGCAGCCTGCAGTCGCGGTCCTAGGAGACGCCATTTTCTAATTGTGTTCGTCTTGGCTCTTGGCTTTAGCCAACTTCTCGCGCATCACAAATCCTCCTTGAAGGAGCGTAAAGACTCTTTGTGTACGCTCGCAATTTCCAAAAAGTAGCGTACAGTATAGACCACTTACAACGTAACTGCTTATAGTGCAGGACCGGGTATAACGCGGTTTTTTTAAACCACTCGTTCGCCTCCTATAGAACTCCATGTAATTACATACCGCTTAAAATGCAGGCGCGCGAAGGGAAATACCAGTTATAGTGTGGTTTCTGGAACAGCCCGTTGACCGACCAACGCAGCGAGCACGCTTCCCTGTGCGACACTACCATAGAATACCGTGCATCCGCCCATACCACATTAAGCACCCATACCCAAATTTGTAAAATCTGAGAAAATATGCACAGTACATTGATACGTTGAATTGATGACCGGACAAGCGCCCATCCCCCATTTTTCCATGATTATCTCAAAATTTTGAGTGGGCGCTTGCCCGGTATTTTACGGTAGATAACGGCACTAGCCGCAAGCGGCACTCGCGGGGGCAAGGATGGCAAGGAGGTTGCTCGAAGAAGCGAGAAGAAGCAAAGATAGAGGCTTCAGTAGCCATAGCGACGGAGGGACGCACGTACGTGTTGTTCACGTCCGTGCGTCCCTCTGCTGCATTGGAAAACAACCGCAATGAAAGAACAATCGCAGGTCGAGGAGAAGTGTTCGCGCGCGTTGCATGCCGGTCGGGAGCCGGCTGCTTCTATCTGCAAACATGGCGTCGATTGTAATCGTCGACGTAGACGGCGTGGTGGAAGCTCATCATCCGCGTAAAAGCGCTATCCTTGACTGTGAATTTTCGTTGTGTGAGCGAATAACTCAGCACGTACTAGAAGGGAAGATCCACCTACTCGTGCGGCGATGTCGTGGCGGCACTCTCAAGACAGCAGAAACGCCCGTGTCGTCGTGTTTGTTTACTTCGACTACAGTGGTGACTTCTAAGCATTTGTGTTTTCGAACATCACCCGGATTTCTTATTTGGAGCATTTCATGCCTGTGCTCAAGTTGAAGGTATTACTGACGCGTACCATATAAAGGATGCGAATTTTCACGCGTTTATATCACTGGAGAAAACTTATTAGGGTTAGCAATCCTGAACGCTCGCAACGTCCGTCCGCAACCCGCGACGCCGTTAAAAGGCTGCGCCAGGCGAAAGTCGTTCATTTCTTTCAAAATGTGTGACACACTTGAGAGAGAAGTGTACTAGTCAGGTGAAATAAAGACTTTACACAAAATAAGCTTTATTTTTCATCTAACATAAAATAAATTCTTTTACAAAGGTAAGTTGTCTCGCGGCATGCATTTTGACCTGAAAAATTTATGTTTAGGTTATAGCGCGGTACCGCTTATAGAGCAGATTTTCGCGACTCCCGCGACATACGTTATATGCGGTCTACACTGTACGCTGAAATAGTGCATGCAAAGCACAAAACATGGTTAGCATTCGGTGTGTGCGTAGTGGCGACGACGGAATTTTTTTCTGTACGCAAAGAATTAGCGTGCACTATATTCTAAAACTGCCTATGACCACACAACTCTGATGAACCATGCGGCATCTATAGTGGTCCCATGGCCGTTTAACTCTGGCGGATCACATGACACCCATAGGAGTCATATGATTATAAAACTATAGCTTATGTGGCCATGTAACCTATAAAAAGTATGAGATTGCATGACATCACGTGACCCCTCACGATATCTCATGTCGCAATACTAGACCAACTTGTACTATTGGCCGAGCCACACCTATTCTACACAATGTGCGACAGACAGCACCGACGTGAACAATGCACGAACAAGATGCAAGAGGCACGAACATAAAATCAAAGTGAACTAAATGCAAGCGTTTCTGTTTCGTCAATTAGCGAGCAACTCGATGGGTCACATGGTCGAAACTCGCAACTTTCAAACCGGGCTGTGGCAGCAGTTTGGTGTGAGACTCTCCCCTCTGAGACTCCCCCGAGTCTCACCTTCTTTTCCCGGCGGGTAGGCAAACTCCCGGCCACACTGCCCCCGGTGGTTGATGCCAAAGGTGTAGACGTGGCCTTCCACGGTGACGGCCACCACGTGCGCCTTGCCCAGTGCCACCTGCGCCACCTGAACGTCCTTCATGTCCGTCACCAGGCCTGCAGAAAGGGCACCCACAGAATTACGAAAGCGGCAACGAGGAAAGCCCATAAAGCCAGCGTATCTTGGAGTCTGGCTGTCGAGTGGCTGTTAATGAGTTGAAACAACCGTTCTGCAACTATTGGCAAGTTGTGCAAAAGGTTCTGCAACCGCTGGGAAGTTGTGCAACAGTTGCATGGCCACTTTCGGGTTGTGCAACAGTTCTGCAACTGTTGGTGAGATGCGCAAAAGTTCCACAACTGTTGGCGAGTTGCACGATTCTGCAATTGTTGGTGAATCGACCACTTCAAACCTAAGGAGGTTATAATAGGCAGGAGGTGGTATCCGTATTCTCCATATTTGCGTATTTGGAGTTATGTGCGACGAAAGGAGGCAGGACCTGTTGAACAGGTGAGATTCGAAGCCCAAGACTCGCCTAGCCAGCAAGAGGTCGGCATGAGGAGGATGCTCTGGACACAGCGCCAGAAGCATCACCTAGAGTAAATTGTCATAGCATGGATTTGGAAAGCGAACATGTCAGGCATTGTATGCACGAACGCCGAGAATGTCGTAGAAGTTCCACTTCTAGCATGCACTCGTGCCTTCCGTTGTGCAGCGACTACATGTGAACATAGAAACTTCTTTGGATGCACTGATCGTATCAAAAGCCAGCCGTGACAGCAGCCAGACGAAACAGACCACAGGCAGGGAGCAGAAGAAACATAAGCCTAAGGTATCCGACCAAGATGACCAAGCGGCAAGCAGATGAAGAGAGCTGCATCAATGCACGAGGCAGTCTAGGATTGAGTCCTTTTTCCGGCGTCGCTGAGCATGTCGTCAAGCTGGGCTCTGGGGTATTTATGCGAAAGCCTTTAGTGTCCCATGGAGCAAAGCCGGCGTTGTCTGTAACCGTCCGTAGCAGCGAAACGGCAGTTAATTTTCACTGGCCAAAAGCACAGCAACCCAGGTGCTTCGTTACGGAAGCCGGCAGGGCGCTCAAGGTCAAAGGGGATGCGCCTCAGAAATAAAACACAAAGAAAAGCACAGCAACCCAGATGCATCGTCACGCAAGCTGGCGGGGCGCTCATCCAGGCGGTTGCGAAGCCGGCGGGGTTCGCCACGCCTGTGCAGTGGGGGAGTGTGATGTCACCGCCGGAGCGCCGTATGAGAAAAGAAGACATGGTGCGCTGCTTGTAGGAATGCGATGCGTGTAGGAATGCTTTCACATTCCTACTCGTAAGCAGTCTTGAGTGTCTTTAGTGTACGCTATAGTTTTTTAAAAGTTCTCAATCAAGCATAACACGACAAATTGTTGGCAAGCTGCGTTGTACAACAATTCTGCAACTCTTAGCAAATTAACAGCTTCACACCTAACACAACAGAATGTGAAACACACAGCTAGATTATCTCTGCAGAACTAAACTGATCTCGGAGATACGAGCCAGCCTCAGTTGCACTTGCAGGGGGTGGTTGCAATAGGACGACGCACTGCAAGGCAAGATGCGTGAGCAAGGCAGTGACACTCACCGGTGTTGTGGTCGGTGTGGGCGGAGTCCTTGCCGAAGAGGAAGAGTTCCCCGTCGCGGCTGACGAGGGCGCTTGTGCCGTTGTTGCATGCAGAGGCCACGATGCACTGACCCTCCATCTTGAACATCTTCTTTGGCTTCACAGGCTTGGGCTGTCGCCTGCCTTTGCCTGTCGAGGAAGGTTTATCCTTCAGCTCCCTTTTTTTACAGCGGAGCTGTTAATAGTAGTTTCCCCAGTATCGCGTCCGTGGGCAAACAAATGTCGACACAAAACTCTGGACACCTACTGCCATCTGTTAGCGACAACAGCAACCAGACAACCGGCTTGCCGGTTGTCTGGTTGCCGCTCATAGATGGCGGAAACCTTTCCAGCCCTTCCCCTTTGGCTTGCCAACTTGCAGCTGGCCATTACTTCATTCCCACCATAGTACAGCTTCACTGGTCTTTCTTCTTTACCGGAGTGGAAAGGCTGAAAGTTTCTTTTATTTCCTCGCGAATATGTTGGCTTCTGAGTACACCAGAGATCAAACAATGTATAAAAGGTAGAATTGTAAGCAGTGAGGTAATTTTGGCAAGCTGGTAATTTTCCAAGCTGGTAAATAAAAGGTAATTTTCTAAATGTGCATGTTTTGGTAATTTATGCACCTGCTCATTCCAAATTAACAAAAAAAGACATCCCCCTTTTTTGCACCTTTTCCATACAGAGGCATGGCTGTTTGTCGACACACTAGGTCCTAACAGTGCAGGTAAGCTTCGCCAATCCTTATAGCTTCCAACAACCTCACAGCGCCATATTTGAGCAAAGTTTCAGTGCGCTGCTCCTGTTTGGTTATAATCACGTTTAAAATACTGGTGAATCACCCCAAGTTTTCCTGATAGGATATTCTGCCTTTTAATTTTAATTCCACCCAAGCATCAAATTAAAATTCACCAGGATGAGCTATTAAAAAAGATCAATAACAAGAAAATCTTCCTAAAAGTAGACAGTGTACACCAATGTCATGACGCTAGGTTTTTAATGGTTTCCCAAATCTGTAGTCGTAAAAAACAGCATGCATGAAAAGTGGCCAAAACGAGGAACAAAGGATTAAGCAAGTACAAGTGGCATGTCACTCAACTCATACTGGCTCGATTCCTCACATACGTTCCAATCGCAAGAAAAGAATTTCACAAATCACCCCCACTAAACCAAGTTTCTTTGCAATGAAGCAAAAGAATGAAGGCAAGTTGCTTGAGAGGCGTACACTTAAGACCTCTCAATCTGTCTTCCTTCGTATTTTCCAGCTTTCTATTGCACTGTCAAGTTTACCATCATGTTAAGCTGTCAGTCTCCTATTTTTGTTTTCCTCGCCTTAGGGTTTTAGGTGTTATTCCCTGCTTCCAAAACTGTAAATTCATGAACCAGTGACAGAGAACCACCGAAACCTCACCGGTGTCCCCGTCCTCTCCCCGGCGCGCCAGGCCAACGAAAAAAGCGGCACCGTTTTCTGACAGCAAGATGGCGTGCATGCCGTCGTGCCCCACGGACAGGTCCGCCATTTTGGGGCACTTGGTGATGGGCAGCTCCGCCCATTTGCCCACCGCGGAGCCGCCGCCCTGCTTGATGCCCAGACTCTGAGCCTTGCCTGTGTACAGCACCTGGGACGGCGCGACACAATGTGGCAAGCAATGAAACAGACGGAACAAAAGTTCAGGCACTCCACCAGAGCATAAAAAGTTTTTTAAGAGGATTTTAACTCCGTGAAAATTATTTATATACTCTTGCTCTCAACTCTTGTGCCACGCCATGAAACAATTTTTTAAAGCGGAATCGCATTCTAAAAGAATTGACTCAGATTTTGTGTTGGTGGCATAGAACAGTAGAGTGAAGAAGATAGCTGCACTTTCTAAATATGCACTAGCGACTATCTACGCGTTCCACTGCCGAGCTTCCAACCACCTGAGTGCGTTGACACAAGATGCGTGTCAACACATGATGAATCGCACCACATGACGGTCCATTGCCTCTTGGGCGTTGGAGCGTCATGAACTTGGGCGTTGGCCGTCTCATAAAATGCATTTCTGCATATGATTGTTTTATTAATAAGACTGAAATGCAGCGGCAAATTTCTTTCAATCTGGCTATGCCTTATTAAAAAAGTACATTTATGAGGCTCAAATACCTAATGCCCATTGACTCACTGTTTTTCCATTGACAATATAGTAGACTTTTTAATAGTTTGGAGTACAAAAAAATTACAGGAGAACACTCAAGACAGCTTATACATAGGAAGGCGAAAGCATTATAGTCCCGTGGGAAAAATGTTTTCGAGTAATGTTTTTACACGTCTTAAAGTTTCGGACGACGTATCAGACGACATCCTAGAGATGAATGCAAAGTATGGCATCTAGGATGACCTCTAGGACGACAAAGAGGACAATCTCTTGGACGACCTCAAAGACGCCGTCACGGATGACGTTCGTGAGGACGACGTAAGAATAACGTCTAGGATGACCTCTAGGACGACGTCGAGAATGACGCCTAGGGGACAAGGTCTAGGACGACTTTTGAATAAGACACCTAGAGGAGGACACTTAAGGAGGCTGTGGCATATTTGCATGGGCGGCTATGTTTGCCTGCGGAAGCCGCCACAGAGTAGACGCTGCTGCCGATGTCAAGGCCGTAGATGCAGACGCGGTCGCCTCACAGTCCATCGCACGAAGCGCGCAATGAGCACAGATGAAGTCCGAAGCGCACCTTTTGCACACGGCGCTCCGGCGGTGACATCACACTACTGCACTTGAGTGCAAGCATGAGCAGCGCGTGCTTGATGATATAGTTTTATGGCCATCTTTCAAAATGGCGCCGCGTTTTCGCATACTGGGACAAGTAAGGTCGTTCCAAAGGTCTAGGACAACCTCTAGGATGACGCCAAGGACAGCGTCGTCCTTGAGCATACGATTGAGTGGCGCGTGCCGTTTAATCATATTTTTATGGTCATACGCGCCGCTTTTTCGTTCAATGGAACAAGTAAGGCTTTCGCCTTAAAACAAGCTAATAATGACATCTGCATCAACGGCCTCGGTGAAATTAAGATTTGAGAAAAGCAGAATTAAAAATGGATTGACCCTCACTTTTCCAGAGACAGTCTTGACCAGTGCAAAATCCTTGCCGCTGGTGATGAATGCCGGCTCCTCATCCATGCCAAGGTCTGGACGGGGATGGTACAATAAGAGAAGATTAGTGAGGACGCAATCTTCGTCGGAACAATAAGACACAACCTTGCTTCGAGACTGGTTCCCACATTTCGATTCAAGTGCGGCCGAGCACACCGCGATTGCATGTCACCGGTCAGTCGGTCAGCCAATGTTTTATTAGTGGGTAAAGTCAGGACTGCCTGATAGATATCACCTGGCCTTGCTTGTCGCAGGTTACAACGAGAGATTGCAAAGGCGCCCACTATCGGATGCTCCCAACCTGCATACATTTCCCAATTTTCCGCAGATTATTCTTCCGCCGTGGGCTTGAAACATATTTCAAGATTTTAAAAGCGACCATTTCTCATACATACATTTAATCTCATAAATACTGCAAAATCTTCAGTCTCGTTATATGCAGATGGGAACAGTTCCACGGCTACCTGATAGCAGTTGCAATGCACTCAGATACTAAGACACGAGTGTGCAAATGCGCCTTCGCAGTTCTATGAGACAAAGCCACCCAAGTTGTGCAACAGACTGCTGAGAGAGAAGTCCACTTTGTGGGCGTGTTGTCAACTATCACATTCGAAACCAACCTTGAAAGAGGCGCTTACTTAGCAGACGGTCTTCGGGATCTTCGGGAAACACGCCGGAACCGAAGATCTCAACGCACTTGCGAGCCAGTTTCAGGTTGAGCTCGGCAGAGCAACTCATGACGGGCGATGAAGGACGGAATGTCCGGATCACGAAGCCATCCTGGACGTGAAAAGCGTCACACCGGGTGACGGGTAACGCCGTCAAATCATGCAGGTTGCACCGATCTTACGTCACAGACAAACGTCGTCACTTACATCCTTTGTCGATGTGATGACGCCCAAGGAGTCGCCATCACTGAAGTAGACGTTCTGACTCGCTTCTGGAATGTTTGATTTTATATTATGAAAAATGGAACCTTATTTACTTGATGCTCACTTATCTTATCTGAAGCATATAAAGCTGGCTTCGTTAATTTTGCTCACAACGAAATAGATGCTTTGCAACATAGTCTCATAGTTAAACAATCCTAAAAAAAATAATAGGTGCATTCTAATTTTTACACCCATTCCTTTATAAGGTGTACGTTAAGACGCCTAGCATTTCCAGTTTTAACCCTTCACCCAAGGAGAGCTCTCTTTTGGAAACAGTACAGTAGCAAGAGATGGTTTCAATTATTTCGCTGCAGCATCCATAAAGAAAAGCATAATTAACTCTGTCATCACTGCACATTTGCGTGTCAGATACAGAGACATTCACTTCCTCGATATTCTGAAACGTCTGATCATCAGTTTTATTAACACAAAGCACTAGCACAAACAAGCTTTATGATGTACCGTATTTTCTCGCGTATAAGCCGCATCAAAATTTCTATGCAATCAAAGGCAAAGTAGGGGTGTGGATTATACGCAAATTTCGGCTGGCAGTGCGGCTTCACGGCAATGTGCGTAAAGTCATAGGGATAGGTTCCCTGGAATCCTTCTTTTCCAGTCTCTTTTAGGGACTTTGTTCTCTCCACCTTCTTTGTTCAGGTAGCCATCTTTGTATTATTTCTGCGGACTGAGCAGCTGAGCTGAGTTGTCGATTCGACGGCAACGTGCGAAGAGTCATTGCCGTCGAACACAAGTTGCTGTCGACGGCAACGATTTTCGCGGTTTCCAATCTTTTCGGCAAAACATCTGACTGCCGTCACATCCACTGCCAATAAAAATCGGAAACCGAGTGGCAGGCCGGAACTACGGCCGCTACGATATCGATGATTTCAAGCGATTTCCTCCCTCCCCCCAACAATGCCAGATTTCCCGATTTGGTGTGGGTACATGATTGCCTCTTTAAGGGCAAACTGAGTTCCTCGGCAGAACTAGGTTATGCAGAATTAACAAAACACTCGTACTAAAACCCCAGCTACCTAAATTCATGAGGTCAGCAGACTGGCTAGAAAACAGCGGCGTGTCGACTTCAGAAATTACCGAGCGAGCCGCGTAACAACCAAAGCGTGTCTCAAAGGGAACACGCTCACCTTCCTCAATGGTGACAACCTCCTCCACTTCAAGGCTGTTCTTGTTCACCTTCAAAAACTCATTCGTCTGTCCTAATGAGTGGTGAGCATAAATGTAGTCCTGCATACACCAGAAAAGGAATTCAACATTTTCACAGTGACGCTTGCTGGACGAATCGGGTAGAATTGAATTACGTTGAATAGAAAGTCACGAGACTGACCTGCACAACGCCGATCCAGCCGGCACCGTCCAGACGTTGGCTAACAATTAGTTCTCCCTGCATGGCAAAAACAAAGTAACAGGGAAGTGCCATCAGTACGCAATCCAAGATTCCTTTTAGAGAGATTGAGGCAGACTTCTAAATGCGCGACATTTAGTATAGGGTCAGCTCTTCGCGCTTTCGCATCTGCAAAACATAGCCTCGGCGTTGACGTTGCGCTGATGTCGTCATGGTGTGCTCGTGACGGCGTCGGCGTTTTAAAAGAGGTACTGTAACACCATCGTATGACACCGTAACCTCACAAAGGAGCTATCAATGCAATGCATTTGAAGCACCTTCCAGACATACCTTTTCTTTTCTTTTTCTTTTTTTTTTAGTACCTACCATACTTTGAGAAATAGCCAGTGGCAGAAGTAGAAAGCACAAAATTCAAATGTCTCTGGCATGCAAAGATAGCTTGATACGATCTCACCCAGTTTCGTGGTTCAAAGGTGCATAATTAATTGCAACATATTACTAGGTTTTTGCCACGATATCCAAACGGTGTCGACGTGATTGTCCCAAGGAATAACAAGAGTCGGTACACCTGAGAAAAAAAAAAAGAAAAACGAAATGCAGTGCTTATACAAACCTTGACGGTGCCGCCAAAGCCGGAGCCTAGCTTGTGAAGAGTCCCTTGCCGGAAGAGATACAGGTACTTTCCGTCCGACGCTACGGAGCACTGACCTTGTGACGAATGCTTCGCTGAAATGAAAGAGATTACCCAGAATGACCTCGGGTTCCCTAACTGGGCACCTAGGGACCCAGAAATTACCCAGATTACCATCAAGGGTTCCCTGAGCTTCAAAATTCCTTTTTTCTGACCCTAGGTAAAAACGTTTTTCAGTTCAGGCACAGTTTTAGCAGATATGAGCCAGCCATTGATACACAACTACGTTCCAAACACTATTACTACCATAAATTCCCGAGAGATACCCTACCTAAAATCGATAGAAAATCGAACGAAAATAAGGGGTGGGCTAACTTTCGGTTTGCCGTAATAAAGAAGGTAAAAAAATGCTAGATTTAGATTTTGTGACCATCAAAAGTTGTGATCGCAGGAAGGGGCGATGAACAAAAGATGACTGTTCTTCCCAGTCAGCAACGTTCGCTCATGTACTACTGTGATTAAGTAGCACCATTTTTGCCGAGGTCACCATTGGTCAGGGCCCTGCAAATACTGGAAGCGGGCGATATCTTTCAATGTTTCTGAAAAAAAAAAAATAGCAAATCATGCCGAAAATAGGTGTGGGCTTTTGGAGGTGGGGCATCTCTCGGGAAATTACGGGTAGTCATGTGTATTACTGTTTAAAAAGTCTGTAGGCTTCTGCATCGCTTCTCCAAGTCGGACGGGAGAGCTAGCGAGGAACGAGAGGAGAGAGGATGCGCGCCGAACCTGAGCTTGTCTTGGGAAGTTGGAGCTGGAAAACGCCGCAGCGCGCCGTCTTCGGGATCCCGTGGGTGAGCCAGTCCGGCCGCTGAGTCTTGCCCAGTAGCACGGCCTGGACGCTCTTTTGCAAAGCGATCAGGATGCTCGGCATCTGGCAGATTGAAGGTGTGCCAACGTTACCAGAGTTGCTACAGCCTAGTTCATGCCCCCACCGGGTAATCAGACAAAATTAGCCCGTCCCTCGAAGGTACCAGATGGAGTGACTCGGCAGAATGCTGCGAGGCAGGCACCCGCCGTGCAGCGCTCGACTCCTGCCCATTTGGCTCGCGGCCCTATAGAATTTTAAAATCGTGAGCACTTCAAAAAGTGTTGTCACATTGCTGCTGTGGCTCACTCGCTATGTTTGCCTGCTCACTTGCAGCCCTATACAATTATAAAACGGAACATTGACGGCAACCCGGAACATTGACGGCAACCCTGATTTCCGAAGTTCTATATAATTAGGATTCCGTGTCTTCAAAGTTTGTTTTTCGTGAAATTCGGAGTTTATTTTGTTAAAAATTCAGGGTTTGTCGGAGTATGTTTGTCTTAGATTTTCAATTCTTCGAAATTCAGAGCTTAATTGTACTCCATTCTTATTTTATTTTATTTTTTACTAATGTTTCGGACAAAAGCGTACACTAAATTCATTAAAAAATTTGCCGGTGTCAAAGGATATTTCTGCAGTTGCATTTGGCATTGGTGTCCCTGCAGTTGGCAGTAGTAACTGCCCCACAACAAATCTTGAAAAAATGTGTTACTATCAATAAACATTGGTGCTTTGAAATGGCCGAACGCCTGGATGCATAGAACATTCAGCTGCCCTCCCCATCCAAAAAAATCAACAGGGTCACATATTCCACCGTAATAAAAACACAACCCCACCTTCCTCTAAGACGCACAAATAGTATGGTCCGAACTGGAAACCAGAACGGTGGTTTTTGTCGAGGCCCATACTGAACGAACTTTGACGAGACAAAATGGGAAACTCTCTTTTGCCAATAGCCTAAAATAAAAATAGTAAAAATAATTTGCCTTTTTTCAGAATTATTAGTCCTGCGCTCTGACAAACTTTATTCGTAAAATACCGCCTTATTCGGCTTTTTATCTTGCCATTGTGACTTTGAAATTGTAAGTTTTTTGAACAAATTCGAATTGTCAAAAGTTTTACTGGCGAGTGTTTTTCGGAGTTTATCGTATTTATCTGAAAACACGGAACCCTACCATAATGCATGAAATGCAGTAATTGAGGAGCGATCGTTTAAATTCGTTTAGAAGACATTAAATGGTCGATTTGAGGAGTGAAGAACTTGCATGTTTATCAATTTGTCTGCTAAATTTAATGGGGAAACTGACTTAGTACAAAGGTCAGGTGACGTCAATTTTCCCGCTAAATTTCGAGCAAAACTAAATTGGTGTGATAGAAACTAGTATTTATGCTTAGGTCTCGGTACAACAGGTCACATGGCACCAATTTTGCCGCCAAATTTAGCGGGAAAATTGAATCGGTGTAGAGGTTACATGACGTCGATTTCCCCGCTAATTTAGCGGGAAATGTGCGGACGGACGGATGGACGAACAAGATTTAGGGATTGGGGGTTCCGTTAAAGAGATGTCTATGCATTAATGAAACATTTAAAAAATTGTTGTCACAAGGCCGCAACTTTAGTCAAAAAGGCACCTCGTTGTCAAAATTGCATGAAGTGTAAATGACAATTTCTTTTTAATGACAAAAACAGTTCAAATGTACTAGTTAAGTACACTAGGTTTCCGAAGAAACTGGAAGTGTAGCAGAAAAATCTTAACTTGCCAAATCTTTTCATAAAAATATTTTGTGTCAGTTGTACTTATATACTGGCACAGTTGGCGTGGTGAGACTGCATTGATCAGTCTGCCTATGCGTGCTGTGATCACGATGTATGCTCTTAGGGTCTGAAGGATTCTTATCTTCGAATAATTTGTGAAGTACGACCGCAATCCACAATCGCGCGCAATTGCGCGGTCAGCTCGCACACTCACAATGCGTAAACCAGAGCCCCTTTCAACATTTTCGCAAAAAAATTTAACAAGAGATGTAACCGCCATGGCAAATGCGCACAGTTAAAATCTATACTTATAACCTAGGGCGCCTAAGTTGTACAAGCGAAAGCATGCCGTCTGCGACGTATCGCTTCCACCTCACGTTGTCGAAGGGCCTTACGCTCTTACCGCTTGAATCGTGATCCGCTAACGCCTCATGCTTTCGAAAGGCTTTGCTCTGTCTCCTAACGCACTGCGCCACTGCTTGTTACGCCCGCCGTGTATTCGGAGACTTGACAACGATGGTCAATTTCACTGCCTGTCTCTTCGCTAATTGTGCTGTGTTATTCCGCTCCCTTAATTCATCTGCAATGTACTTGCGTAGACGGGCAGGTTTTGCTACCGGCAAGGTTGCAGCTGTCGATGATGTAGATGCTTGAGATGCCGCCATGTTCGTCCGCATCGAGTGGACTAGAAGCGGCCAATTGTGTGCCACCGTATTCCTTTTATAGCAGCGTGCTGCCGGCGTGGGCTTGCAGTGCCATGGGGTGGCGTTCCTTGAAACTATGACGCACTCCAGCCAACGGGAGCCTCGTTTCTCGAAACTATGACGCGCTCCAGGCCAATGGGAGCCTATCACTCAAGTCATTGCTACAGACGGCAGGCTTCACTCCATTGAGACAGGGGAATTTAGGTGCCGTTTGGTGCAGGGCTTCAAAAGCTGATAACGTCGGCTCCATGGGACAGATAATGCTTTCGCGTTAAAATGCACATAAGTCACATCGTTGCATAAAACACACCGACAGAAATTTTGGGAAAAATATTGCACGATGATCACACGACATGATGCGTTTAGACAGCGTCGTCTGTGCTGCATATTCAATGATATAACGATGGCGATCGTGCGTCATACGCGGTGATCTAATATTGAAATGATGTTGCGTTGATTTAGCATCGATATGTTGTTGATGAATAAATGATTTTAAGGTTGTGACGTGTTTTTCCGACAAGTTTAGCGGGAAAACTGAATTGGTGCATAGGTCACGTGATGTAAATTTTTCTGCTAAATTTACGGAGGAACCTGAACTTTTCTGTAAGTCCCATGACATCAATTTTCCCGCCAATTTTAGCGGGGAACTGAATTGGTGCATAGGTCATGTGACATTAATTTTACCGCCAAATTTAGGGGGAAACTGAATTGGTGCATAGGTCACGTGAAGTGAATTTTCCCGCTAAAATTAGCGAGCAGCCTACTGCGCATTAGGAGGCCAGAAAGGTTCACGAAATCGGGGGGAGTAAAGAATGTTACTGCATTAAAACCCGACCTAAACATTTTTTGCCGACAATGTGCGAAAAAATTACGGCAACAGCTGTAGGATGATCGCGCTATGTGGGTGGAATGGTGCCTTCATGCACCTGAGGACGGAGGTGCAACGTGGTTAACTCTCATAGCTGTCGTGGTTGGCATCGTGGATGGCACTGACAACTGCCACCAGTGGTCCGTTAAGTGGGTAAGCACGGTGGAAGTTAATAAAACCATCCAACATTACGCATAGCAACTGGATACTGCTAGGTGAGATTTCGCATAATGCGAAACAAGCCTTACAAGCAGACAACAAGAAGACTCTGCCTTTGCCGCGCCATTACTGGCAGGACGCTGAGGGTCCCTCCTCTTCTTTTTCTGCACTGCGCGGCCGACGGGAAAACTCGACTTCTCCCTTCTTGTGCCAAGAGGAAAAATAATTTCTCCTTCCCTTTCCTCACGCCAAGAGGGGAGAGGAGAAGAGTTTCTTCATAGTGGCGACAACAGCCCACAAGCTCAAAATCTCTGTAAAGTGTCGCCCGTAAAGTTATCGCTTTAAAAATGCACATAAGTCGCACCGTTGCATAAAACGCACCGACAGAAATTTAGGAAAAAAAGTCGCAACTTAGGCACTGGAAAACGCAGTCAAAAGAGATACTGTCTACCCAACAACAGTTATCAGGCCTATGATAACGACGAGGACACACCGGTATCTCCTCGGCCACCAGACTCTTCGGGCTCATGAGGAGGGAGGCCAGGGCACACAGGGTCTTGGATGTGTCCCCCCTGGCCACGACCAGACTGAGCAGACAGGCGCAGGCGTAAGAGGTCAGCTGCGAGGACACCTGACCGCCAAGGCCACTCGTCTGCGGTCGGTCGCCGGAAGGCGGCGGACTGGCGGCAATGTCCAGCAGCAGGTCAAACATCCTGTCTGTAAAAGAAAAGAAAGAAAAAGAAAAGAAAAGAAATCCTGGCTGAGAAATTTCAAATGTCATATCTGAGAAATATCAAATGTCATATATATCTGAAAGAGGTCAAACATTTAGTCTTTAAAAGGGGTTAAACATAAGAATGTAAAAGAGATCGAACGTCCCATCGTTAAAAGAGGTGGGACAACATCTCGTGATAGGTCGAACACCGTTTTTGTAAAAGAGGATGAAGCCCTATCTGTCAGAGGTGAAGCATCCTAAAAGAGGTTGAACATCCAAAAAGAGGTCAAACACCCTGCGTGTAAAAGAGATAGAAAATCAAAAACTACAAATCATCCTCTCATTTTTGTTCCCTCGCGGTGACCAGTGCCACATGTGTAACTTTCTGTTAGCCCTGTAGCCCGAGTTATGCATAGAAAGTTTTACACAGAGCAAAAGTTAAGATGGTTATGGTAACAAGATTAATTTAAGAATGCTTGCCGATGGCTAGAACACTGCTAAAATCGACTCGAAGAAATTACAATAAAAATCCTAGCATAACGTTCGAAATTTTGCACATAAATTTAGGAGTTATGACAATACTTATGCTGCAAAGAAACGTTGGTAATGACTTAATAGCACTTCTTCCTCCGATGTTCTCCAAACTGTCAAATGCAGTACAAATTCCATTAGGATATAAAAATGCTAATACCGGGTTTGTATGAGGCTAATGACTTGATTGCTCTTTTTGTCCTCATGTTTTTCCCCAATACCAAGTCAAATGCAGCACGAGCAAAACTGGGAAAAACAAAAGTGTTAAAGTGGTACGGAAACAAAAATTGAAATATTCAGATTTCGTTCAGAAATGAGTCAAGCATGACGTATAATAACTGTAAATGATAATCACAAGTTTCTATTTTGAACGACTAGCTATATTCTTCGTCCCAAACGGTGCACTCAAGCTAGCGCTCGAAGAGAAGCGAACGGAGAGCGCGATGCGTCATGGGATATCCGGCGCAAACAAAAACAGAAAGAAAAGATTTCCCGCATTCGTGGAGTAGCAAAGGCAGGCGTGGTTTTGAGCTTTGCCCTTGGTGGCGTTGTCAGCGTTGTGGTGCTGTCAATAGCATCAGTGCGTTACAACCAAGCCGTTCGAAGTGGGGTGACGAGCGTGTGGCTGGCCTAAGGAGCACGTAGCTTGCACAACACTGTCAGCTTAGGGCTGAACGGGGTGGGGAAAGCAACTTTCGTTCGAGTTTTGAGCGACGGGCTACTCTTCTAGGGGGAGAACGGCTGTATCCGGTTGCGCGAACGAGGGTCCGAGAAATTTGTGAGTTCAGCTAGGAGGAAAGCTAAGAAGGAAAATGTTGAAATTCCAAAGGGCGGCGCTGCTCCGAAGGAATCTGCTACGTCATGACTACGTAGCAAGTTCCCCAACGTTGCTAGATTACCTCCCAAATAGGCTCCGCATGCATCCACCAGGTGCACATTGAAAGATTGTTTATTTAGCTTTAAAATTAGTTTTCTTGTGCCTTGCAACGGAAGACTGGTTGGTGTTTTTGAGGTTAGGGTGCAACATGCAACACATCCAAGCTAGAAAATGAGCGCTGGAATTTCGTTTCCCTACCCCTTTAACCCCTTAAGTGCCTTGGACGAGCTGAGCTCGTCGGCCATTTTTGGGCTAAAAATGCCATGGACGAGCTCGGCTCGTCCAGTAGTTTTTTCGGTAGCCCTCAATTCCACGGACGAACAAGGCTCGTCCGTGTAGTTTCGCGGCGCTGATCATATATTTTATTTATTTATTTATTTTATTTTATTTAAAGAATACTGCGGCTCACATCTGTGAGCCATAGCAGGGGTGGTTACATAATGGCATGATGTGATGTACTTATGAGCACTTTCACGTGGCGGAAGCGATTGCTTCAACTTTGCCAACTAGTATTAGTTGGCAAATATTTTTTTTGCCTCTGCTGATCTTTTTGTAATAAACTTTTCAAAATATATGTGTAATACTAGAGGAATAAAAATTCAAAACAAAAAAAAATATGGCACTTTTAGGGTACTTTTGGGAAAAAAAAATGTGGCACTTAAGGGGTTAATACTGTCTCGGTATTACGATACCGCTCTTATTGTAGGCGACAGCTAGTCAATCCATCTAATTTAGATATCTAAAACTCTAATGAAATAATATTTTTTTGTTTTGTTTTTATGTTTAGTGGTTTAAAGGTGTCGCCAGGCATAAAAGGAATGGAAGCTGTCTGTCCGCCTGCATTGGAAAGCTTTTTCTTCTTATATTTTCTTTTAGCAACATATTTATGCCAGTGCCTCAGGTACAAAGTTAATTTCACTACTGCGAAAGTGTCCCTATTACACAAGTTCTTGCTTGGATCATCGATTGGCATGCAGTGCGTAACAAAAAAATGAACTAATAAAAAGTTAATTCATTTGTGTTTTCTAATGGCCATTCATTAATGTGTACATCTATTTCTTGATGCATGCTTCGAAGCACCCACATCATTTTGGAGAGCTTTTGGGGGTAGTCAAGCTGTTTCCAACAACTTTCTTCCCTTGTCTCTACTGCCGCCATATTTTGTCGAATTTAGGGCAAAACTTAAAAAGAAAGGGTGTAAAAAAGTGAAAGACGTTTACAATCCCCTGTAACGCCGAATTAGAGCGCAGCTCTTGAGGAGGAGGAGGGAGGGTACGGGGAGGAGGATATGCCCCCTCCTCTCCCTTACCCTCTCCGCATTCTTCTGCTCCCCTCCCATTTAGCGGGAAATGTTTGCTAAATTTCCCGCCAAATTTAGTGGAAAAAATTCCCCACTAAGATTAGCGAAGAAATTTCTTCGCAAAATTTAGCGGGGAAATTTTTCCGCTAAATATAAAAGGGAAATTTTTCCACAAATATTAGCGGGTAAAATTTTCTGCTAAATATTTTTTCGCTAAATTTAGCAAGAAAATTTTTCCGCTAAATAGAGCTGGGAAATCTGCCCATAATGCAATGCGCGGTGACGTCACAAGTGACGTCACTTGTGACCCTCGTGATGTCACACACGCAATTACGAACAAGCGGTTTAAGAAACTGGGTGCGCCAAGCATTTGCTTCCCGCTGAGTGCGAGTACTGGAGCGAGCTTCCAAGGCATCCGCTTGACGCCGTGAGACTGCTTGAAATTAATTGGGAACAAATTCTACAGACCAAAGAGCGAACCCCTGCCTGCTGCTGGCATCACTTCTTCATTGTTGCCAGTAGAGACCTTCAGTTTGAAAACAACGATGAGGACTGAAATTGTAAACTCAATAATTGTGTAGAAAAAAAATTATGTTAATTTACTAATTTAACGACGTTTGTTGGTGCATTTGGTCAGCTTTTAGGCAAATCGGGGACCATGGAGAAAACACCAGAGTACCTCTTTAATGTGAACAAACAATATGAGGGTTTAGCCACTACCACCCATTCATCCATCCATCCATAAAGAAATTACTTTATCACGGATTGCAAATGCAAAAAGCCTCTTGCGTCAAGACGAAGCTCACTTACCAACCACTTCCGGAGGCTCAGAGCGAAACCCTTCCGGCTGTTGTCCCTGAAGCACGTCCAAGAGGGCTCGCAACACTGCTAGACAGAAAGCCGGCTGAGCGGACCGACTCTCGCGGATCAGCTCGAACACCCCGCACAGCCCGACCCCAACGATCCGCGGGACCGTCTGGAAGGAGTCCGGCCCGTCTCCGCTTGGACAGTCGGTGTCTTCGTCCGAATCCGAGTCGAGGGACTTTGGCATTGCGGACTGCGGTGACGTGGTCCAGTAGAAGTGGCGGGCGGAGTCGCGGAGGTGCTTCACCAGGATACACTGGCGCACGTTGGTGAACACCGCAAACGGCGACGGATTGCCGCGTATCTCCAGAAACGGTGCCTTCCATGTTTGCACGTCCGCTATCTTGTTCTGGAAGGTCAGGAAAACTTGGGTCAGCTTCACTGGCGTCTGCCGTGGGAGTGCAGCCCGTCGTGATAACCGTTCAGCTAGAATACTGTTTTAAATCGGGACCCTTGGAGCTCCATTCAAAGAATTACACGACTGTGAAAGACAAGACGAAAGGCACAAAAAGCAATCAAACCCTATTAAAGATTCTGCCGACATATCCTGTGCGAGTGCGAGCAATGCCCTCTGCATAAATTTACAGTTTAGATGTTCGAGACAAAAGCCGTGCTTGTACCCAAAAGACGCCAATCACGTGTCTAGAAGCAGCCGGGGCAACTACATTACGACGCACCTGACTTTACAGAACCAAGGTACACGAAGAACAGATCAACCTCGCCAGCCACTTTCGTTGTGCCACAGCAGCCCGCATGCATCGTAGGAACTGTAGCGCAACTAAAAATGTGACAACCCCGCTGCAGGTCCACGCAACCACAGCACGAGACAACACAAGCTGTCTGTGCACCGGCACTTCTCTCCTGCTAACTACAGGCACGGTGGCATCACACACGCGTCGGATGCTTAGTGAGATCGGTGTTTTCGCGAGTCAGTAGATCAAATATGTGTGGAACGCACAGTGAGATCGGTCTAGTATCGAGTCAATGGCTAACCCATCAGTTATGTCACCAGACACGCGGAGACACTGTCATTTAAAAGCAGGCTCAATTAAGAAAAACTGCCCCTTCTGAAAGGTTCGTTATGATTAACCCTGTAAAGCTAGCAAAACAGCTTCAGTCAAACATTTAAAAAAATAGTATACTGCTGTACTCTGTCTGTTTTTGTTGACAACAACATCAACACTGCTTCCTTCAGACTGGCATCAGGCATGCTGGAGACGGCCCTCTCTTCCCAATCCCTGCCGGTTCCAACCAGCTCGGCATCGTGCGGTCGCACGTTCTCAGAAAGGCACGCGGCCTGCTGGTGCCGGCCAGCAAGTGAAGAAAAACAAGTCCCCCACTCCCCTCTCGTGTCCGCGCACGCGACACACCGGCGTGGAATTCGGCGTGTCAGGGCGCTCACCTGTCGCTTCCTCTCCCTCCGCTTCTTCTTGCCTTTTTTGTCCGGTTTTCGCCTGCGGGGAGGACACGACACGATCCAAGACATCCAAAAAAACAGGCGGGAAGCCGAAACGAGTTTTTGAGCTTTGCCTCCCCGAAAAATAACGCACACAAAAGAGACGGGACGCCGGAGTTTTCGGCGGGTTGCGTGCACACACACAAACACACGCACTCGCCCGGCGTCTCCTCAGACGAACCGCTCGACGGACCCCGACTTCGCGACTAATCCGGTTAAAAAAAGGGCGTCTCGGCCAAAGGAGATCGTCATGTCGACCCAATCCCTGCCTCAGGAGTACATCACTCCCCAGTTCGAAACAAAGGCCATGCTCGATCTTACGATCGAGGCGCGGGAGCGAAGTGATGACAACAACAACAATGACAATCACACCAAGCTATCGAGGTAAGCTTATCTGCCGGTCGCAGTTTTTTTGGTGAGAACGCGACAGATCTTCGTTTGACGAGGAATCGTAGCCGCTAACAAGTTAAGGATCAATTACCTTTCTGAAGGCGTCCGGTACATCTCGTGAAACTCACGCTGGAGCACATCTTCGCTGGCGTCGAAGGAGTTGCTGCCTTGCCTGCCGATCGGATGATACCTCGTACTAGTGGAAACGCAGTCGACGACCGACATGATCGTAGTAGTGTCTTGCCGTTTTCAATGATCGCTCACTTTTTTGCTTCTGCTTTTTTTCTCGGGGTTAGAAAAGTGGTTGTTTAGAAGAAGCGGTTTGAGGGGAGGTGTGTCTACGGAGACCGGCTTTCGTAGTGATGAGGGAAATTCGCGAACTACGTCGTCCGCGGAAGGTCGCGGAGGACGGCATGCTTCCTTAGGTGATTGGGGGGGTTCGGCGTTCGTCACCTGAGGTTCGCTTAGGTCTCTGTCGGGAAATCAGCGGTATTTGCGCAGGAGACACTTCTCGAACAAACCGACGACAATAAGCGTCGGCCCAGTGTTGCCGGAGGGGAGTCAGCATCGCGCTAAATGAAGAGAATAGCGCGCCTATTTCCGCATTTTTGGGTTGCCGTGGATTTTCATTATTTATTATTTATTCTTTTGATAACAACCAAATATTTCGACTAATAAATTTCGTCGGTTTTTTATGCAAATTAGAATTTTTTCTTTGTCTCTGCGTTGTAATGCCTATTGGGGGCATATTGTTTCGGTTTCTTTTCCGAAACCGAATATTCCGCTCACAAGGTCACTCACAAGACCGCTGACAAAATCCTTGCACGGCACCTATAAAAAATGGAAATGATGACATTGTAGATCACAACTATATAAAAAAAATGCCCTCGAGACGTATTTTTCCAGAGCAAGTTTTTCATTTCAAGTTTTTAGTTTGAAAAAATGTTTTATTCACATTTTTATACCTAACATTGCATGCGGAGCGCACGTTCGTCTGCTTCTTTTGAAAAGGTTGTGGTGACGTCAGAACGCCGAGCTTTCATTGGTTATAATTGAAGGATAGTGGGTAGACCTCAGGGCAGCTTGCTTTGAGGCAACGATACTAGAACACTCAGTTGGGAAACTCGCCGTCGAAACCTGGGCCGCTCGCGTCCACCTATACCGAGCTAAATACGACAACAGCGCCACTCTTTATCAATTGTCTGTACTGTGGTCACCTTGAGCTTTTAGAAAGCATGTTTTTGCGTAAGAACAAACGGAAAAGACTCTTTTTGTATGAAGTTTATTGCAGTTTAGTACAAAATGAAGGTCGCGTGATGTTTTTAAAATCTTCAGTTTCCAAGGTTTTGCGGAACAATTAATATTGTTTTTATACAACCATGCCTCAGCGGTGCTTTCAGGTAGCGCGTCCCGACCTAGTTGCATTATAACTTCGGTAGTATTTCGCGGCGCGTCCGCTGGGGAAACGGGGGTGGCGCCCTTGTAACCTCTTCCGCTGTATCTGCTTCGGCGCCAAAATGGCCGATTAAAGCCAAAATAGAAGTAACGTGCAGTTCCTCGAGTGGCCGCTGCGGGAGAAATGGCGGCGTTTGTTCGCCATTAGCTCGGTTCTGGAGGACAGATCGGGGCCACTTTCTCCAGCAGTCTCTATGGCAGTTTCCCAACTGAGTGGTTCTAGTAACGTTGCCTTTGAGGTCTAGCCACTATCATTCAATTGGAGCCAATCAGAGCATGGCGTCTTTCTGACGTCACTCAACCCCTGCAAAAGAAGCAGGCGAACTTGCGCTCCGCATTGCGTATCGCGTATTTTTTTTTTAGAGCGCAGCTCTTAGGCGCCCGTCTCCGGCTTGAGCGGCGTCGCCGTCGCCGTCGACCTAACCGCGCGGTGCATTATGGGAAATGTCCCATAATGCACCGCGCGAGCCCCCCTCCGGGGTCACGTGACCTCGTGGGGGCACGTGACCCCCCCCCCCCGAGGTCACGTGACCCCCGAAGTCACGTGACTCTTCTGAGGTCACGTGACCCCCTCCTCGAGGTCACGTGACCCCCGCCGATGTCGCGTGACCCCCCCGATGACGTCATCGTCACTGATGACGTCACCGGCATCCACATCGTCATCATCACTGATGACGTCATTAGTGACGTCACCGCCATCGTCATCGTCATCATCACTGATGACATCATCAGTGACGTCACTGATAACGTTACCGACATCCGCATCGTCATCATCACTGATGACGTCATCAGTGACGTCACTGATGTCGTCACCGGCATCCGCATCGTCATTTCATCATCGCTGATGACGTCATCAGTGACGTCACTGATGACGTCACCGACATTCGCATCGTCATCGTCATCATCACTGGTGAACTCATCAGTGACGTCACTAATGACGTCATCGGTATCCGCATCGTCATCGTCACTAATGACGTCATCAGTGACGTCAGTGATGACATCATCGGCATTGGGTGTCACGTGGCCCCCCAAGGTCACGTGACCCCCCCTGGTCAGTTGAACCCCCCCCCCCCCAGTACCCTTCCCTCTTCCTCCTCAAGAGCTGTGCTCTAATTCGGCGTTACAGGGAGTTGTAAAGGGCTTTCACTTTTTTTTAGATAGAACAATGAAACGCTTTTATTGAATAAGATCGAACAATGGAAAACTTTAATTTTAAAGATAGATCAATGGAAAACTTTAATTTTATAGATGGAACAATGGAAAACTTTGATTTTCCCTACATCGTCTTTCTAAGCTTTTTTTTTAAATTTGACTCGTTTATTTATTTATTTATCTATTTATTTGCAAGGGTTAAGCAAGGAACATCGATTTGGTACAGATTTGGGTCATGGCCATAAGCATTTAAATGTTGTTCGAAATCAACTATGGCAAACCTTTGCCCTAAAATATATATATATATATTACTGAACGCGAGAACAAAGAGAATACTATAAAACTTTGTGACACAGCCAATCAAAGACGGGCTTTCGGCTGCCCAACGCAAAACCCCTCACGCGTACTTTTTTTTTTTTTTTTTTTTTTTTGCGGTTATTATTTTGATTGGCGCCAAATGTGTGCGGGCACCTTGCCGTACACAAGGACTGCACCGCCAAAACGCCTACCATGAAAGTTAGGCAAGAGTGTGAAGATAGGCCCCGCGAAGTAGTTCTTACAAGATTTAATAGAATCTTGAGAGCGAGTTGGTTAAACATCTTGGTATGCGAACGCAAAAGGAGACAAGAGACACACATAAACACGTCAGACACGGACAGCGTTCAGGTTGTCCGAGGAAGAAGCGATGCGTTTGGTGTCTGAAACGTGTACGTCTCGACAAGACAACATGCGTCTCATCTAAAACGCACCTACATATATGTCAATTCAACAGGTAAAAAGGTAAATTAGTAATGCTTTGCGAGGAGCAACTCCCCTCTCACCCGGGCTCTCTTTTATGCGTCTCAGACGTCGCTTTTGTCTCCGTTGAAAATTAGCCTGCCACTCATAACTCGCACAAAGGTGGTTTTTCTCACTTTCCCGGCCGTGGCTTCCGCAGTGTACTGCGCGCAGCTAGATTCTATATACAATGTGGTTACAGACAGAAAGGCAAACTAACTAATCTTACGAAAGGGCAAACCAATCACGGGAACAAAAAGGCGAACCACAAACGTAGAGCCCAGCTCTGATGGAAGGCCAGCGGAGATATATCGAAGGCTCCTTGAATGACGACGACACGCTCTCTCTGCGATTTCCTCCTCGCAATGCCTAAATACCTAACGTTCACATGTTTAGCGTGAACACATGAGCCGCCGCTGCCGCACGGAGCGCCATCTGACAGATACCCGACGAAACTTCACTCTTCTGCTGAGATACGGTGGCTTCAAGAATATTAAAAGCATCGAGGTGTCATTCGCGCGGCAGTAAAACCTCGCTCAGTACTCGCTGGACGGCGTCGCTTCATGCGCGGTTGTATGGTGACATTTGTTTAATCATCGTGTATCCAACCGATCATCCAGTATAAGTAATACTAATAGTGAGAAACGCTCTGAAAAATACGCCTTCTCAACGGACTGGGTTTTCGGGAGACAGAAGAACCGTGTTTTTCCCACCGCAAAAACAAGCTACCTTTCGCTATCCGATTCAAAAGTTGTGAGGGATTTTCAAAATTTTTTAATTAACAAGTGAGGTTCATAGCAGACGACATTCGTCTCCATATATGCGCGGGATCTGTTGGCCGCCATTTCGACATCGAAAATCTCCGATTTCGAAACTGATCGCACTAAGTCATTTTCTCGCAAACACCCGGTACTTAGCTAAGTAACTTTGAAAGTGTAATTTAATCACAATTACATCTTACTTGCCTCAAAAGTTCTTAATTCATTACTATTAAAATTACTCACGCACAAAAAGTAATTAATTAGAATAACTTTCTACTTTTCGAAAGTGATGCAGTTACCTCGCTAATTCTTCAAATTTGGTAGAATTCACATGAATTGCGCGGCTTGGGCGATGGAAACTTCGGAATGCATCCCACCGCTTGCATTTTAAAACCACTCCCGTAAACCAAGCTGGAAAAGAAACGAAGATAAAAAACGCCACCGCAGCCTTCACCGTGAACTTTGGCTTTCCCGCACAACGCCTAAGCGCAGTAAGGAAACCAGCTTTCGGTATAGGCGCGAAGATTCCATGCACGTGCGCTCGCGCGCGAAAATGTATACATGTAGTACTACGTCCCCGCTTTAATTAGTGGAGCGCCATTTTCACCGCAGTCTTCCCCATTTTGCAAAGACAACTCGAAAGCGGCACCACGGAACGTCTACCGAAAACCATCCCGGGAAGCCCGAATCGTTAGAGGACTAAACGAAAACTCATACATACGATGCCCTGAATGTTAAACGAATTTCGCATACGTGGGCTCCAACGAACATTAATAGAAGTACTATTAAAAGCAAAGCAGTAATGATGCCAGCAAGCAGCCGCTGGCGAACGCGATGGGCAAAAAATTGGCGACGTACTGAAGCGTGCGACCGCGCTCGACGCCGCTACACAATAGAAGGGGAGCGCTCATTACGCGAAGAGTACGGCGCACTGAAGCTGCGTAAATTTTTTTGCCACAGAGGGCGCGCGTGAGTGTCCTTCAGAGGGTCGCGCACATTGTAGGGCCGTTACCCTCCTCTTCCTTCTGCGGGTCCCTCTCACGTACGCGGGGTGGATCAGCGTCTAGACATAACGGCGTCTGCTAAAGTGGGGACGCGGAGTACGCGAAACAGGGACAACTCTCCGCTGAAATAAACATGGCGGCCGTCACTCACGTGACCTCGCGGCGGCCAATGAGCGCGGTAGGCGGCTGACCCCGCAGCCAATCGCGGAGCCGAGCGCTGCCTTCGAAAGGAGGTGGATTAAGGCGGCGTTGAAAAGCTCGAAACGACCAACTAGTTCGTCCAACTGTGACCGAATCGGAGGGGTTGAGACACAGTAATACGTGCAATTGTGTAATTTCAAAGAGTATCTAATCCGAGATATCAGATGTTACGACGCAATGGAGGCGTTAAAAAAAAAAATGTCTGCTTCAGCGCGCTAGCCAATCACGAAAAACTAGGGGAGAAAGTGGCGTCAGGTGATTGGTCGGGCTGGCTTCCACTGGCTTTACGTCGAACGTAGCAGGGGCACTTGGACCGCGCCCCAGTGTAGACGCGCGGCGCAGAGCGTCATCTGCTTGTCAATCGATCGTGGGTGATCTCGCTCGCACACCCTCGTTTATCTAGATACAGAGAGCTCTGTTTTCTTGGTCTGACTCTCACGTGTTTGATCGCTTGCTATAAAAAGTTCCACATTCGAAAACAAATTATTAAAAAAATATCCCGGCAGAAAAAGTTGGTGTCTTGTGCGGTCGGAGAGTATTTTGGAAAAATGGAAATTGATGGGCAGAAAAATCTGACAGCTAGGCACTGCAGTAAACACAAAAAAAAAAAAAAAAAAATAGCCCGCCCCCCCCCCCCCCCCTTCCCCCCCCCCCCCCCCCCCCTTCCCCAAGAAGCATGGTAAAAAAATAGTCATGGCTCTTCGGGGAACGCTACTAAATTTCTTTCTCGTCTGTCGAATTAAGATATATGTAGGTGTGTAGGTGTATCCTAGATTAACTTTATGTTATTTTATCAAGGCGTAGACGTTTCAATGCGCCAAAACCGTCCTTTCTTCCTTCGATAATCAAATCTTTTAGGAAATACTTCGTGCGGGGCACGTATGATGCGTAAAACTTTGTCTCGCTTCTCGGCTGATCCTAGTGGAAAGACCAGATCCTATATTTGCGAGGCCTGAATTTGTCCGGTTGTGTAAATGACGAAGCAATTACTGCAGGTCAGCACGAGGTAGAAACCATAAAAGCCTTAAAAAGAAAAGAAGGAGAAAAAAAAAGTGCCATGCAAAAATACAAAACATTTTATTTCTCCGCAGTCAGGGAACAAGGGAGTTCAAAGTCAAAACACAAATCCCCCTGTCCCCGAAAAGACCGCTTGCTCCATCTCAAATTTCAATTGTGAACCGAGCTAGCAAAGAAACCATGAATTCCGTTTTTCGCATTACGCCCTCCAAAGGGAACAACTAGGAAAAAAAGGCGAAGAGAAAATTCTTTCAGTCGATTCATAGCATGCGTGCGTGTCCAGAATAAAATAATAATAGTAATAAAACCGACACGCAAGTTGATTTCCCTGCGGAACTACAGCGCAGAGAGAAAATGCAGTTGCAAAAGGCCACATTCAAGAATGTTCGCATTGTCGTATTCAAATAGGAAACGCCGTGTGTATAATAAAAAAAAAAAAATCTTTTCTTTTTTACATATGCAGACGAAATAACGCATTTGAAAGAACACAGATCTGAAAGCGGTGCTCTTAAATGAACGCGAGAAACTGATATAGCAACAAAAATAATATATTATTCATTTCTGAAAAGGAAGAAGGAGGGGGCGAGAGAGTCCTGCTGTAACAGACGCTGAAATGTCTGTACCTGTGCGTCGAGGAACGGCATAAATGGAGCGCAAAGAGACGGCAATGGACAAAAGACGGGAAAGGGGAAAAAAGGGAAGAAAAAAAAAATCACTAGCGTTCGCAGCGCCCCAAATGTGCGGTGGCGGAAGAGAGCGAGAGAGATCAAAACAATTACGGCTCAGCTCAGAAGAAAGAACAAACGGGGTGAGGGGTGAGGGGGGCATCACCGAAACTCAAGGCTGAAATCAAACCGCGGGAACGCCGCATCTCAAATGCCGCGGGGGAGAAGGGGACGAAAAAGGAAGAGGCGAACGAAGCAGACGCTATTCGCTGCCGCTGCCGTTGACACGCAAACCAATCCGTCTACTATAAATAGTTTCTCCGCATGTTCTCTTTAAATGAACACTTTTTTTTTTTTTTTTTACGTTAAGCGGAGACATCCACGATGCATCGTGGTCGCCTCGTATGACACGCAAAACGAGTAAACAAGCAAGATCGTCTCTCCGCGTAATGAGAGAAATGGCGTCCCGCCGCAAACGAATCGTTGCCATGGTTACCGGGAGAAAAGGAAAAACACGTGTAGGAGGGAAGGGTAAAGGAAAGAGAATGCAAAAAAACAACGGTCAAAATGGAGAAACGGCACGCGACGGAAGAAGCGTCTCGCAGGGTTGCCAACCGAGACATTTTCCCCTTTTTTTTCCCGCCTTCTCTCTTCCTTTCCCTAATTCCTATCCCTTTCCTTTTTCCCCCGACTGGCGGCGCGCGTCCCTCGCTTCCCTTTTTTTTTGGGCGGCTTGTTCGGGAAGAGGCATCATCGTCGGAGGACCGCGGGCGCAGGGGCAGGCAGCAGCGCTTGGTACGGTCGTTTCCCGAAGGTTTTTGGCCGCAGCTACGGCAGCAGCTCCGGCTAGCTGCGGCTAGCTGTGGTTTCCAGGGAGAGCAGCCATTCGTGTAGCTCGTGGTGTAAAAGCATTCGGCGTCGTGAAACGTGGCATCTTCCCCCTCCATCCCCCTCCACCGCGTGAATCACGTGAAACGCCGATAGTTTCTGATACTCCTATCTGACGCAAGAAGTGGGTGCTCGTCGCCGCTCTCTGTGTGTGTGCGTTGTGTGTGTTTGTCTCGACGACTGTGTCAGTTTAGGGAAAGCGACGACAAAAAAAGGGAAGACATCGCTTGTGATCGACAGGTAAGAGCCGGCGCAGGTAGATGCATTGCCCTATGGTGCTTTCTTTTTTTTTCTGTCTCCATTCATTCTACAAGGGGTCGTGGTTTTACTTTTTTATATATCCATTTCAGTGCGCCGGCGCGCTGGAGCGATGACCCTCGTTCATTATTAGCAACGTCAGTGCAGTATTCGAGGCTTCGTTGCTTGCTTAGCCTGGGTATTTCGCGAGTTTCAAACTCAATTAAGAAGATAGCGAGGCCTTGAGACTCGCGTTGCCGTCGAAGCGTTTCTTCTTAGAAAAAGCGCTTCGTGGTGAGTCAGCGCAGCCGACAGGTTCCGCGTGGTGGGAGCGACGCTAGCGGCACCTGGCGGTAGTAAGGTTTACTCACGGGCTGCGTTATTTGAAGCGAAGGTGGAGCTTCTTGGGAGTGCCGGAGGATGGCGCTTTTGTAGTTTACACATAACGTAAATTTGACAAATTTCGTTCATAAATCCTGTGCGAAGTTCTTCCGTGTTGGTCTACCCTATTCGCCAAAACAATAATCGTGGTTTACTGTGAATAACGTGTGACAACAGAAGAAACGGTGGAGCTTTATAGTTACAAAACGACGTGCTGCTTTGATATATCCCATTGATTTGATTGTGCTGGTGGAACATCATCAACATAATCCCAGTCACCCCATTCACAAATGCGCCCCCGGCGGTGGGCTTATCGTCAGTTTCGATTTGCACCGCATTATGGGATAGCAAATCGCCACCTCCACGATGAGGTGTAGCCGTGTCGCGATGTTGCATCGGAACGTCGTGTCGTCATTTCATGACGTTTTACCACACGTAGTTCTCTGCGTCGTCATGAGCGACGCCGCCGTCAGTTTCTGCAGTTCTCACCTTCCTGCGTTGTAGACTAGCCCCGGTTCTGTATATACAGTTCCTGCATGGTCTCGCGCACCTAGCTCGTCTTGGCCATCAGGCGTGGAGAGCTTCGGCCAGCCGACATACATCGGCGAGCGTAAAATGCCGGGCAGCAACTGCGTTGTGACTAGGGGTGTCGCGAACTTTTGTCGAACCAGATTTTTTGGTCCAACTTTCGGGGTTCGACTGGGTCCAACCGGTAGACGAACCTTCGACCTTTTCACCAGATTCGACCGGTTCGACGATCAGTGGGTTCGACTTTGTGGACAGTGTGGCCAGACCTTGATAGAAGCATGTCTAGGTTTGAAAAGCTTTTTTTTTTATGCAAAACAGCAGCAATAAAAAGTTAATAACCTAATTTCAGTATTGTATTAACTGAAATAGCCAATCAGCGCTGCACTTTATTCATCTCAGCCATTATCATCCAATCCGAAGCCAACTGGCCAGCCTGTCGCGCATGCGCACACGAGTGGAACCTTAATAGAAGGTTCGTCAAACTTTCCACTAAAAGTTCGAAAAATTCGAACCTGGTCGAACTCGGACCGCGGCCGGTTCGCGACACCCCTAGTTGTGGCGTGACCTCAACATGGCGGCGTCTCCGAGTTCCTCTGCGCTGCACTAGGGGCACCCTTTTACGCATGGAATCTCAATGTATCTATTTGTGTATATACAGTGCGTAAATGGCGATGACTTCGAGGCCCTCTTGCTGAAAGGATCTTTAGGGTAAATAAATAGAATTAAGCAGCGTCAATTCGACATTTTGTTGTTAGTTGGTTTTTTCAAACAAATTTACTAATATGAAGGATTACGTCGCAACCTGTTGAGGAGATGTCAGCATGGATGGACTTATAAACTTTTGTGCTTTACACACTTAAGGGGTCATGTAAGCCACACGCCAAACAGTTTTAGGAAGGAACAAAACCGCAGTGTAATGAAATAAATGTAAAGGCGCAAACGAGCTTGTGTACATTAAATATGATTGAAAAAAACCAAAAAAACCTGAGACTGCAGGTAACGACACACACACTCAAAAGTCGCGGTGTAAAATGGGGAGAAAGAAGGGGCGGCTGCCACCAGTCGACATGTATATTGGCATCTAACGCGTCGTTGAGAACGTTACTTTTGTAAGTCACATTCAAATTATAGGACACATTTGATAGGTGTAGCACAATTAAATATCCGTCCTACAGTTGGTGGAGCATACGCCGTGCAGAACTTACAAAAACGTTGAGTCAGGTAAGCGTCCTCTCACGATAACGTTGTCAACCCCTATATTCATCTGCCGGATAATATAGAGCGCGCGATTACAACGGTCCAGGGGTCATTCCATTGAAGTTTGAAATAGCGGCCTCTCGTAATGGACATTCATGTTGAGTGTTCGGGCCTCCACTGAAAAGGCCGTTTTGATGAGTCAACCCTCAGTTGTATCGAGTAATTTATTCAAGAAAATTTTGAGACCCCCCGTAAAGTTATATCACACAGAAATCACCATTAATTAGCATAACCTGTCATGTACAAATTCCATTACGCCTCGTCAGTGAGCGGTCTTGAAAGAACACATCCTTGTATATAATCCGCACCACGTACATTTTCAACGTTTATATTCCGGTAAATGTACAGCCACTGCTGGCTGCTCGCGGGAAAACGAACCCTATTCCAGCGCGCATTTGAGCTGCCTTGCGGGCAACGTCCGCTCTGGCGGTAGGGGCAAGCAAAACGCGGCTCCTCGTGGACTTGCGGTGTCGTCTGCGCTGTGTCTCGCATTCTCCGTGTGTGTTCGTTCGCTGATCTTACATGCGATGCTCCTCTTTCTCGTTTGATATGGGCAGAAGATTGGGAGGACCGTGGCGTAACTTGATCAGTCTTCATGGTAAGACATTGCATAGTAACTACATTGGACTTGATTGTCTCTAGATCTGGAAGCGCATTGTTGGGCTGGTTGGTACACGGCGCGTATACACAGCACGACGCTGTTAGCGCAATGTGCTTCCAGCACATTGTATATCCTCGCGTGAACAGGACGTAATCTTCAGCTGCGTCTCAAGTTTCGTTACCATATTGTATTCATTAGCGCCGTCTTTATTCGCGCAAGCTGGCGCTGCTTTACGTTCTACGGGCTCTGTGGGAAGTATTGTTACGTGTCGACGCCCAGCCTTGACTCTCGGATAGCATGGCCATCTCGCTGGCGTTCAGCCTTTCTCACTCGGACGACGCCCGAGCCAGTCACTCGGGGAAACGTATCGGGAAAACGTGACAAGTTTATTCCATAGCGAAATGTCTGATCCGAGACGACCGTCCCTCGAAGGGTCGAGGTTTTTATTCACACTTGAGGGAGAAGAGGGGTCCGTGGGCGGTGCTTTGCCATGAAGCGACCGACAGCAGTTGGACCAGCAAGCTCTTCCCCAAGGGATGGCAAGACGACACTTATCCCCCACACTCGACAATCTCTAGACTGTTTCCCAGCAGACATCCGGCGCCGTTTTAATTCTTCTCTCGCCACCCTGACAGATAAGCACCCAGAAGGCTAGAAGCACACATTTGAAGGTAAACGTTCGGCAGCAGGTAGAGGTCGGAATGGTTGACACGTGAGGGAGGGCAGTCCTTGGGCGGCGCTTCCCCTGAAGCGACCGACGCCAGCGAGACGAGCCAGGCCCCGAGCGTACGGCTAAGCCTGGGCTAATCCATTCCCCAAAGTAACCCTAACCCACGCACTCACAAACACAGGGACATGGGGACAGGTCATAACAATATATATTTTCAGGAAAGATGGACAAATTGGATATTGCGAAAACTACGCATCGCGCCAAGAAAAGGATTGTGTCCTTTTGATCCTAGGCCAACTATTAAAGTTCGGGATAATTAAATGAATTATTTTCGCGTAATTAATTTTTATATTTTGAGTTTAAGGGCATCGTTTCAATTAGAATCTTGCTGAGCATCAGCGAAAAACACTATATCAACAAAGTGCACAACAATAAAAGACACGAGCGGTATATTACAGCTTTCTGAAAAACCGCACAACTTCGACGGGTTTTTAAGTTTCGGTTTGCAATCAGAGCGCTTCTCGGCACGGACGGCACCGCACCCTGTGGAGAAGTAGTGCAACCAACCTCTGCTGCGCTGTCGTCGCGCAGCGCAGCAGAGGCATTAGGAACTTCAGGCAACCTTGAAGTATGTTTCCGGCCGTCTATTTTTATCGCTAAATTTAGCAGGGAAAATGGCGACGCATGACATGATGTCAAGTGACTTATACACACATTCAGTTGCTAGATTTAGCGGGAAAATTGACATCACGTGACTTCAACACCGATCCAGTTTCACCGCTATATTTAGTGGGGAAAATGACATCACGTGACTTCAACACCAATCCAGTTTGACCGCTATATTTAGTGGGGAAAATGACATCACTTCATGTCACGTGACCAACAGACAAATTCTCTCTTTTTTTTAGAGCGCAGCTGTTAGGCGCCCGTTTCCGGCTTGAGCGGCGCTGCCGTCGCTGTCGGCCTAACCGCGCGTTGCATTATGGGACGTTTCACATAATGACGTCAAACAACGTCACGTGTGACGTTACCCTCGTAGCGTCACACGGCGCCTAAATCTAGGGGGAGGGGGGATTTTTCCGCTAAATTTAGCGGGAAAATGTATCGCCTAAATTTAGCAAAAAAATTTCTCCGCTAAATTTAGCGGGAAATTTTTCTGCCAATTATAGCTGGCAATGTTTTTCGCTAAATTTCGCGGGGAAATTAACTTTGCCCATTTTTTTCGCTAAATTTGGCGGATAAGTTTTCTTGCCAAATTTAGCGGGGAAATTTACTGGGAAATTGCCTCACAATTTTACGGTAAATTCCCCTCCCTACCCTCCCCTCTCCCTCCCCTCCGTACACTTCCCTCCTCCTCCCCAAGAGCTGCGCTCTAATTCGGCATTACAGAAAATTATAAACGTCTTTCATTTATTTTTTTCCTGTGCATTGCGAATTGAAGTTTTAGTTCGCACTCGTTGTTCGAGTCCGCATTCGACCTTCAGGTCCCCTATTAGGAACCATGACCACTCTTTGAGCATCGACCGTATCGGCACTCTATCCCCCGAATCTCTTGAGGGCGCTGCC